TGCATGTTATCAGGTTCAGCTACAAGATTGTCATTTTCTTGAATGTCACCATCTTTGAAGTCGAAGTGTCAGAATCAGCCTCCAAGTCAGCAGATGCAGGAGTAGAGGTGAGGGGAGCAGAACGAGTGCAGGCAGCTGAAACTTGAGCTGATGTGACTGAAGATCTGGCATGTTCTGGATGGTAACAAGCTTGAGCTGACTGCATAGAATGGGCAACAGCAACCTCTATGTCCTTTTTCTCATGCCTACTAGCAGTGAGCTTAATTTGTACTCAATACCCTTTTGGTGTCTTGGAGCAGTTATAGAAGATGCAGTTACAGTGTGCTGTGTCTGCTGCTGATAGCCTATGGTCTGTGCACATCTGTAGTAAGTTCGCAGCATATATATGCAGCTAATAGCCTACAGAGGACATCAGAACAATATCTGGAGCCCATAAACGGTTGAGGTCAAGGGTCCTGATGTTGGATGTCGAGCTGAGTATATGCAAGAGGAATGTAGAGTCTGATGTATTGTTTTATATGTGCACATATAAGTAATTAGATTTAATCATTATATCCACTTATCAGCAAACTAGCCTTTTTCTTGAGCTGTACAGACAGCATGCATAATGAGACTTTGAATGAGTAGCTGAAACCTCAGATTGCAACATGGAAGTAACATGCATATAATGAGGGCATCATAGTCTAATAACACCAAATAAGTAATTTGTATGAGATCTACATAGAATATGGGTAAAATGAACATATTATCACACCATCCTCATAATACATAATCTAGAGTTTCATGCAGTAAAGAGACCCAGACTGCAAAGTTTTTAGATTTTCAATATAAGACTCCTGCACGTAACACCAGATGGTTAAGGCTAAGCCACAAACACTTTCATCGACCATCTTGCAAGTCACTCTTATTTTCAGCCAATTCTCTCTGCTCTGATCTCTACCTCACTATAAATGACTATATACTATACTAAGACCAGAACTCAACAAGTCAATTCTTTTAGGATCAGGACCAGGACCAGTTCTGTTAGAACTAGTAAGGATTGCGGTCCTGAATTAATCTGGACTGGTCCTTATTTACTTTTAACTCATGTTAAGAGATTAAGGTATAATATACACAGCTTATAAGAAGGTTGTTTTTATATTATATCTAAGCTTCACTTAAATTCTAGTTTTCTATCATGTCAACTTCTTAGCTTTGGCCTAAATTTTGATGTAAAACAGACTTTAATAGCATTTAAACATTATCAATTCTAAACTGGGCCCAGACCAGTTCTGGCAGTTTTGAAACCTTCAGGACCAGATAGTAGTCCTACATGATCCAGTTCTGGTCCTGAATCAGTCCTGAACTAGACCCTGCAACGCTAATGAGAATAAAGAATTGGCAGAGTGGTTGAATCTAATGAAAGGGAGTGTAATATATTCAAAAAAAAGTGTAAACAGGCCCAGTGGAGGATACACTTCACTTAGATCAGACGAAGACAAAACAGATACAAAAACACTTCATTGCCATAAGAGGAAGAGATCATTACTACAATACAAAGCAGAGAGCATGTACATACCACTTTAGGGTACCCTTCTGACCTAGCTCTTAGCTTCAACATAATCTATAGTGTGTTGTAGCTAAGATCCTCTCAGGTGTCAGACAGACCATGGTACCAATACATGTCTCAGGGCATTATATGAGATTACCCTGGATATAGGCAAAGCATAGGCTGGTCCAATGGCATAATTATCACATCCTATAATACTAGGATATTGATATTATATCTCAGTATTACTGGTTGTCCCATAGAGATGTCCCACTATTAGTAAATGATGTATTTTTAGGCTATTAAATGTGTAGTTTTTTAAACTTTATTCTACTGTCATATTGTCTCAGCCTTGATTATAAAAACAGTGACTATAGTGCTCTGAACAAGCAATTTATTTGCACATTATATAAGATAGGATCTCCCATTTTAAGGACATCCTAAGAGGTGATTTATAAATTCACAGATACTTAGTCTCTTCTTTAGCCTAAAGCTTCTATTAAACTACTATAGTTATCTAGAGATCTGTACTAACAGTTGAATTACTAAGATTTAAGAGTGACAAGTCCTTACATGGGATATTCCATCACATAAAGTAATATTCTATAATATAAAAGTGTCATTTAGTGAATGCATTTCTGACTGCAATTTGACTGAAATTTTAGGTCAAACACCTTTCTTTTTTCATTCAAATACAGTATATGATAGGAGACATAACAAGATATATATCTTCTGTGCTAGTATATTAGTAGACTGAGTTGTTCTATTTCTTGAGACAATTCGTGAAAATTGAAAATTGTAGTATAGCTATAACACATACTATATGTCAAAGATTATATCATGTTAGTCTGAACATTATGTTAGAAAATGTAAAATTGATTTTAAAACACAAAAATAAACATTGTTGTTTAATCTGTCTTAGTTATTCTATAAGCTAATGAAGTTGTTATATATACTATTAATAGTAATATAGTCTTTATAACATTATAAATGCATATAAAAACTTGACATGGGATATCCTGCTTTCTACAAATATTTCACCTTATATAAAGTGCAAATAAGGCACTTATTTACAGTATTCTAGTCACTATTCTTATAATTAAGGCTTATATGATATGATAGTAGAACATAGTATTAAAAAACTATACATATAATAGCCTAAAAATATATCTTTTACTAATAAGACATCCTTATATACCCCTGGCATCATGAAACAACCAGTAATACTGGGATATAAATATTAATATCCTAATATTATAGGATATCCCATATGATAATTGTGCCATTGGACCAGCCTATGCCCTGCCTATGTCCTTGATAATCTCATATAATGCCTTGAGACATGTGTTGGTACCATGGTCTGTCTGACACCTGAGAGGGTCTTAACTACAACACACTATAGATTATGTTGAAGCTAAGAGCTAGGTCAGAAGGGTACCCTGAAGTGTACATATCTTTGTTGCAGTGAGGGAGAGAGAGTAATGAAGGGCAATGAAGTCGAACAATATATAAACAGTATGGAATAGAAAGGAGGAGCAAACAAGCTGTTGTAAACATATGAGCAGGGTTACATAATTCAACTTAAGATCAGTCCAATTATCTCAGGATTTGAGGAGGTTTGAAGTCTCACTTGATGCCAGACAGTTTTATTAAATCACTCAAGTTGTATGTCAGTCTGAAAGTTATCCTAAAAATAAAAAACTTATTATGAAGTTATTTCTACTTTAAAATAGGTTTAAAATAACTTTCAGATAAGTCTCTTGTAAGCAGTGCCACTTACACTAAACTTATTTACTCTATCTTTCAAATAACATTTGCATACTCCTGCCAACTTATTAAAAATTGCTTCCAGTGCTGATTATCTTAGGATTTATGAAGATTTGAAGTCTCACTTAATGCCAGACATTTTTTATTAAATTATCCAAACTCACTGAATACAATTTCCAATACATTGGCAGAAGTAAGCGAATGTTATCGATAATAAGTGACATGGCTTACAAGAGACTTATCTGAAAGTTATTTAAATCCTATTTCAAAGTAGAAATAACTTCATAATAAGTTTTTGTAATGGGTCAGTTCTGACGACTGTTACTCATTATAGACTGCTTACTGATTACCTAAGCAAGTTGCTTTTAATCCTTTACACTCACCATCTGGCTGTATACACTCAGTCTTAGCTTAGTTTTGGCTATATATTGAGTCTACTGCAGCCCTGATGAGCCTAAGGATCTAGGCTGCTTACAGTATTCCATTTCTACTTTCAGATAAGTCTCTGCTAAGCAGTCACTGGATGCAATTTCCAATAAATTGGCGGGAGTACATGAATATTATTTGAAAGATAGAGTGAATAAATTTAGTGTAAGTGGCACAGCTTACAAGAGACTTATCTGAAAGTTATTTGAAACCTATTTTAAAGTAGAAATAACTTCATAATAAGTTTTTCATTTCTAGGATAACTTTCAGATAAGTCTCTCCTAAGCAGTGCAACTTACACTGAATTTATTCACTCTACTTTTCAAATAACTTTTGCATAGTCTCCCCAACTCATTGGAAATTGCATCCAGTGAGTGCAACTTACACTAAATTTATTCACTCTATATTTCAAATAATTTCCCCAACTTATTAGAAATTGCATCCAGTGACTGTATGTTAAAATGTATGACGAACACTGGATGCAATTTCCAATAAACTGGTGGGCATTACCTAAAACTTACTTGAAATGTCGGAAAAAAATAATGTGCCTTGTAAGGGACCTTGCCTTACGACTCCTTAATTGGGACTTGTAACTGCCTTGTAAGGGACAAAAATGGTGCCAAAATTACTCAAAATGTCCTAATTTTCTATTGCAAGGGAGGTCAAAATCCATCGCAACTACCTTATTAGGCATGAAAGGTTTTTCCGACAAAGTGCAAAAGTGTAGTATAAGCGGCTCAAGACTTATCTAAACTTTGTGGTAGATATAGAAAACTTATTGTAAAGTTATGTCTACTTTGGGATAGGTTTCAAATATTTTCAGAAGAGCCTCAAATTACGGGAAAATTATTTAATCTATCTTTACCATAAATTCACAATAAATATGGGCAGCTTATTGAATGATGCATCCCGTGAAAATCTGATTCCAGGAGACTATCCACACCGACGACATATGATAATACTACAAAGATAGTAAGTGCATGCAGAGTGAGGTCTGTGATGTAATGCATGAGGCTACACAACCCCAAAGGACGTAAATGTAATGTGAGACTGTGAGGCGGACGAGGGATAACATGAGACTATGTGCACTGTAGTGAGCCACAGGAGGAAGATAAAAATGTAGGCAAGATGCGAGGAAGCTAGATTATAAAATATATCGAGTCCATTTCGTGAGATCAAGTCATGATCATCGGTTCGACCGCGCGAGCCATCCTTTCGCATATCCGTCCGTCCGTCCGTTCGTTCGTTCGTTAATCCAAGGTGTTAGATCTTGCAGGCCTCATCGTCCGGGCCAGAGCATCGGCTCATTTCCCTTGTCAGGGGAATTCGGCTCGTCCATGGGGTCCACTTCCCTCAGGACGCCGTCCGCATCCAGTTCCATGCCAGCGGTCCTCGCGTCCTGCTCACCATCCTGGGTCGACTGCGCGTTAATTCCCGTGCGTGCATCCGAACTAGTCTCAACGTCAAGCCACGCCGCCCGCGCCATAGGCAGTGGTGTCAGCGGTTGCAGCTGCAGCGGCAACTCCATCGGTTGCGCAACACGAGCTGCGACAAGTTCTGCAGATGAAGTCGCCCCGTCGACGGCGGGTGGTGGCGAAATCGGCCGAGGTGACGCCGTCCAGCGATATCCATAATACAGTCCGGGTGCAGGTGCGGGACTCGGCGAGCTCGCTCGACTTTCCTGCGAAACCTGTACATCCACATGTATTCCGCGCCCGTGAGACGGGTGCCCAGGAAACCCGTACGGCCGCGACGGCGACACGTGGTCTGCAAAGAACGTGTAGACGTAGAACGCTGACGTCCTACGCCCACTCCCCGACCCACGTCCCGCTGCCGGAGGGCGACACTGCCAATACCGCGGACCGCTCGGGTGCAGTGCCGGAGGTGTGCGCACCGCTGAATTCCGAGAGAAGATGCCCTCCGACGCCGCCTGGCAGGGCATGTAGCGCGTCCCTAGCGTGTTCCCGCTGCGGAGACCTCAGAAACGAGAATAAAGAATAAATCCAGACCGCACGACGTACCATACCGCGCACCCTATTCCCTCGCGCACGCACCCGCATGCGCTCTTCATCATCTTCGCCACCACCGAGCGTTCAAAATAAGATGCGTCAAGCCCGACCACAACCTCTGTCGCCTCCTCCTTGCCCACCCACACTCCCCGCGGCCGCTGCGGGTACGCACGCATATGAACCAGAGCGCCGCACCCGTTCGTCCGTCGCGCCGCCTGTGAGCTCGCACGTCCAGAGGCTGAAGTAGACGCCGACCGAGATCTACTACGGCCTGGCAAAGGCGATGGCGCAAACGACGGCCCGTGCAGCCCAGTCACCGCAGACGGGCCCCATTCTTCTCCGCCGCAGAAGAGCATGAACTCCTCTTCCTCTTCGCCCTCTCTTCTTTGTTCTTCCGTCTGCGCCCCTCTCGCGGCGCCGCTACCCTCACCTCTGTCGTCCACATTCCAGTCTCTCCACTCGCCGCCGCTGTACGTGTATTCGTCTTCGCCTGCAAGCTCCGTGGGGACGTAGGGTGGCGTGGGCGTCCTCGAGGGCACTACCACGATTGGCCGTGGAGCAGAGTTTGAGCTGGACATGTATGGGGGTGCAGGCGGTGCTCTTGCGTGATCTATGCGCATAGCACCTCGACGGCGTAAACGAGAAGCTTCTCCCGTACGCACGAGGTCTGAGAGGACGATGGAGTCGTCGGCGTCGATTGGTTGGGGAGCGACGCTCGAGCGGCGGCGAGTTTCAGGACGCTGGCTGTATTCCGAGTGTCGACGGTATACCTGGGGCATTCCTGTGCGAATATGGAGTAAAACAGAGTGAAGTCGGTTTGCTGTCGAGGCGGTATGAGATGAGGAGGTGAGGCGGCGGCGAGGAGAAGGTGAGGTGCCAAATTGGCTTATGTAATGCTCCCTTTTGCTTCCGTCGGCTGCACGCTGGAAGGAACAAATTCGAACAACAACATTGAACTTTATTTTCTGGGTGACGACGACCATACATCGTGAGGAGAATGTGTTGACGGCTACAAAAAAGGTTTCTCAGGGTATTTGTAGACGATATCTGATCTGTTGACCGACTTAGGTTACGATTGCTCTACAATTACTTACCTCGCACACCTCGGTACCGACACAGAAGCTTCGTGGATCCACAACCTTCGTACTAAACGAGAGGCGACCACAGGACTGAAGTGTTCTAGTGTCTGACTCGTGGAAATTAGATGGGAAAGCCTCGCCAACTGTGGGATAAGTACCGTGGACAAGCGAAATCATGTCTGAGATCTGAGGCCTTGCCTTCGCCGGCTTTTGTAACGGAAGGCCGCATTGATGAGCATGAAGCCCGTTCAAGTCCAAGGTGAATGAATAGATGATAGATAATGTCACAACTTGCTGCGTACACGACCCCTCCTCGCCCCGGGATGAGCATCGTCCGTCTTGGATCCGGCGGTCTTATCCGGATCTATACCCTCCTGCTGGGCAGCCTCTCGGAAGACAAGATGGTGTCGGAGTACGTGTGCGAGCCGCTCTTCCCAAGAGGGCTGATCCGGAGCGAACACCTCAAAGTCCGGCTCACGCCCGTAGCCAATCGCGGCTACCCTGATCAATATCGAGCTGTGAGAAGCCGTTTAGGAAGGTGAACTCCAGACGATTGAATGGGAGAACATACGCAGTGAGCCCGAAGATGGGCTTCGTTCCGCCCGCTTCCCTGCCGGTCAAGAAGCGGTGCATGCGGACGTGCCCTTCGTGTGCGGCAATGTCAACGTACGTATGATATTTCATCTCGAGCATCTCGGGCTCGGTAGAGAATGGTGGCTCCGAATGCAGGAGCGAAATGAGCGGGTGAGAAAATAGAGAAGCAACTTCGGGTGCATTAAGAATTGGCTGCGGATCGACAGTAAGTGTTGTGAAACTGGAGAATCAATGTAATCGTACTCGTAGAGTATTGTCCAAGATCAAGACAACCACCCTGACATCTTGAGGTACAACGCAGTATATTCAGTAATCGGAGAAACACTTACGGTATCACCACCAGTTGGTTGCCGGCGAGGAATGGTTCTACGACGCAGAGAAGAGGGACTTTTTGGCGGTCCATCGGTAAACCTATCTGCTGCACTCAGTTGCCGCCTTGTCGAAGTAGTAGGTGGGATACCTCCTCGAATGCCTCACGCCGCTGTCTCTTTCTTCAGCGCATGGAGCCTGTCCAAATTCTGAGAACTTACAGCTGTCCACTCGATGCTGTGGTCTTGGGCGTCCCACTTGCCACCAGGTAAGGAGGTATCACCCGCGTATGTCCTCAATGTCGACGCACGACTTCATTATGTAACATACAGCATCAACAATTTAAAACAGGCATCCACAATAGATAATTTTCCCAGAAGGATACACATACCGACTGAGTAAAACGTACAAGTCGCCCGTCCTCCCAACGAACAACGCTACCAGTACAGCCGCACATCGCGACCTCGGTATTTGCAGCCGTATCTTCGGAGGTTGATAGTTTAGGAGGTTCTGTATACACCTATAAGACAAGCATCAGAGCATTCCATGAACAACTGCTAGCGACAGACTGTTTAGACTCTAGCTTGAGCACCGGAATGGGGGCTTCATTCAGCTGAAGCTTTGGTCGATGGAATTTGAGGAGATTGCTGCGACGACTCTTAAGCTTGAACATACGTGATTAACAACCAGCCTGGTGACATAGGTCTCAGAAAGAGAGGCTGGGTGAAGGATGATATATATACAGTATCTCGCGAGTGAGCCTAAGCTGGATTTCAAGTTGTTGCGGAGAACCTCTGACACCTGCATCCGGATTAGGAAACCGTTGTAGTTCGCAAAGCGCTGCGCTGTATGGCCATGGCAGTTCTGCCCAACCTGGATATCCTTTCTAAACACACTCCAATATTATCATGCGCAAGTGAGTGTCACAGAGGTAAGGGAGATGTAAAATGACATGCGAGTACAGGCACTGCGTCATTATGTAGAATTCGCCTCAGCTAATTTACGTCCGATTCTCGCCCATCCCCTATTGGTTAGATATAACACAATATTATACGTGAATGCGAGGCCGTGTGTAAAACAGTGAGATAAAGACACCAATCTGCAGTTGCTTCAAGACGGAGAAGGGGTCCGGGAGGCACGAGATCGCAGTACAACACAGGGAGGGAGCAAATGTACAACAAAAACCTGCGGACGACGGATGGAACGCGTACAGGTACATCAAATCGATAGAGAACAGTCAGAGCAATATTACATACGAGAGAGGGAACAAAAATGACACAGATAGTAGTGTATCTAGAACTCAGGCGTCCTGCGACCAACACTCGCCCACGACGCCTCGCTCCCTTGTTGGGATCGGGCATCAGATACATCCTCATGCCCGCCTCCTGCATCCAGCATACCAAAATGGGGAGACAACACTTCCTGGGCGCTACCGGGACTGAACATGCCTGACCGTGGGGACAGCACATCGTAATCGTCATCCGACGGCAAGTCGAAGTCAGAGCCAATATTGGGGGAGCGTACATCTGGGGAGGTCGACCCGCTGCTGTGCGTCTCGACTGAGTAGACATCAGAAAACGGTGAATGTGACCGCGAAGTCGGGTTCGCCAGAACAGTGGCCCCGTGTCCAAGTTCAGACGTGTCCATCATCGCAGTATTGTACATAGAAGCAGGAATATTGATGTCCGAAGCGCCCGGTGTTGAGGCCTTTGAGGATCCAGAAGATACAGATGAGCCAATATCTGTGATATTAGGTGTCAGGGCTCGAGACGATGGATCGGAATAATTCGATATCGGAGTGGGCAGTCTTGGAGAAGTAACTCGAAAAGCGACCTGAGGTGTCTGATGACGTCCTGACAATGAATGCACCGACGTCGATGGACTGGCGGAAACCGAATGTTCCCCGATCGACCTTGGGCTACTCGGTAGCGACGGTCTCTCCAGTGGAGAAACTGGGGAAGAAGGCGCAGAAGAGTCAAATAACACATGCGTGGGCGATAGGGTTGAATAGGGGATGAAGGTGTTGGACTAGCAGGATGAGATCAATGAACAAGCCCGACAGTCGTGAATGATGATGGTGAATACCTCGTCCATCATGCCAGCCGTTCTCCTGTGTCTAAGGCCAGACCCGTTCGGGCTACCTCTCCACTCGTTCACCTCTTGCGTTACCAGTTGTTCGAGCTCAACAGGCATCTCCCCTCGTTCACCATCCGATCCTGATCTGCGGGCCCTATTCTCATCTCTACCATCCTGCGTTGTGTACTGCGGGACAGGAGCGGCAGTCAGACGATGCCGCCGTCGGCGGCGGTTTTCGAGGAATGCTTCAGCCCAAGCTTCAATCTTCGGAGCGACGTGCGGCTCATAGACAAACTGGCGGTGATAATGAGCCCATCGATTGCAACAAAATTCTTAAAGTCTTTACCTCCTTGAAGGCTACAACAGCCACTACAGCACTTAAAGCTGCAATAATATATACCGCTGGAGCAGGCATGACAGATGTGGTGGAAGAGATGGAAGTAGTGAAGGATCCTATGTACTCAAGCTAGCGCGGCATCAATGAGGGGTATTTCCACGTGATCTCAAAGTTGCTCTGATAATGTGCATTCGCCTTCGATCTTACACGCAGGCGACAACTTCAAGCAACAACAATATAAAGAATCCATGCCAATGAGAGTGGGAGATTTGGTATTGCGAGTCAACGACGAGTCGGATGTGCTTCAACGTCCTGCACCGACAATTATTACAATGCTTTATTCAATAACTGGGGATGCAGTATGAGGAGAATAGTCCGTGCAATGTAGTAAAGATGAGGCACATATGCCGAAGTCCGTATGATAAATGTCCAAACGTCAATCCATGTAACGACCGAACCCAAGTCCACTAGTGTTCATGACTGTGAAAGGATTTTGTCTATCGAGTCATTCAGGAACTGCTTTCGACTTGCGAGATCCGCCTTCGGGAATCGTGCCTGGATGGCTTCCCGAGCAGTCCTGCGACGTGATCAGCACAACTGCGACTGACTTCGTCCAAACTGTACTCACTTCTTCGTAACTGTCATGAGATCTTGCGTACTCAGGAAGTTTCGCAAAGCAGTGAGGAGGTCGTCGTCGCTGGGATCTGGATTCATACTTGGCCCAGCGAACGGATTCACCGAGGTCGCAAGAGAGAATGTTGACGTCGGTCGTTGCATTCCCGGGGGGAATGTAGGAGGGGCGAATCCACCTTGTGAGCCGTGCACGTCACCCTCGCCTCCGAACATGTTGAGACTCGTCATGACGGTATTGCGAGGAGCTGTAGGCATCATGCCGTAGACGCTGGCAGTGTTCTGGTATGGAATTGGCCCAGGCATGGCAATTGGTGCACCGTATTCGGAACCAGCGACAGACCCGTGAACACTCGTTGGCCCGAACGGTAGTTGAGGCAGAGCATAATGCGAAATGGCCTGCTGCCCACCGTAGTGCGATAGGTTGGTCTGCGAAGGTCTACCGCGAGGATTAGAGCCATTCGGATCTGTCAGGTTGGTATCACGGTAGTAATCTCCAGTATTAGATGCCTGGTGGAAGCTAAGAGGCGAAGCCGTTCTTGACTGAGGAGCATGGGACCGTGATTTAGCTTGAGATTGAGGTTTACCGCTGTAGCTAGTTTCATCTGAGTGCCGCGAGCCCGTCTCCCAGGCCTCCGCCTCATACTCTGTGGGGTGAATGTTCGAATTTGAGATCAGTCGGAAGGTAATGATTGGGACGCACCGCTGAACTTCTTTAGAGGGATCATCGAGTCATCGAACTTCTCGTCGTCGTTCATGATGACTTTCTTGTTAGTACCCTCACCGATGACCAGACGCGTGTTACCCCAACTGAAATCGTCCATGCACCAGAAGGAATACAGCGGTAAGAAGAAACTGTAGATCGGAAAGCTGGACACGGACAGGGAGAGTTGGTCACCTACACCGGACGAAATAACCACAATACATACGAAAGGATGTAGACAACCATCCAACCGATGAGCATAAATTCTCGCTTGATAAGGAAGATCAGAGCCTAGAAGAAAGTTTCTGCTCAACTCGGAGCTCTGATTGAGATAGAGGTTGCTTGCCTGTAAGCCGTAAACAGCTGCCAACATGACGATGGAGATAATAGGTAATGCCCCCCTTCCCGTGGAAACGGTGATGATCAAATATAGCAACTGCGCAAGGTCATCAGCCAAGAAGCTTGCAGAGTTTATCGGCGGGGACTCACGTATACGACTGTCGCAGGCAAGATCTGGAGCAAAAAATGAACACCACGTACCAATAATAGACCAAGATCAACGTACCAGAGTACCCACGATATCGATGAAGACAAAAAACCTCATTGAGAAACAACAGAAGCCAATTAGTTCAGGCAGGAAGGCCAACTCGCAGAGGTTATGAACGGTGGAGTTGATCCATCGACGACGTTGGGAAAACAGAACGCGCCAGGACTCGGGGGCTATCGTACGAGCAACGGCATCGGGGGTGAACTTCGTCCTGAACGTAGGGAAATGCTTGAGGAGTAGAGTCGTAAGATAACGATCTTCACCGAGAGACAACAGATTCTTCTTGTGTAGCGTATCCACGATGGGGTCCGAATACTCCTCAATGACGCGGTTGGAGATGATGATTGGGCGACCCTTGTCAGCCGTCCGAATGCGGTACATCGAGAAACAACCAGGAAGACAAGACACGGAGCCGAACAAACTCTCGAAGGCCTTGGAGAGATGGTGGGAGATGTAGTACTCGTACACCTAGAGTACATATGAACTCATTGCTGAAGACCTATAATTCGACTGTACTCACCTGAATCATTGTCCACCAAGAGCCTTCTTCGTTGTCCAGCTTCGTCTCACCACAAATGCCAATGATACTTGAGTCATCTGCTGCTGCTGCAACAAGGCGATTCAGGGAGTCCGGAGATACCGCCTAGACAGCGACGTTAATGTGTCTGTACGTCTTCCAAAGGAAATACTCACAGTATCAGCATCGACCGTGAGGATGTACTCATAGAACGCTGGATCTATACCGATGACGTTTCGCATCTGATGATACAGTTCGAGCTCAAGCGGCGACATAGGCGCATCGAAGTGAACCCTGTTGAGGTACTGCATCAACACAATTTGACTGTCGCGCTTTCCACGGTTGCCGGGCTTGGTACGCTCCGTTGGCTTGCCGACCTTGACAACCACCACATACCTTCACACGAAGATGAGCGGCGGTTGAGAGGAAACGAAGATGAACGACTTACGGCACTACGTGCCCCTCGAATTCATACAAACCGGAGTAGACCTTAGCGTAGTTGAGCGCTTTCGATCCTTCGCCTACTGATTTGAAGAGCACTGGTTCAGGATCTAGTTTGGGGTCCACACCGAGGATATCAAGCACTATACGAGGCGTAGTCCGATCGTTGCCAGTACCGATGATGTTGCCATCACAGATGAGGAAAATGAGCTTGCGCTTATCATCGTAATGAAGAGCAGAAAGCGAATCGATGGTACGCCGTAAGGACTCTTCGCCCTCAGTGTAACAGGGGACTTGGCATATCACGAACTTGTCGAGCATTTCCGGTGTTCCCTTCGGTGCGAGCTGGAGTGCAGCGAGGACTATAGGATTCAGCAATCAGAAGCGGCTCAGATTCAACCAAAGCAGCATACGTACACTTCAATCCCATGGAGGACATTAGGATACACGAGAACGCCAGCAGAAGATAATTCTGCACTTGGCACCGCGGAGTGTTCCGGAAATCTGTCGTTCCCAGGTAGAACATGTTGTTCATGCAATTCACATTCTGCTCGCGATACGTCACGTTCATGGTGGCAAGCACTTTGCTGATGGACGACGTCAGATCTTGGCCCGGTTGCTGCTTGAACAAGCTAGTCAAATCTGGGCTCAGGAAAGCGTACAGATTCATCCCCTCGTTGACAGTCACGGTATTGACGTAGTCCGTCAAGTCATAAATGCCGTTGTTCCAAATGGCCCATAGGCTAAAAGATCGCCTTTGTAAGTAAACCACAATATGGTAATAAATTACGCTTTACTCACCGCTGGTCGTTATTCGTACTTGCGGCTTGACCTTCGATGTCGCTCTTTTCCCATACGAGCGCACCCTTGTGGAACTCGGCTATTTTCGGTTGGAAGACGCTGGTATACCAGTTCTCAGAGTCGAGAGCGGTGTTCTGAGCACCCTGCATTTTACCAGAGATATGCATGGCGTTCGGAGCCTGTGGTGTGAAGTTCTTATACGTAAGCTGCAGACTAGTATCAGTGACGAGACCAGGGCAGGCGAGTGTCAGCGGCGGTGGAAAGTAGTCTGTCAGGTCTTGACCTGCTAGGATGTCCAAAGTATCGGCGTCGTTGCTGACCAGACCCGGGATATCGCTGTGATCCCCCTGAACGAAGTTGGAAACATCATAGACCTGTCCTTGAATAGAGACGTAGTAATCGTTGGTACCAGTGTGTTGAGCAACCTGGCTGGGATTCCAAGCCTTATCGTAGTTTGGACAGAGTAGACGTCCGAACTCCACGATGTAGAAGATGACGAAGCCATTGAACGCGACGATGAGGACGAAGATCGCGAATTTCTCGCGCCAGGCGAGTCGGACATCAGGGCGTTTCATGCGACCGATCCTCGTCAAGCAGAAGTCCGGGATCCAGAATGTCATCAACCAGACGACCAGTAGCCAGTTGCGACGAGAGCGACTCGACGGGACTTCCTCCACGGCATTCGGTGCATCTTTGACGATTATGCCACCGCTCTCTTTTGACTCGAAGGCAGGCGGGCTGTCGTAGTCTCCGCCCTTCTTATCCCATTCGGAACCCCATCCATCACCATCTGGCTCGCTATTCGCCAAACCACCGCCGACTTGAGGCGATGACAGGCCGCCCTGTGCGTAGCCAGGACTCATGTTAGGATCGAGATATCGGGACCCGTTGGTTCCAGTGCGGGCGAGTAGCAAGTTGTCGTCACTCCCTCCAGCGCCGTAGTATCCACCAGGCGCAGAGAACGACGCATCGTGCTGAGTGTGCGTGTAATCCGTTGTGTCGTCCTGGAGAACGCTCTCGTCGTCCTCCGCACCCTCTCTCGAACCCTTCTTCTGATCCTTCTCGGCTGCTCGCAAGACGTCTTCGACCATTTTCCACGCCGAATAAGTCAACCAAATCATCCGATAGCCCATGACATAGTCAACGCCATCTTGCCAACCATTCGATGCTGCGCACTGTCTGATCCGCTCTGCCTCCGAACCCCTCATAGTCGGTACGTATCTGTCGCAGAAGACGGAGTGCTCGTAATCCACCACAAACTCTGTCTTCCGCCTAGCGACCAGGTCTGGAAGAAGCAGAGCACGGATCTGCGCCTTCACTCTCCGTTTGTCGAACGAATTTGATGATCCAGAGTCGTTCGGGCGAATGCAAGATACGATCCACGAATGTGTCCGATCTATATTGCTCATGAGCTCCGAGAGGGTGTGGTTCAACTGTGTGGTGATGGGGTACACTTTCGCAGGATCGAGGTGCGAGTGTGCTTCTTCCGACGAAGGTGCAGTACCGTCGCGGGCCAAAATTGGAGTCGGGTGTCGCAAAGGTCGTGACGAGACTTGCGCCTGCACGATGATATTCTCGTCCTTGGAGTGCCTCTCGGTCGCAAGGTTAGGACCAGCCATGAGCTTGGAAACAAACGCATCGGAAGAGTTGCGCAAAACGGAAACAAATGCAGAGTCGAGTACATCTGCATCTTTCTCGATGAAACCGTGCACATCATAAGCGCACGGGCCGGCGTAGTGGTTGATGCCAAACTCGAGATGTTCACCGGCTTCCGACGTGTGAGCTTCAAACGACGCATGCCCACTGAATTTCGCCACGAGGTCCTGTAGCATCTCCTCGTCCTTCTTGTCCCCACTCTTTCCGGACCTGTGCGAAGACGATGACTTGTTCATGATGCCAAGAACACCACCAGGCTTGCGATGTGACCGCTCGCTCAACTGCGCGCCACGTAACAGCTCGACGCACGCCGAGTTGTCCATTGTGGTGATCTCGGGCAATGAAACACTGTCCCCAGCGAGCTGCGCGTTGTAGCCGACGGTATCTTCGAAAGCGTTGCGGATCACGTACGAGTGCAAGATCTCGTTCGCGAAGTTGATACAGAATTCGTCGAATCCGGCTTGACCGTGAGGCGAAATCAACGGTGCAGGACCACCAAAATAGACCGAAGCCGAGTTCGGGGGACCCTTCATCTGAAACCCAGGCTGGTCGAGCAGGACAATCTGAGTCGGTGGGGGAGGATCTTGCCCATTGGGACCGATCCTGTGGTTGGCCGTCTCGACGACGAATGCAAACAGCATCGCGTAGAGGTCTCGGACCAGCTGGTCGCGTTGCGCTCCGCTCTGCTGTGCGTTGAGCATCACCATGTACAGCTCCTTCCGAACGTAGCTCGTCTTGTTCGTCAATGTCTCCGCTAGCTCCTCAGCACCTACTCCCAACAACCTCGCCGCGTGTTCAAGAACGGCCATATTCATAACGTAAGCAGACACATCGCGCGCGTCCGCTTCGCCAAATTCCACGTTCCCGAGAACAAGGATGGCTACCAGGAGACTGAAGATGGACGAAACGTGCTTAGGTTTAAACCCCAACGTCTTCATTGCCACCCGCAAGTCCTCCATCGCGATCGAGTCATCGCTGAACGGGCCCGACGGTAAACGATAACACCCAGAGGATGCGAGCAGCGCATACTCCGACGGATCCTCCAGCACGTACCGATCCCGCTCCTCCGGGGTAGCCCCTGCCAGAAATTGGTAGAACACATGGTACGTGCGCTCCTCGAACGACAGGCGGTTCAGACGAGATTTGTCGAGAGCATACGTCAACACCTTCCCAGAGCTGATCCGACCGCGTTCGTTGAAGTGTAGCTCGAGGTACCGCCCATGACGAGATGCGTTAGGGTTAATGAGCGTCTTCGCGTTTCCGAACGAGTCGAGCAGAGGAGTGAGCGCTTTGATCTGCTCTGCCAACCGAGCCTCTCGCTTCGAGTGTGTGGACAATCGTAGGACCTGTTCGACGAGGAGTTGCGAGCTGAAGCTTTTCCCTGAGCCTATGTTTCCCCTGCATTGCCCCGGTCAGTGTGGTTCGAATTCGATCAGCTTCGGGAAACACTCGCCGAAATATGACGGACTGTGACTCGTTCCTCCTTCGCATGAGCAGGTACATACGAGCGGCGATATCGTACAGGTGTGGTGATAGAGGCGGAGGACCACCGGGCAAGGGTAAGCTGGTGTCCTTGTAACACCGCTCCTCGTACTCTTTCGCGCTCGCCTCGTTCACATTGGCCAACGCCTTGTACGGGTTGACGACGACGAGATTCGATGTCCCGACTCTGGTGTAGGGTAAGTCTGCTCGGAATCGTGCTTGGAGGACGGAGAGTATGGTCTCGTCGGTCGGATAGACCGTTGCCGACGTCGAGGATGCAACAAGGTCTGCGAGGTCGCCAGAGGTGATGGCAGGGGACGGTGTTGAGGCCATCGCCTACAGAAACGAAAGGAAGGTTGCCGTCGTTCGACACAGCGAGCACGTCGTTCGTAAGTAAGTGGTGGGAGCGGACCAGCAACACCCTGGAGACACGCCTGGAACGTTACGCCCGTGACTTGAATGTTACTTCGAATACTCACAGGCGAATGCGAAGCAGATTGCGCCGTACTGCCGAGTGTAAAGGCGTACTAAATACTGCCGGAAAGTAGGAGGAAACGAGGTAGAACGAGGAGGGCGAGGAAGTAGTAAATGATGATTTGTGTTGAATGATTTGTGTTGAATTAAATAAATAGTATTGATCAAGCTACAGTATAATAGGCTATCACGCCGTTGTAGTGAATTTTGTAATATCTTCTTTAACTTTCTAAGCTTCAACAGTGATGGCGGGTATTGAGACTGTAGCTGTGCTCCAAGGTGAGAGAAACCTATTTTCAGAAGCTATGTACATCAACGAGAAGTCTACGAGGTCTCTGGTTCTGGTAACTCAGCGTGCTCTATTTTTTTGGTGAGAATATCAGATGGCTTCTGACTCACGCAGACACAGGAAAACTCAGAGACGAACCTGAATTGCCGTTCACAAGAGGTAAACGGATAGGGTGCGACTGTCCTGCCTGTTCCCGGTCTAACGCCCCTTCCCATCCCTCCTCAAACAAATCTGGGTTCGCAGCAGGGTCCGCGATCGCCGACGCAAGCTTTGGTCTATTCTTCGCCTGCAGCTCCGTTCGCCACGCTGTCACCACTTCCGGAACTTTGCTCGGCGTGTATGCCCGCGCAAACATGGCGGCCTCTGGCGCCCGATGAGTTTTGACAAGCAAGTCAACACACGCCTTCGGATCCCCGAGCTGAAGCAACGAGGCAAACGCGAGGTTATTTTGGCCCTTCTCCTCTGGGCATCACGGCAATTAGCGGCGAACTGCCACAAACAATGAGAGCGGTTTTACCTGCCGTCCTGGCGAGCTTGGCCAAACCGTGCTGATCTCCGATAGCGAGGAGGAGGAGCATGAGAGCACTAAGGTCTCCTGCTTTCTCGAAGCTCTCGCGGGCCAAATCAAATCGCCACACCGCCAGAGCGCGGTCGCCGATCGATTTCCACTTCGCCTCTGCTTCCAGCTCGGGTACAGACCGTGCAATATCCACTGCTGCGTCTAGGTCATCCAGCTGGAGTGAGAGGTCAAACTTGTGGTCCGGATCGGTCGTGATTTGAAGAGCGAGCTCCTTTAAGCCTGACGAGTGCGTCAACATCGAGTTGACGGCTGCAGCCTAGACTATGCTTACCTTTGCTTTCGAGGAACATCGCAACCTTGGTTCTTTGTTCCTTGGGAACGGTTGGTAGAATTTCCGCTGCAGCACCCATATCGCCTCGCAGCACAGCTGTCTGATACTCCACAAGGCTCAGCGACAAAGAATAGCTGTAGACGTTCATATCCTTGTCTGCGAGGTAGACGCGATTATGAGCTGGAATGTAGCCCATGAGGTACAATGGCCTGTAATTGCAATCAATATAAGTCCAAAATCTCAGAACCAACCGCCTACGTGTCGAAGGGAGTAATTGTGTAAGACTCGGCGCCCACAAAGTAGTTCAATCGGTTGCTCGTAGTGAAAATGAAGCAGTCGCCAACCCATTTCGCAGTCTTCACGCTGCAATATATTGAGTACGAAGCAAGACTGAGATAATGTAATGCCCTTACCCCTCTTGCACTTCCGCAACCAGCTCGAAAGCTTCTTCTACTCCTTCGTCGCCGATCTCACCGCCTTCCTCCAACTTAGTGATGTAGGCGTCACGGTCAAATCTGAGGATATAGAATGAATCTTCTGAGGCAATTGCAACCAATGTGCCCGTGCCGGACCAGAAGACCTATGTTTCCTCGGGCATTAGGAGGCAAAAACCCCAAAGTAAATATACGCACATTTGTGGCATCAACCTCAATTCTGCGGACTACCTCTCCTGTCTCCCAGTCCCAGAAGAGCACAAACCCGCTGCCTCTCGCGGCTAACAATGTACCTCCGTAAAGACCGTCGATGGTCCACGAACCGACACCTTTTATACCAGCACCGCCACGCTCTCGGAAATTCTTATAGACCCGGACCTTGGTCTTACCCTCGAGAACAGCATATGTGTTGGAATCTCCCGCCCATGCAAATGCGTTTCCGTTCCCGAATGCTTTGTTCCGCCAAGCAAGTGCAGTGTAGACGATGTACTCCCCGTCACCTACCACAGTCACGAAGCGCCCATTCGGTGAATGGTTGAGCGACGTCGAGTAGATCTCGGTCGTTCCTAACTCTTTGATCGAGAGTGGAATCCGATTGCCCTCTGCGATTACATCATCTTGGATAGTCTGAAGGTTTGCTGATAGCACCTCGTTGTTGTGCGTGTAGATCAGTTTGCCAGAGGGGTCCATGCTGTAGGTGGGTTCGTCCCGGCCGAGCTGCCCAACGTGAGTATTGTGCGCCAGAATACACCGGTAGAGACGGATACCTTGATAACGACGATACCCTCGTCGTAACCGACTGCAATCTCGTTCGACGTCTTGCGAATAGCGATGCACCAGGCCCGCTCGAGCGCATAGCTCAACGTGTTCTCCAGGCGATATGTTCCACTATTCCAGATCTTCACCGTCCCGTCCTCACCACCGCTGATAATGATTGGAAGGTTTGGATGGAAGGCGACGAAGAGCACGTTATTCGTATGGCCCTCGAGGGTCTGTACGCAGCTTTTGCTCAGGTAATCCCAGATTTTGATGGTCCTGTCGTCGCTCGCAGTGACCAAGTACGGCTTATCTGCTCCAGGATAAAAGTCGACGTAGTTGACACCTTTGTCATGTGCTTCCAGAGTGAAATTCGGGTTAGACGAGCCCAAAGACCATATTTTGACGGTGCGGTCCAAGCATGACGACGCAAAGGTGTTCGGATCCTTCGGGTTGACGGAAATGTTCATGATGTAGTGTGTGTGACCTTCATATGTCTACCATGAAGAGACGTCCGTAAAGCATGGAGAATAAATAACTTATTCACTTACCTGTATACACCTCCACTGTTTGTCCCAATCCCACGCCTTGATTGTCATGTCATCACTGCCCGTAAGAACAATGCTCGCCGTGGGGTGAACAGTGAGACATCGAATGTAGTCGGGGTGTGCCTCGAAGGCAGCGACCTTCTCATGCGTGTTGTAGTTGAAGACGCGGAGTTGGAAGTCGTCTGAACCGGCGACGAACCAATTTTTCCGTGGAATAAAGCGTACGCAACGAACTGGAACTTCTGACACCTCAAATGACTTGATGATAGCGCCTGTCTCGTGGTTGTAAATGTTCACCGCGCCATTGTATAAGCCCGTGAGCAACCAAGGTTCTGTTGGATGAAAGTCGACTCCCTTGACACGGTCTGATCTACTGAATAGCTTTCTCTGCAACCAGTCAGAAATGACCCGGGCTTTCCGTACGAAGATGACGGAAGTACAAACTCACCTCGATGTCCAAAAGCATTCTCCGTACCTCGAATAACGTTGCTCAATTGCTCCGTTTGATAAAGCGACAAGTTTCGCGTCCACACTTTGTCAGGTAGGGTGAAGGAGCGTGAAACTGTGACGAGGGGCGAGCTTGACACTGTGAACCAGATTTGTTGGGACTGCAGTACCGCCCGCAACACGTAGATGGTGGCATGTAGGCGCCCGCTGCCCAGTATTTAGTCTACACGTGACCATTGGACGCGGGTAACTTGAAGTACTACAGACTACAGTAGTTGCTCTTGTCTTCCCCCACATCTCCGAACGTTTATGCGTCGCAGGATAGCTGGCAATTGATCAAATCTTGTGCTTTTTCTGCGTGTTTATCGCCAATGCTTTGATGGGCGCGGCGTGCGATAGACATTCATTTCCGGGTGCCAGTGACCCCAGCGTCGTGCAAGATTGCAATCTCGGCCCCTCAACAGCGCTTAGTATTTAACTTAGAACCTTTTCACCTTGCCTTTCACCGCAATATTCCTCCAGGGCGGCATATACTCGATACGCACGTCGAAAACTTCCGCAAAAATCTCACTCGTCTCCTGCATGCCTTACTTCCACCTTCTGTAGTGCGATATTTATTTCATTCCGCAGGAGCAAAGAGCCCGTGCAGTCGGGAAACGCATGGTCTGCACGTGTTGAACACAGTTCCTGTAGATGGTGGTGAGTTGGGCGACGGAGTGATCTGGAAGCGTATCAAGGCTCGCTGTCCATGTACGTTTTGCGCAGAAGCATGGCTGTCTGCCACGAACCTCGACGAAACCGCCAGGCAGTGGGGTCGCTTCCTCGATATATACTCTGTCCGTGATGTCCCTTCTCCTCATTCAGGGTGGTTTCTGTCCGTTCGCTCCTTGTTATCCTATCTACCTCTTCCGCTATGTCGTCTCCTCCTGCGAGAACCATCTCGCCTGAGCCTACGAGAACCGCGTCGCCTTCGAGGTCCTTTCGTTCCCGTGTGGGAACGATCATGCGACGTACTTCCTCTGGGCTTGCGTTTACTAAAGCTGGTTCTCTGTCACGATCCGCATCCAAGAGTTCCTTGAAGGTGGACGCAGCGCAGGCGTCGTCGTCCACCCACGACCTCCACTCTGCGCCGAGTCCCGTCATGGAGTCTCCCGCCCGCGAGGCCGCGGCGGAGAGCGAAGTGATCACACATCCTCCAGTAGGCCCTTCTCCACTATCCAACTCGACCACGGCTCCCGCGGAGCCTACCCCGCAACCAAGCCCTGGGCCCGCCGAACAGGCTCTTGCAGGAGAACCTAAAGAGGTTCCGGTCCTTGCACCTGCACCTGCGCCTGCCCCCGCAGAAACTGTGGAGCAGCCTGAGAGTGCTGCACCAGAGAGCGATGCAGAGCTGGTTGCGGCACACGAGATTGAGATACCTCACGTGGAGAGTCCCGAAAATCTATCCGTTGCTTTGGTGCCGTCACCTGCGCTGGTCTTCGTGGAACTTTCCAGTATTCCGGAGCCTCAGCCTGCCACCGAGCCGATTTCTGCGTCTCGGTCTATCGTAGAGGAACGACGTCCTGACTACTTCTCATGGACCGACGGGCACACCTTGGATCCGAATTGGTCAGCGTCTGACATTGAGGTACACGCGTCGACTGTTCCTGTCCAGGTTACTCCATCCAGTGGTGCGCCTACCACTGGCGTCTCATCTGAGACTATTCGTGCTGCTCAGACTGATGCTGAAGCATTCGCATGGCACGACGAACCCGCCGTGGTGGTAGCGAAGGAATCAATGTCTTCTCTCAGTGCGAAGGGCTCCGTTGAGGAACACTCAGTACCACGGTCTGGCCGCATCTCATCCAGGGCTAGCAAGTCCTCTATGGCATCTTCGTACGGGCAAGTTCTCAACACAGTAGGAAGGCGTACATCCGTGAATTTTAATGGAGGCCGTGGTCGTAGTTCCAGTATTCGGTTCGTCTCTCGATTCCGCGTTTGATGCTTGTTCCTGATAGAGTATTTCAGCATGCCAGTTGAAGAGCCGTACTCCAATCCTTTCGCTGATCCTCCGTCGCAAGCTGGCCCAACACTTCCTTCCGCGGAACCTCCGTTGCAAGCTGTCTCAAAACCACCGTCACTCTCTCCCGTCGAGAGTGTACCAGACAAGGCTCAGTATGTCACTCACATTTACACTTGGGACTCTGTGTTTTGACCCTTACCTCCTTCAGAGTCGTGGTAGCACATTCACGTAAAGAACCGTCCTATGCGGAGTTTCCTACCCCAGCTCCGGACTCCTTCCCTCTCCCTCCAGCTCGTGATGTCATTGCTTCCAGGTAAGCCTCAATGCTTCGGTCTTTTGAATAGCGTCAAACATCGCGACAGATCCTCCCATACTCCAACAAAGGGCTATAGCCTTGATGGATCGGCATATATGGACCAAATCCAACACGACACCGAGTGAGTCGGATGTAATCTATCGCGCGGACCACAGCTTAGCCATTTTGTTTCGCAGCGAAACACGCCCGCTCTTGCCGCGTTCTGTCAGTCCTGCCGTCGTCAAAGCTCCTTACCAGGGCGCACCTGACCCTAGTGGCGTACCATTCCCAACGATTGTACAGCTTTCTGGTCCCGCTGCGAGATATTCCTATGAAAGACTCGGCTGGAGCGAATACGCGCTTCCCGATAGTACGGTGTACTACGCCAATTCGGGGATGCACGTCACAACAGACATCGACCTGCGCAACGCAAAGAAGTTCAAGGCGGTAGCCGACTACGTTGCCCAGAAGTCTTCTGACGAATACGGGCTTGCTCCGCCGGGTTGGGAGCTGTGGCTGAGGGATGCAGGCCTTTTGAAAAAGGACTTCATGACGGTGAGGAATTGGGTCAATCACAAGGCACGCGTCGTGTCAACCGTGCCGCCCCATGATGTGTCGTTCGACAACATCACGGATGATGACAGTAAGTACATCGACTGTTTTCCCTGGTCGGTGATTGAATGTGCTGCTAGGATTGGATATGGAGTATCGGTATTGGGTCTTCCTCGAGGGACATCCAGCTCATGCTCCGCTTCCTGCTGAAGCTCGTGCGGAAGCCATGGATGCCTTGTCTTGGTCATATACAGGTGCGGCGACCGTCTCATCTCAGGCCTTTGATATCATTTTGAGTGATGTGCAGATTTTCTTCTTCCGTCGCAAAAACCAGTACCTCCACCATTCTCACCACAAGAGTGTCAAGAACTTATGAGGCTTCTACGGTCGTCAGAAGAAGGTTCCACAGGTGGATCTCTCGTTCACACACGCATCGTCGCTCGAGTGCTACTACGGAAAGGTTTGTCATTCAATAACATCAGAACTGTATTTTTTATCTTGATCATATTCGCAGTACAATGGCGTCAGCATTATTTCCGTCCACATAGGCCTCTTCCCCATGACACGAACAGACAATCAGCCCTTCCTACACCTCACAGACCTTTCGGTCGGACGATAGTTGATTTCTTCGTATCGTGCCTCTGTTTAGGTATCCCTTACCTCTTCTTGAACCGCTCGCATCACCAACGAATAGACGAAGAGAGCGGTACGCGGAGTGCTGGGTCGATGCTCATGGTCGATGCATGTGCTTGTCTAGTGGTAAGTGCTTCTGGTTCACGACGAAGCATAGCTCTCACACCTCCGCGCAGGCTGCCGTCATTTTGAGTGCCTCTGTGACGTTCATCTCGTTGCCAGGCCTGGACGATGTTGCGAGACTGGCTGGTCTAATCGCAATCTTGTTCTCAGCCTCAAGCATGATATCAACTGTGATCGCGCTGTTCCGTTACAAGGCGGAGAGAACAGTAGTCTATGTTGGAGGTGAAGGTCTCATGATGTTGTCGGTGAGTGCTTACCGTGCATAGCGCGCGACTCGGGCCTGACGTGGACTTTCTCCACATCAGACGCGCAGCATCATCATGTCGCTGCCGCTCGTTTTCTTAGCGTGGGCAATAGCAGCCTTTATGACAGGCATCACATTCTATTCCTTCCGTGGAGCCACTCTCACAGGACGAATGGTCATCAGACATCCTTTCGAGGCATATACGCACTGGGCGGTGGTGGGAACGCTAGGGGGGTTGGGTGGGGTGTTGCTTATGTGCGCTCTGCTGGCGCGCCGTTGATGCGAGAGGTCTGTAGAGACGTAACTGGTGTCGATATGACTACTTTCATTCTGCTATCTATTGTGCGCATTCATCATTGGTTTCTGTAGTAGTATTGCTCCACTTCTGTTGAGCTGGTGCTTGGCATGTTCTCAGTTGTTCCTCTGTATTACCAGTATTGCAGAGGCGATGAATCGTGTACGACATGCGATGCACCTATTGATGTATCGATGAACTACGAACGGATCACTCGCAAGATCCGTCTGCGTTCTGAGTGGAGTGCCAAGTGGATGATTGAGCATGAGGAATCACTGTGACTCCATGACTGGGATCCATGCCGGTAATATACCTACCATCAACTCGAAGTCAATGTGCGTGCGTCTGATCCCACTGCGGGCGCTAGGCTGTCGGTCCCGCCGCCAGTACGTATATGAGGACTTCACCTAGACATGCCTTAGCCAACCTAATTTCTATCATGTCTCATGGAAAGCAGTTCACGCTCTTCTCCCACCCACTTGGACCGAACGGCATGTAAGTTCTACATTCAAATCGTACCATCCTGCTGGCACTGCGTCATCTGATGGTAATATTTCCAGTAAAGTTGCCATAGTATTGGAGGAGCTAGGTTTGACTTATGAGGCGGTCTATTTGAGTGCCTTTGAGGAGGGTGATCGTAATGTCAAGGGACCTCTACACACAAAGTACAACCCGAATGGTCGCATTCCAACTTTGATTGACCACAGAAGCAGCGACTTTGTAGTGTGGTATGATCACAGGCCCGCAACCTTAGTTGTCTGAGCTGATGGCGTGAGAAACAGGGAATTCTTACGTACCTTGTTGAAAGATACGATGCCGAGCACAAAATATCGGTCACGGATCTGGAGGACAAGATAACCCAACTTCAGTGGTTATTCTTCCAAGCTTCTGGACAAGGGTCAGTAGCTCTTCGTGCATTTTCTGACTCCGATTATAGTCTGTACTGACAGTACCTCGCTATAGACCGTATTTCGGCCAGGCTGGCTGGTTCACCAGCTGGCACCCGGAGAAATTACCGAGCGCTATTGAGAGATACCGGAAAGAAGTCCTTCGTGTATTCGGGGTGCTCAACAGCGTGCTGTCTAAGCAGGAGTGGCTCGTTGGCGGCAAGTGCACCGTAGCAGATCTTTCCTTCATCCCGTAAGTTTGTAACCCGGTAGTCAGCGTTCGGTGTGACGTGTATCTTCCTTCAGGTTCAACGTTCTAGCAATTACCGACTATGTTGCAGACTACAATGGATTTGACTTCGCCAGGGACTTTCCTGCAGTGTTCAAGTGAGTGCAAATGCCAATGTTGATATAAATTTACGAAGTATCCTGATCGATCGACTGAGGTGGCATAACGACCTCGTCAGCCGAGAAGCGGTTCGCAAGGTGTATGAAATCAAAGATTCGTTGGAGGGCCGCGTATTGATGTAATCCAATGCTTCTGTCACCGCCGTTCACTGGCCATGAATCTCGGATGTGAACTGCCAGGTACATATTATTCGCAAGGCCTGTACATGTATATTTTCTACCTATATCAATCAAAAGAACACTTAGCATGATGGCGCTTGCAGCTAGCGATGAATATACGTACTCGCGGCTTGTTGGGACGATCACACTGGGTAGCTACTTTGAAGCGCTATGTCAAGTTTCCGAGTCCAATCAGGCACATTGTATGTGCTACTGTCTATATGTTGAAGTCCTGTCAAAAACGACCATCGTCTGATCCGTGCGCTCAATATGAGCCACCAAAATTCATAAAGGGTCCGAGACGTGAAGGGCTTCGTACCAACCCTCTCATTTCTAGTGATTTCTAAGGCAGTGATAGTGGCATGTCCCACGGAAAGCGACTCACTCTCTTCTCGCCCATTCTAGGTCCTAACGGCATGTAAATGTCAGCCTGTGCATTCTTTCCGAGAAGATCAGACTCATGAAGTTCCCGGAAGCAAAGTCGCCATAGTTCTGGAAAGGCTAGGTTTAACCTACGAGATAAAGAACCTAATGTATAAGCCGGGCGACCGTAACCTGAAGAGTCTTGATCACACGAGATACAACCTGAATGGACGCATCCCGACGTTGATCGATCACAGGAACGACGACTTCGTAGTTTGATCAGCCATCGTGCATGATATCTTCATCCTGTGCAAGTGTCGGACTAATGCACAGAGTCAGATGCAATTCCTGACATACCTTGTTGAGAAATATGGACCAGAGCAGACTATATTCGTCGTGAATCCCCTAGAGAGATTTGTCAAACTGCAGTCGCTATTTTTCCAGGCTTCTGGGCAAGGGTCAGTATCCTGGGGTGACCATCACTACCATGTGCTGAACATGCGACCACTGACTTTGCAGGGTGCAAGTTGCATGGTCCATTAGAGCCTACCACGAGAAGATCCCCAGCCGTCGAGAGATACCGAGGGAAAGTCCTTTGTGTGTTCAGAGTGTTCGACAAGGAGCTTGCTCGACAACAATGGCTTGTCGGAGGTGCATAATAGCAGACCTTGTGTTTGTCCCGTAAGCTCAACAATCACATCTGGCATTGCCGATACCGTCTTTGCCATCAGGATGAACATACTACATTGCCACACTTGTTCGTTGCGGGCTACAATGCCAGGCTTTTACCTGCAGTACGCAGTAAGTAGTGTGCATCAAAAGGTGAAACGTGGACTGACGGTTTGACATAGCACAATGATCGATAGAGAAGCTGTTCGCGAAGTGTAGAGTTGAGTTCTCGTGCATATTATTTGCGCATTGCACACTGGATGTGCCGAGTAGCAGAAAATGCTGATCAGCCGCAGAAGACATCAGTTTTGTTATAGGCAGTACATATATGCCCGAAGAAGTAAGTGTCACTAAGAGCCGGTTTGTCGTCAACGCTTCACAGGTTACAGTTTCGCAGTAGCGAGGTAGCGTTGACGGCTCAAAAGCAGCTTCACCGAGTGTAATTTTTGATATAGAGAAAGTTGGGCGGAGCGTGAACTACTTAACAAAGGTCCGGAATGCTGCATAACAGCTCAGAACAAAGCACCGATTGGCCAATGGCAGCATACCATCTTCTAACCCCTCTGGCAATTCCGGGATGTACCTACAATGTGTGAGCATGAAGGTCATCGTATTGAAATCACCAGTAGCACAGTAGATGTTTCAACCAAGAATGAGCACGTTTGACCCCAAGGGACGAGTGAGGATGGGGCAATCGCGTAAGGAATACAAACACGAAAGCACGGCATAAGTACTCGATCGACAAACCCTAACCCTCTTCGGCTTGCAAGCTCACTCAACACCCAGAAATTCCAACACACTCCCTTGAGCGAAGCAAGCTGATAAAAATGACTCACTCCCTGAAGCAGAGCACTCCCTGAAATCTCCACCTCAACCTCAACAACTCAACAGCATCCAATCCACCAGTCAAAATCCTTCCCAATCTCCGACATCCAGCCAGTGGTCCATGCCCAGACCAGCAGGGCTCCGACTGATGACTCTTAGGCGACAAAGAGAGACAATGACGATGGTTCGCACCAAGTTCCTCAGCAATCCTTCAACTTCTTCTGCAACTCTTCAACTTCTTCAACTCTTCTTCAACCAACAGATTCTTCTGCGCCGACAAGCGATGACTTCCTTCAAAAGATCCAAAAGATCAACCACGACAAGATTATGGTCCTCGAGCAGACACGGCATGTGAGAGTCGGAAAAGTGAACCTCGACCTCAACAGAGAATAGCATATGACACATCTTCACAGCATCACAGCGAACAGCAGGCTTTTGGCTGCCCCCAGAGCCACTTGGGTAAACCTCCAAGCTAGGTCATGCGATTGTATTGAAATCACCAGTAGCACAGTAGATGTTTCAACCAAGAATGAGCACGTTTGACCCCAAGGGACGAGTGAGGATGGGGCAATCGCGTAAGGAATACAAACACGAAAGCACGGCATAAGTACTCGATCGACAAACCCTAACCCTCTTCGGCTTGCAAGCTCACTCAACACCCAGAAATTCCAACACATCATGTATGGCACAGCGGACTACACACCTCTTAATTATAGTGGGAACTGTAGGATACATCCCCGTCTGTACGCATTGTTCCAACTGTTCAGTAACTGGGATCTTGTAGAATGTCGGTGTGGCGCCCTCCATCGTGATGCCCGCAAATGTATGAGATCGACACGCGGGCAATCTCATTCGGCGGACACGGTGAAAGTTATTATAGTAGAATGCCGCAATGGCTTCTGCGATTAGCTGCGGCTCCGGATCCTTTTCTTCATTATGACCCTTGTCCTCCTGAACAAGCAGGAGGATACCACTGGAGTCCATCAGACAGACGTCGGTCTGTGCATGCACCGTGTTGCCGCACACGATGAAGGTTAGATTTTTACGAGTGCGAACAACTTTAGACATGTCCACGTAGTGCATGGCGCGGAGTAGGGCTGACACAAGGTCATCCACGGCAGATTCCTCCATCGGCGCGCGAGCCATGGCAAGTTCCATCATACGAAGGAACTGAAAAGTATCGAGGTCCGTAGCATCCTTAGATGCAATGGTACTGAGAAACGTCGGTGGAACCTGCGGGTCTGGGAGCAGGGGAGGGCTTGGAAGGGTGAAAAATGTCTGTAAATCTTCGTCCTCAACAGCAATATTATATGCCATGAGTTCATTCGACGTCCAGTCATTACCAGACTTTGTAGAACGAGTACTAGAGCAGCCATGATTTCGAGCTCGAGCCTGAGAACGTAAAAGTAAACGAGGACTCGGAGTTGGTGGACGTTTGACGCTCCGCGCGAAATAAATCTCACCAGCCAGATCATCGAGTGGAATAACTACTACGATACACATTGCGTTCGACAGCTCCAATTACACAGATTGCAGAGTAGTAACCAGTAGACTGCCATTGAGTCGCAACTCAATAATGCGGTTCTCTGCCGGTCGGAGAAGAGGGGGAACGGACTCAAGCTCATCAACGAGCATCCGAAGGGGATCATCGATTTCTGGGGTCTAGCGAGGACGTTCTAGTCAAAAGGAGAGGTTCACTAGATAGAAACTCACAAAAGCCTCTCGGTATTTGAGTGCCATAGCATGTACGTGGAACAAGTTGTTTAACGATACATGAACGTTGAAACTCGAATTCGAAGAGGCCTTGTCCTGCTGATAGTGAGTCAAAGGAACAGCCGGATACCCGCACGAACCAGAATGACTTGCCTCTATCACACTATCGTCAAATTCACCCACTTCACAGAGATCGTTCAGGAATCGGTTCACTCGAGACCTGTTCTTCTCGATATTCGGAGCTAGGGCATCCATATACGACTGCTGCTCGACACTCAATGGCATGTTCCCATATTGCTGCAGTATTAGCGATACCTGTGTCAAACGCCATTAAAGAAAGTCTGGTCCTGTCGGGGATACGTACTAAAGTCAACGACCTACGCGGATGTTTTGCGAGAACACCACTGATGGGCAGATAGTCCTGAGGTGTCTGGAGAACAGGGCAGATCAGACGGACAAAGAACAGTCCACCGATCACTGAGCTGATAGACCCTTCAGAAGCATCGGGAAATCTTTGCTGAGAGTATGATCAATGGCACTGCCGGGAAAGCCAGTGAAAAAAAGGTTGCTCACCTGCACCAATGTCCTGATCTGCTTGCAGATCCATCGGATACCAAAAGGAACACTGTCCAGTTGCTCTACGATGGTCAAAAGGAAACTATCTACAATTTCATCGAGCATTTTCAACCGAGGACCTATGATAGCCTGCACGTTTTCATTTTCGGCAGCGAGCTCCGGTGTCACGTTTCTTGCGAAGGGATGATGCACGGTCCCTGTCGTTTCTTCCACGGACTGGACCAGCTGAATGTAAACAACTTGCGGATCGATCTCCAAATTCAAGTCTTCGTAATTTAGAATTTTGTATATCCTCTGGGAAAGTACAGCAGCAATGTAGTCCTGAGGAACCTTGCGGCGGGTATAGCAAACCAGCATGGGGGAGATGGGGGTGTTGCGGCAGAGCAGAGAGTCGAATTGCGTGGTGCCTTCCATGTAGGAAAATAAGACGGACCGTATCGTGGTCAGGACAAGGGCTTCCTCTTCACGGCGCTCTGGGCCAGCGCTATTATACAACGAAAACATAACCGTGTTGAGCAACGCTCCCAGCTCGCTGAGATCAACGAGCTGGCAAAGCCAAGCGATACGCTGAGGGTCAGAGTATAGCAGACGTAAAAGTTCCGCGTATTTCCTCAAATTTCTGTCCGACACGATTGCAGCAATTTCCGGTGGTGTCTGCCTCTCAGAAGTATCTTTGACGTTGCGGAGTCCGAGTCTAAATACAAGACGATCACAAACATTATGACAGGTCTGGTCGAAAGAAACTACGGACCTGGCTAAGAAAGATTTCACGGCACTTATGGCGGGGATAGCGCAGATGCACATGGGAACTCGGGCTGAACTTCACGCGTCGAGGCTGCATAAGTGGGGGCAGCGCCGCTACCGGCGGTGCTAGAAACACACACGGGTTATAGATATTCCTTTCCAGACCTGCCTGTATCGGAGCATTGCGATTCATGTTGGCGAACTTCCATCTGTCGTATCGTTGACACCGTCGCAAGGAGCCGTGATTCCGCAGTGGCATCGAATTCTCAAGAACAAAGGATCTTGTGCCTGGTATCGAGCTCCGCGACAAATATCAAAAGAAGCCAGCGCGCATGGTGTAGACCGTTGTCCAGGGAGAACAAAAGACTGAATAGAAAAGAGGCAGTTGTTGACGAGTTATTGATGACAGTGGGTCCGTATAAACCACGTGGCTTGCCACCGTCCCGATTTGTTGAGGTTGCAGCTGTACACACCGTGACGGAATCAAACTTGTCTCCCGTCAACTTGTGAGGGTAGCGACAAAAATTCAAACAAGTGGAGGCTGGAAATTCCCAGAAGTTCATCGTTCTTGCTTCGACGCTATTCTGCGCCATACTGGGCCTCTTGAGATGTCAATCGAAGTTCCACCACACGCCTGGTCCTTGTTCTGTGTGACCTGGTAACATGTAATCTCTCGTAATAATTCAGTACCTCAAGGATGAACCGCCCTCTATATCAACGTCGTCTCATGAGGTACCCTGATCAGCAATCCTTCAACTCCCTCGCACCTTGACTTTGTCTCCGACGATGAGCGAAAGACCTCAGCGACCTCTACCGAAGTCCCGTATCGTCAATCAACCTGCAGCCACAGAGCAGAGTCAAGACACTCTGCAACGGATGCCGACCCCGCAACCGGCACCTCATCAGGTTCTGCGCGCAGGTCGCGAGGATACACTGCCGTCTGTCGGCGGGATTGTTCCCGGTTTGAGCGCTAGCTCTATGCCGACCTTCAGCAATTCGGATATGCAACAAGCAGCAATGCTTCCGGATGCTCCAGGCGACAAGGCCTCCTCGGGGCAAATGCCTACAGTTGGAGATATATATCCTGAAGTCCCAGTTGGCAGTCATCGACAGACGCAGCCTTCCCATAATCCTTTCTGGCAACCTGGCTGCTCTTTGAAGCCAAACGATAACCGCGACGGATCGCGAGTGGTTTCAAGCTCTTCCGCGCCAGGGTATCAACATTCTTCCTCTCGCTCCGTTGGTCCAACGCCAGGGCGCACGCAGCACGGAGTATCTCCGCACAGCTCCCGCCGGAACAGGACTGCACATGTCAGGATATCTGATCGTGACAGCGACACGACGTCTGTTAGCGACAGCGGCATTGTTCCAGAGATTCTTCGCCGCGCTGGAGGTACACCCTCCCGACAACTGGACAAACTGCCCGATGGGTAAACTTATTTTAAATAGATGGATGGTTGAGAACTCACGGGTGTGCACACTACAGAACCACCATGTCCAATTGGACAGAATACGTCCATTTGGATGGGAGTATCTATTACTTTGATCTTCGCCGACTTGTGGTCACTCCAGACGATATCCAGCAACGTCCCGTACTCGACGCGCTGGAGAAAACGCTAAAAGACATTGCTTTCCGCCCAGGAGGCGACACTGAAATGATCATCAAAGGTTTGTGCGGGACTTCCGAACCTATGGTGTTCTACCTCAACCACGGCTACGGCTTGTACATTGAGCCCGTCATGCCTGGGGCCGAACCGAAGGTCTCGGATCCTAAGTTCCGCGAGGAGGAGAGAACGGAGCTCTATTGGAAGCAGCTGGAAACATTTCCGATGCACTTACCGCAACTACCTTTTGATGCAGAGGCAGAGTTCTTCCGCGCGATCACGTTTGGGTCTAGCGGTATGTTCCATTAAGCACAGCGTCAGCCTGTTGTTTACATGGTTATACAGAGAGGATCCTGGAATGGACGAAGACACCCTTCCCGTTCAGCGAGCATCAAGCGACGCGCCTTCTTCAAGTGTACGATGACCTCAGAGGTGCGCCATCATGACCTATCAGGATATATCTAGCTGAGCCATGTACAGAGGCAGCGTCGCAAGGGCTCAAGGTCGTCCCCGCACAAGCGTGGCTCATCGCTCGGACCATGGCGCGCATCGAGGTAAGCCGAAGGCAGGTGAAGCACGGCACCCGCGAGTTCAGCATGTATCGCGCGGTCGCGGTGAGCCCAACTAGGTGGCAGGTGCGCGTTGCGGACGTGTGTCTCGTCTTTCTGCTGTTCGGTGTTCAGCGGATGTACCGCCTGCGCTTGGAAAGTGTTCGTGTGAAGGGCGTGGTGTATCCCCCGGACTTGCGAGATTTATTCAAGAACTTCCTCGCTGAATGGGCTGGTACGTTACATTTCCGGGCGTTCACGCACCATCATAGACTAACCTTTCTTTACAGATTCTAATCTGCTGGTCAGTGCTACACGCTATGACCTGAAAGTTGATCGCTCACCAAGTTTCTGCCTACACAGGCCACAGTGTTTGTTAGGTAAGTTTTTTTAATCTCGTTATGTGCTGAACAAGAACGAAGTCATCAATCTGGAACAGTGCGAACATAGCTTTCCTTGCCCTGTCGGTAAGTCGCAAAGCGAGTGGTGGCTGGTCAGCGGTCTGATAGTTGAGGAAAGGGAGGCACAAGCATTCAACGCACTGCATCTCTAGCATCTACTCTCTTTGCCGTGACTAGCGTCGTATCCGGTGTGCACCACCTCTGGCAGCACAGAACGAAGATCGATAGTCCAGAAGAAGCGGTACGCTGCATAGCTGCTAAAACGTTCTCTTGCTGAAATATTCATATATGCAACAGCGTGCCTACCTATCTCAAGCAGACGCTGCCGGTGCTGATATCCAGCTTGCAGTTATCTCGTGCTTCCTCTCTGTTCCCGTGTCTTCGCTTTTATGGTCCATCCTATGCTTCACGGTTGCGCTCGGCGCGCTGTGCATTCAGGGTACCGACCTTCGGGGCGAGATCCTGCTCGCAGTAGTGTTGGGCATCCTCGGGCTACTCTGCGCTGCAACGCTGCTATTCTTTTGGGACGTATGGCGTGGGACGAGAAGAGAAGAAGTGCAGGAAGAGGAGGAATGGGCTGTTGTGGACCACGGGTTGAAATGGAGGCTGAAAAGGTCCTTGCGGAAGCTGAAACTGCTTGTGCTCAGAAAGATGAAGATCCAGACAACCGTGCAGCTCGAGGAAATAAGCAAGCATAGCTGAGGAAATTCAGATGCCACGTATCCCACTTTCTAGTTACCCCTTATAAACATCACCATACTTAGTCGCTTTGCCCATGTACATTCCTATCACACTGCTCACTTGCAGGCAGCTCAGCTTCCTGTGCGCTGGGGACGGACATTGTCGTGCGTGAACGTCTACACGCATGAATGCACATGATCATTTTGGTCGGCAGAAGACTAGAGTAATAGACACGACTAATAGACGTAGCCGAGAATCTTGCCACCGACGTTCTTACGACGTGCCTCCTCGTGGTCCAAGATGCCAGACGACGTCGTCTAACATTTGCAGTCAGTATCGACGTTGCAACACGAGCAAGTGACAGATGACGCACGAGAATAATGTAGCCAAACCCACGAGAAGGGAGAAGCAAGTTGACCCATGTCTCAATCTGCGATACCTGAATGTTGAACCTAGGTGATATGACACCCGTTTTGTTCAGCCGCCCGTTTAGCTGGATGACGATCTTGCCCGAACGGTGGTCATCCACGATCTCAAATTCGCCGATGTAACCTGTAGCAAAATACTTGCATCAGTATCCATATCAAAGGTAGTACAGTGAAATTGTAAGATGGATGTTATCTCCACAGTGAAATTGTAAGATGGATGTTATCTCCACAGTGAACTCATGACCAGTGGAACGAAGGAAATGTGTTGTTTTGGTTCTGAAAGATGGTTGATATATCGGAGTGTTAAAACGAAAGGCGGGTGGAGGCGAAACCTCGTCCATCGTAGTTATCACCCCGAAACTGGCGTAGCATGTAGCGAAGAGTACGTCACGAAAAGTGTACACACCGTGGCGCTGCATCACACTCAAGAACTTCACAATGACTTTCGATGAAGGTCGGATGAGGACCTGACGCTTCCCCCTGCGCTCGGCATTGACAATATTGTTCTGCATGCTGGGTCAGCATCACAAGCCTGCTGAAACTGCACGCAGTCATACCAAGCAGTCGTTCTGCAAATGACTATCAGATCACTTTCAACCGGAGAGTCGCCGTTGCACTCACCAAAACAGAAACGCGAACCATGGTGAATTAACGAGAGAAATGGGAAGCGGCGGGGAACTACGAGGAGAGACCTAGAGTAAGCAAGCTATGCTCGTCCGAGTGTCGCGCTATGGAAAGCACGAGTCAAGACGAGACTTGAACGGAGACACAACGAGCGCAGTCGCTGTCTCTGCCGCTGCGGACATCGTCAAAGGAGGCGTATTCACCTTGAAGAGTCTTGACGTTGCTGGCGGCGGTGAAGAGCTCCGTATGATCTGTGGCGGGAGATCGGGGAAACTGTACAGTACCAACCCAGCCACCCGGCAACTTCCGTATCTCAGCCACTTTCTCTACTCCCGTTCGTTGCGTACAAGTCAAGCCGCAGTCTTCAAGAAGAGCAGAGCCTCGCAACATATCTCTTTCTCAACATGGTGAGTGCTTACGTATCTTCTCAACATACCTCGGAGACTGAAATTTCAACGGTGGTAGGGTCGTGTTCGTACTAAGACTACCAAAAGGGCCTCACGTGTGCTCATCGAGAAGTAGTGGGTAGCCAGACATTCATATTTCGTACTCCAGAAAGGAGGACGGCAAGCTGATTTATTGCCCCAGCTATCCGCGCCTCACGCTCGACTTCCACACCAACAAGCGTATCATCGATGAAGTCGTGCGTACACAATCACTTGTTCTACTTCGCGTAGAAATTGACATCCAGTCCCGCATGCTTAGGCCGTCGTCCCCTCCAAACGTCTCCGGAACAAAATCGCTGGCTTCACAACCCACTTAATGAAGCGTATCCAGAAGGGCCCTGTCCGTGGAATCTCCTTCAAGCTGCAGGAGGAGGAGCGCGAGAGGAAGGATAACTACGTGCCTGAGGTGTCTGCCCTCGACACGAGCGTCAGCGGGCTGGAAGTCGACGGTGACACCAAGGTGCGTCCTCCGTGTCGCCCATTTATGTCTTCTTCTCACAGCCCATACCCGATAGGACCTGCTCCACGCACTCAACTTCGACTCCGTCCCCGTCACTGTAGTCGTGCCTGTTGTTGCTGTGCCAGAACGCGGCCCCAGACGTGAGCGACGGAACGTTCCTGGTGCGGGCCGTTCGTAAGGCGATTTTGGGCGAGGTTATGCCTTATGACTTATGTCCTGTACTGCTGTATCGATGATCCCATTTCCCGCCGTCGCCCGACCCACATAAACTGTCAGCGCATCTATTCCGTCTTTATGCACTTGTTTTCAAGTAATCTGTTGGTCGCAATTGGCTCCATGGATCGATACTGCTAGGATTGGCAATGGAGCTCAGTTGAGCGAATGCATCAGATTTGAGTGCTGCTGACAGTACCGCTTGGGCTCTACATGACATGTTGACAGGCTAAGTCGTCCTGCATGATGAACGCACTTCCCTGCGAGAATCCCCAATTACGCTGATTTTCAGAAGCGTCTGCCCCCATCGCTGAATGAAACTACTAAAAGAAAAGTCCGCATACAATATATACTCGAAATGTAAAAATTAATTTGGCCCTACGAACTGGTACAATATCCGGCGAACTAGCCCTGAGAGATGTTGCGGGTCGTTCTGCGAGTCGACGCCGTCAGTATGCGCAATAGCAAGATACAGGGGCGGCACTTACTTGGTAGGTACTCTGCGAGAAAGAGAGCCGCATGAGTCAGTCTCTCGTCACGCACACAAATCGCGAGGACGCACCATCACCATTGCCATTGCCATCGCCGTAAACTACACCGATTATATGAGATCAGGCACCTCACGCGAGCGAGACAGCAAGAGACACGCACCAGCACCTCGCCCACCTCGCCCGTGCGGAACACGAGCCCTCTTCCACGCGCCATGATCCACGCGCTCTCGAGCGCCTTCGGGAGTACGTACATCGCGAGCTCCTCGCGACGATGCTTCTCCTCGACGAATAGCGAAAGCCCGGTCATGAAACCCAGTACCCAGTAGCTCGACTTCGAGATCAACAACTCGATTGGGCCCGGCGGGAGCTGCTGCGCGAGGACCGCGATCAGCGGGTGAGCGCGTGCGGAGGCACGAGAGGAGCGCAGTGCGCTCAGCGCATTGTAGAGGTTGTGCTTGAAGCACAACACGCCTGCGTGCGCGTCAGCCACGTCAAGCGCGGAATTGAAGCGATTGCGGAAGACACTCCGACGCACCCTGGAAGATGATAACAAACGCCCCGAGGAACGCTGAGCTGCGCGTGGTGCCCCAGACAGCGCGGAGGAGCATCCCGACGGGATCCTTCGCCACTCGCTGGCGGCGGAAGAGCAGCAACGGCACAAGGTGCAGCGCGCCGTAGATGGGGAACATCCACCGGAATACATCCAAAAAACGTTCGACCTGCACAAGTGTGCACGAGTCGAGCCACGGATGCACCGCCGCGCACCGCGGGAAGCGCTGGCCATATGAGCGTGCCGGCGGCGGAAGCGAGGCGGAGGCAAGGAGTTCGAGCATCTCAGCGCGGTTCGCCGGGGTTGTGTTCTGGACATCTCCATGAGGAAAATGCCAGGGAGCGAAAGAAATAAGACTCACCTTGCGGGCGATGAGACTCTCCAAATCGGAGAGCTTGAACGTGCCCTCATTGACGATGTCATGGAACATGGACACGGTCTCACCGTAAACTCTACTTGCTTTCAGGATCCTGAACGCATCTGTCAGTATATGCGCAGATATGATGTGCGTTGTGCGAAGCCGCACCATGTATTATACGAATGTGGGAGCGTCTCAGGATGCAGCAGCCAAGAATACATAATCTGACCACAGCTGGCACGTAATTAGGATGCGCCCAGCCGGGAGATGAGAACTGACGTACCAGAGCGAGAACAGTAAGATGTCCCCATGCGGGATATGGATACCGTGCTTTGATGAAAAAGCGTTATACGAACCCTGCAGACCCCTACCCATGGCGTCAACGGCATAAGCGGGACGGTCCTCGCAACTAAACGTACTCACCGCACAAACATCTGCTGCGCAATCCCAGCACGTCGATCGCGCTTCTCAAACAAGATAGCGATCCCACCAGCAACCGCGCCTGCGAGCACAGAGTACCACCGACGAGTGCGCTTGCGCACCCATATCTGGTGAGCCTGCGCACTCATTGAGAGACGGGCATGGCGCGATCCTTTTGTGCGCCCCTGCTCGGCAATTTGGAGGTCGTGTTCGACATCATCCTCGTAGAAGGGTGAGTCAGGCGGGCTTTCTTCCAGGAATACGGATCGGAGAAGCGACTGTGAGCGGGATGCGCCATGGTGGCGGCGCCGGATGGGTTCCGGAAGGAAAATGGGAAGAGCATTGAGTATGAATTTGTAGATGGCGACGAATGAACCTGGGCAACATATAAGTAGACGGAATAGTATCTGAGAAAGATCATACCAAGCATGGTTGCAAACCGCATAGAGTCGGGACCAAATGCTGCATGTCGGATGAGGGCAAACCGCATATTTCTGCCATTGTTTCATCAAGTGTGAGCGGTTTTTGTTACGACGATGGTGGCCCGTAGGGCCGCCTATGATTCATACTCATCACCGAATAAATAGTGACAGCACAGAAAACAGGGTCGTCTCCGAGAGAGCTGCCCGGGGATGTGCAGGCTACACAAAATGTCGCATAAATTGAAATAAAACGCGCATTGCACTTGCGCAAGAACCATTCGCGTGAATAGAGACTAGGTAGGTAATATTGCCAGTAGGGCGTGTGGACAAATACCGGACCATACTCACACCTTCCATTATGCACGAAGATAGTTTTCCCGAGCAAGCCAATACGCCAGGAGTGAACGACGGCTCACCTCGGAAGCCTTTTGATTCTCGTCATAAGTAAGATCAGATTCACACCGGAACGAATGGCAAAGGCGAGACCTCCTGCGCCTGAAACATCTCATGTTCGCATCAGTAGAATTGAAGGACAATATGCACGTACGTAGACCGCCTCTTCCTGCATGCTCAAGACAGTCCCAGAGGTCGTTTAACTCGACCGGTTTCTCTCCTCGATCACGCCATACTATCTTGCGAGCTTCACGGAGACGTTCCTCATAGTTGGCGAGAGCAACAAGATTCTCGAAAGAGGCCATGGCTACGCCTCTTGTCCGAAACTCGACGAAGGAAGGTTCGCGAGAGATCGGCGGGTAGTGCCCATGGTAGTTCTGAGCTTCAGGATCAGACATATTGATCAAGCGTTTGTAGGATATAGTTTGAAGAGAACGTCAAGAGAGTGTGGAAGGGGAATGGCGAGGAGAGAAGGGGGATGGGACGGGATAAGACGCGTGGTGGGGAGATGATGGCATGGGACGCGTTGCTCTGGGGTTGGTCACGTTCCCGGTACCCGCTCAACTCTCTTTTTCCCAGTCTGTCCCTCTCGGTTAAGTCACATTTGCCTCGTGTTCGTGCGTGCACCGTGTCTGGAATTCCTCTCGACTCATACATACCAGCCTTCGCGGTTTGTTGCGCGCTCCTGCAGCTTCAGCTCAATATTTACGGCAATTGAGCGCATATATGCGTCCGCAACGCTTTCTAAACGGCTGCCGAACTTTCCTTTCCCACTTGAAAATCAGATGAGCCTTGCAGAGAATCCCGCGGGGATTGACGTGGGCTCGTGCGAGGACAACATAGATGAGTCACGATAGAGTTCAATATTCAATATTTGGGATTGTCGAGGAACGTGCCTGCGCCATCTGACGCGCGCTGTGACATTGACCAACTCGACCCCTCTCCCGCCCTTCCATTGCCGTTCTGTCTCTTACTTTCAACCATGTCCAAGCAGCCCAGTCAGCATGATCTCCAGCTCCCGATTATCGCACACACCACACAGGACGGCCTGGGTAAAAATCAGACTACGAACTACATTATCTTAACTTCTCGAAGGAGATTCGAGGGCCTCGTGCTGCTATCGTTCTCCGTCTTCGTGTGCTTTTGGTATACGACATGGTTTGCTGCAGTGCCAAGAACCGTTTTCGAAGAATTGGATAATACGGGGTCTTACTTTCGGCAGAGCCAGAATTGGGCGCAGTATTCGCCATACTATCCCGTGGAACCGTATCGCTCTCCGCCGTCGAATTGTGAGGTCACGCAGGTGAGATCAGATGTCTTTTTGTGCACTCGGAAAGAGAGGGGGGGTGTTCTCTCTTCGTATCTGAGGCATTGGAGTCTCGGTGTCATCATCAGTCTGTCTCCGCCTCAACCAAGGCCTACCGATCTCTCATCTTCGGAAAGTTCATTGGGCTGGCCAGTTGCACCTGAATAGTCTGTGCAATCCGCTGGATCACGATGAGCATGTCAGGTACATCGGGCTCAAAGGTGACTATACCTGCAGTGTTCCAACTCTGCCTTTGGTTCAAGTTCAGACTTCTGGTCGGTCACGTCATCGCACGAGATCGGAGAGCATCTTGGCTACCAATCTGATCGGTCTGACGTATTATTGTTCATACAGGTCAACATCGTATGAAGGTTCCCGCTCATGAAGCGTGCGACTGGCATTCACGATTTCATGATTAGCTTCAAAGACACGGCGCACGCTACCCCACCGCGGGATCATCAAAACATATACGAGGCGCTCTGAAGAAGCTGCTAGCCGTGCGCAACTATACGGACCCTCAGCTACTGTTCCTGCACAACTTCACGTACAATCTCGGCGAAGATGACCTCGTCCCCTTTGGCGCTTACCAGTATGCACCGCGAGCTTCTGTGTAGTACGCGTGCTCACCATTCTGTATACAGATCCTTCGAAGCCGGCGGAGATACATTCCAGCGATATGCACACCTTGTCAGCGAGGACAATATGCCCTTTGTGCGGGCGTCGAGCGAAGAACGTGTCGTGATGTCTGCGACGAACTGGACGGCAGGTACGTGTTCTCGACTTGCGGACGGACCAGAAACTGAACCTGACGGCATCTGATAGGCTTCGCCGCGGCCAGTTCCCACAAATACACGCCGGTGCTGTCTGTCATCCTCCCTGAAGATGTACGTCCTGATGTAGTAGCAGATGACCCAGCTCACGACGTCTGCAGGCGAACGACACCCTCGCGGACAATATGTGTCTGAAAGCAGAGCCCGACGAGGAGAAGAAGGCCAAATGGCTGAAGAAGTACGCGCCGCCGATCACTAGGCGGCTGAACGCCGGTGCGCCGTATGCGAAGCTCGATGACGAGGATACCTCCAGTCTCATGAGCCTCTGCCCGTTCGAGACGGTTGCGACGCAGTCGCCCAGCGCCTTCTGTGCAGTCTTCGAGGATATGGAGGACGCGTTCTCCGGATACGAGTACAGCGGGGACCTTGACAAGTACTACGGCACAGGGTGCGTACTCCAATGCATCTTTCTACCATGCGCCATTGCTGATCGAGGGAGCCCAGGTATGGCGGGAAGCTCGGGCGCGTGCAGGGCGTAGGCTACGTGAACGAACTCCTCGCGCGGCTGACGGGTAACCCTGTGCGCGACCACACGCAGACAAATCGCACGCTCGATTCTTCGCCCGAGACGTTCCCGCTTCACCGCAACCTCTACGCCGACTTCTCGCACGACAACGAGATGGTCGCTATCTACACCGCGCTTGGGCTCTTCCGGCCGAAAATGCCTCTGCGCCCAAAACATCCTGACCCGAAACGCAGGTGGCGCGCCTCTAGGTTGGTCCCGTTCTCTGCGCGAATGGTCGTGGAGCGCTTGGAGTGCTCCGGGCGCGCGGTGAGCAGGCAGTACGTGCGCATACTGGTCAACCAGGCGCTGCAGCCGCTTGAATTCTGTGGATCGGGGGACGGGCTGTGCACCCTTAGTGATTTTGTAGAGAGCCAGGCATATTCCCGTAGCGGTGGTGAGGGTGATTGGGAAGAGTGTTTCGAGTGACAACTGGACCAACCCTCTGTGGATTTTCCGGCGCGTTCCGGGTGGCATTAGATTTGAAGGGTTTCTGTCGGTTTGTATTGACAGCCTCTTTTCAGGACATTGTACGAGTGTTGTTAATGTTTGTATGCAGTAATACCAACTTGTAGAGTAAGCGAACGGGCACGTGTCCCCCAGTCACGGTCACGTGCAGCCTTCTTGACGCGTGCGCGCACTCACGATACGTCTGGAAACTCCACAAGGCTATGGGGGACAGCCGCGTGTGCTCCGAATACACACCAGGGGACCATTTACCTTCCCAAAACCGGGTGGATCCCACCCTCTTGCGGAGCGATTCACGGTGCTGGCGAGGGGGGCAGGAGTACGCATTGCACTTGGGCTCTTGAGAGAAGGGATCATGGAGAATTAATATTATTAATATTGGCCTATGCCGCCAAAGAGTATCATATTCAATTTTTGGACCATAATGAGAGTTACCGTGACATGTCGCGACCGGTCACATTTGACTACATCTAACTCAAATCTAATTTCACGTTGTGACTCTGCGTTGACCTCACGATATTGCTAGAACATGAGTCTGCCCACCATCAACGACGATGTCTTGCTCCTCATCATCTCACTTCTCAAGCCATACGATGCCCTGTCTCTATCCGAGACCAGCCGCCACTTCCACGCCATCGCAATGCCACAAGCACTCTCCTCGGTTACTCTGAAAACCTACCGGCAACTTACTGCTTTCTGGACATCCATGCTTACCTGCTCGTTGGTTCACTTGCAGTTTTTGAAATGTCTCTCAGTCACTCTGGTAAACCTTACTTATGTGCACCTCCTCGCGACCTTCTCGAGAATGCTCAAAGTCTTAGATCGATCACCGTCCATAATGCAGGGAGGCTCATATGGAAAGAACCGCCAGGGATGCGGTCGCTGCACTTGAAAGGATTGATGACATAGTGCTAGAAGAGATTGAGGACAACGTGCATGGGATGCTCTCTAGGTTCCGTAGCAAACCGCGTAAAGTGTCACTTTTCAGCCATTTTTTTAATCGTTATCGTCTCTCTCCGCTACCTCTGCAAAACACAGAGGACCTGACGATATCTCATGGCACCATCGATAATGACACGCCGTTGGGAGGACGCTATGCAGGACCGCAATGGCTGGCATGTCGACATCTTGAACTTCTGTTCGTCAACGTCCCTTCGACCATCTTCGTGGATGTATTCCCCAACCTCGTGCACTGGCGGTGCTCTGTGGCCCAGGTTTCCTGGCCATCCACAAGCGCTGTGCTCAGTTCGCAAAACTCCTGGCCGTTCGTCATATGGCTCTGGACCTCACAGGGATCACCTTCATGCGACCCGAAGTGGGTGTTGAGTGGGTACTTGGCTTTCTGAGGTGTGTCGGCCTACGGTGCTCTGTCTCGCCATTCCCGCAGATCCGCATGCACTTCTGTGGCGGGAGCTTGTCGAGTTGTCCCCGCGGCTTAAGTATTTCATTTTGAAGTTGGACGCAAAAGCGAATATCTTGAGGTGGCTGGTGAGCATGCCCAATCATCGTGAACTTGAAACAGTGTTAAATTGACTATTCGTTTACGTAGACTACCGTCCGTGTCTTTGTTCCACGTGAGGAGAAGAAACAGTCCCAAATCTTGCTGCGAGACACACTAGCTGAATCTATGTCCTCATTGCATTACATTGCGGTCAGTTGCCTGGCCTGGGTGATGGAGATGCCGCGGGAAGTTGGCGACGCAATATGGCGTGCTGCCGCGTGATAACGGGTCGCAACGTGAGCTAACGGACTGTCCCCATTCAGCGTTTGTGATACCCTTGGTAATTTGTTTTCTTCAGGTGTTGAATTGACGGTGATTAAGCTGTCGGTTGCTTGCAGGTTCGCGGTGTTCTCTACCGCTTCACACTCGACATGTGAAATACCATCACGCCTGCGGTAGCTTTTTAGCTTCTTCATCCCATACTACACAAACGCCTGCGCCTGCGACTTCAATCGCTCACTGATTTAACTTTTTGATGAACATCAGAAGCACGCGTCTCTTTCTTTGGTATTTCACCCGACTCTTTCCTAATATTTTGACGGTTGCTTAGTGGAATTTCTATTGCGAGCCTCGACATCTGCGTGGATGGTCTATAGAGAGAACGACTCCTTCTGTTTATCTACTAGAGGCTGGTTAACGCGCATACGTGGATGAATATTCACATGGTCTTAGTAGGGGGCATTTAGATTTATAGGTATGTTGTGCTCTCCTACTTAATAATATTATATACCGCAACCGTTGAGTCAAGCGCCTGGAAGTCGTTGGCATCTGTCGTGGCGTCTATCCACATAGCAAAGGTAGATGGAATAGATTGTCTCCTCGTAGCCTATTGACTCGTCGGCGCCCGGCAGCAATGCTAGCATCTACCAACCTTCAAGGCCGAATGTCACCTTATGATTGTTTTTAGACTCGAAGTTGGCACTAAATTACGAACCAATCCAACAGGGCCCTCGACCTATCGAATGCGGCATGAACCGCAATGCTCGTTGTCTATAATTACTTGCTTCTACTTTTACGCATGACAGTGTACAGTATGACTAAAGATGCGGTGCATGAAAACTACGTCCGATGAATCCGGTAGGAGGGACCAGGGGATTAGTGTGTGATGGACAGCGAACCGAAGCGAAAGAAGAGCACAAACAAACCAGCGAAATGAAACGAAAGAGTACACACAACACTCGACTAGTGAAAACAACAAAGTGGTGTCCATGTCTAGTCCTGTCGGAAAAAGCGCACAAGCGTACGCCCGACCTCCTGTGGGTGGCTCATGGTGAGCGAATGACCCGCTCCCTCGATCGTCACGAGCTCAGCATGCGGAATGAGCTTCTTGACGCGTGCGGCGTTCACGAACGGAACCACTCTGTCAGCCGTACCCCACATCAGGAGTACATGTGCACCCGTCCTGCGGCCCAGTTGTGCGAACGCAGGCGCGAGTCCGAGGACCGGCCCATCGCGTAGGGACGAGGCAACAGCAGGATTAAAACCAGGGAGATACGCCGACTGGAGCCGGATTAACGCATCGGCAGGTGCATCATCCTTCCGGCATCGCGCAAGGTACTGCAGGTACCACCGGAACGGAAAAGTAGAGGCGAACTGCTGCATCAGAGGCGACGAGAGAAACTTGGATGTACGCGAAAGATCTCCAGGCTAGGTACATTAGATGGGGTCCGGTGTAAGCAAGACGGCTCACCTGCGCGAGGCCTGTGGATGCTATGAGCGCGAGTTTGGAGGACACGAGGTGCGGAAATTGCGCGCTGAACGCGGTGGCGATGCCACCGCCCATGGAGACGCCTGCAACATGGGCGTTGTTCCAGCCGACGTACTGCATGAGCATCGCGAGCTGGGTGGTGTACAAGTTTGTGTCGTATGTAGTCTCTGGCGCATCCGTATAGCCACGCCCGTATAGATCGTAGAGCAGCACTCGGAAGCCATTCTCCGCGAGATGGGGCGCGACGTCCTTCCAGATGAACGCAGGGACTGAGAGCCCATGGATGAGAACGACACGTTCACCGTCTTCAGGGCCAATGAGCCAGTAGCGGACCTGTTACGCACGATGTACACATGTAAGTGCGATATGAGCAAGGCATGATGAATAAGGAGCACGACACCTACTTTGCCATGAGGTAGGCGAGCGTACGCGCCGCCATTGTAGCAGTCTTCAGGGTAGATTTTCCAGCTGGGAGATGTGTCCGGAAGAGAGTTAAGCGACGGGTATATGATGAGCGGCGCGGACGTGATTGGGAAGGCGGTGAGGAGGTAGGCGACGATGATGGTGGTCGGGAGCGCGAGAAGAATCCACTGAAGCGTCGAGGATGGTGGGCTCATTACGGTAGAGAGCGACGTCAACTAGAAGGTCGGCATGAATAGTGGTGGACAGCACAGAAATATTGAACAAGTGTCGGAAATAATGTCTCACCACCAGCTGCGCCACCGTGCGGGCCGTGCGTGCTGAGCGCTTAACGCTGTCCGAATCATGGCAACCTGTGTATTGGAATGACTACAGATCTTTACGATCATTTTACGATAAATCGGAGAGTTTCATGCCCACGAATATGAATCATATTAATCTCTCATCACAGAATTACCGGCAAGATCAGGTACTCGAGAAGAGCAGAAGGTGCATTATCCGTCCAGGCCGGAATTCATACTGTCGTCATTAATATCATCGCCTACATACGTCCGTATCCGAGCCATAAAATTCCACTTGTCTGCCTGTCAATCCTTGCTGCAGTTCCTACTGTTCCGTCTCCAACATTTGAGGTATTCCAGTAACACCGTTCTCCACTGAGGCATGCCGCCTGCCTGGATGGGTACGTTACGGGGAGTCGGTGGCCTTTCCGACTCTGGACTCTTCCAGACGTGCCAGAAGAACAGCAACGTAACTAAGCCTACGAATCCCACGATGCCCAGGACTGTGGCAAGGAGCAGCATTGCCGTGGTGTCAGTGTTCTGGATGGAGTATGCTCCAACTGCGATGGTAAAGCAAAGCACCGACCAGAGGAGCGCGGCGATTGGAGTAGCCAGGAAGGCCGCAGTGAAGGCGAGGTCATCTATCTTGTTGCTCGGCGTTTCCGCGTCACGGGCATAGTTGACGTACTTCACCTGCAAACCGTGAAGCATGAGACGGGATTCGTGCGCACATAAATAACAATAGAGACGCACAGCATCGATGATGTCCGTGTTCACTTTTCCGCGATGTCTCCAGACATGGTGTACTCCGATGAGCACACTGAGAACTGAAAAAATGGCAGAAGCCAACGATGCAGTCTTCTGCACGCCGTCGATGCCCTGGGGACGTAAAGCACTCAGAAATGCAGTCGACAGCCACGCATTCCAGACTGACCGAGATCTGCTGGAAGCCAACGTTTGCTCTGGAGTATAAGATCAACTAAGATAGAGTTATCAGCAGAAAGATAGCACTCACCCTACAAACACGGTAGCCTTCACGTTAGATGAGGCATCAACAATCAACGATACTAGACTGGAAACCTTTGTTAACTCACGAGAAGGTTGGAGTCTACGGAATTGCCAAAGTCTGCGTGAAGAAGGATAGAATATGATTGCAACAATCGTACTTACCTGACCACTCCTCCAAAAATTGCTTCAATGACTCCCTGAAGTCGAGCAAATATGCAGAATCTTCCACCCTAGCTTCGCACAAGCGTCGGAGATAGGTTCGATGCGTGCCAAACAGAAGTACCATCAGCACGGCGTCCGCAGCCTTGAGCTGCCACGTTGATCGCACGATGTTCGGCTTCCGCTGTAGATTGAAGCCCGGCTTGTTCTCAGTTTTTCCGCGCAGCTTGAAGGACTCAACGTTGTACAGTATTCGTGCGATATGCCAGATGAATGCAGGTACAACTGCACGGTTACTCATTGAAGCACCTGTGAACAATGCATCCGATCAATTCTCGGACGGAAAGTAGTTTGACACTCACGCTTTAAACGTCGATAGAGCGTCATCAATTGTTCAATTTGCGCATCGGTGTAAGGAAACATTATATTTTTGTTTTCCATAATGCCCTCTGGCAGTGATACAAAACAGATTATGAGCAAGGAGTTAATGAGAAAGTAAGGATGCATACCATAGGCTCCATAAGTGAGAGCAATGAGGAAGTCTGCCTCCGCCATCGGTGGAACGTGACCCAGGTGCATTGGATACTGCTCAACGTAGAACCAGTACGCAGGTGTTTTCTCTTGGATGATCACATCTATCCGTGCCATCAGGTTTAAACCTATGAGATGAGAGTGAATAACTCGTACCTGGGCCTCGTTCAGGAAACTCAATCAACTTGCACTGACCCTGGCATAGGAAGGAAGAAAGCTCTTCCCCGCACTCTGCATCGCTAATAAGCAGCTCGGAATTGCTGGGGACGCAGTGTAAAATGCCATCCTCAATCAGGGTGTTGAGGATCTCGTTGCGAGACCGCAGTACCGCACGCCGGCACCCCGGGTCCTCCATATCGTCCGGCGTCAAGAGTCGGTACGTGGCGTGGTAATAGTATACGCCTCCACTAAAGTGCACGTACTTCATCCAACCATCACCAACATTCGAAACAGGAGTTCCACCGAAGACGCGGGGGATCCGCATCGGCGCGCCGAGGTCAGGGATCATGGTGGTCGAGCGATTACTGCTCGTTACGCCCTTAGCGGATTTACTGCAGCTTGTAGACGAACGTGCAGATAAATCGGCACCGCCATCCGACGTGCTCGACGGCTCGGGCGTCAGTGTCGTGCCAGGCAAGGATCGAATGGCGGACAGCGACTGTTTCGGCAGCTGTTCCGAAGATATCTGGCATGAAATATCATTGCTGCCGGTGGTTGGCGGTGACACTGTCACTTGGGGGAGATTCTGAGAAGTGATAACATCGGTCTTCGAGCAAGAACGAGATCGAACGAAAGTCTGGAGTTTGTCTCGGATTCGCCCAGTGGTAGAAGCCTTCTTCGCGATTGGGCTAGATGCAGGTGCAGGAAGGTCACCAGAGACTGAGTTTCTGAGCATTGTGCAGATCGACAAGTGCAGTCGATGTCAAGAGAAGGAATGGTGGAGCAAACAACAGCAGCCATGGTACGCTTTTCAACGGCAGAGAACAACAATGGTCGTATCAGTTGCATCAAGAAGCAAGGGCGCGTTGTTAGACAGATTAAATGCGTGGTGAGAACCTACAGGCAAGAACAAAAGCAAACATAGCTGTTGATCTGTGTGGGTCCACATAACATGGTCATAGAGTAGGCGCCCAATATACAGAACTTTCAGCGTGCTGTCATGGCCGTTGTTCTACATTTAGGGCTGAACGATCATGGTGACAAATTGTGAGATGCGATGATTGTGTATAAGCAACCCCTCCATTTCTGCATCCCCCGAGTGCGAGCGTGCAGCTGAGGAAAGGAGAGAAAGCTTGCCAGGCAGACGAAGAATTTAAGGGTGCGCAGAAAAAGGTCCAGGTAGCTAGTGATTGGGAGACAGTTGAGTTTGGGAAGAGCAGATCGTGTCTTCTTGGATTACACCGTCCATTTATTCGAGGTTCTTGCAATTGTCGAGGTTCGTCCAAGACTTTAAGTCACACCGGGCGCTAACTTCCTGCAGTGGAGCTATATGTAGTACTCGTCGAAATAGGCAAGTGCTGTCGTTCGATCGACTCCGCCGACCATATACATGTGTCCGTGGGACGTGTCAAGTGAATACCAGCTCTAGACAGAGTGAATAATATCAGATACGTGGTAAAAAAAAATCCGATTCCTGTTCAGGTTTTTCTGCCGGAGTGGCGTCTACAGGCAGAGATTGGCCTCTGTACATGCCCCCGGCTCACTCACGGGCCGCAAGCTCGCGGAGGCTGTTAACCCATCGGAGAAGTCTCTAGTAGCGGCACGTTACACCAGACACTACTATCGTAGTTCCAAAGTCTTAGCTGTAGTACTTATGAAATCGAGGGAATGGCGACATCATAAGGCGCGTGCTCGAATGTACCAAGGGTAACCGAGGAAGACTAGTAATGGTATGGCAAGCAACAGCGACAAGCATATTCGACAGCTAGAGCACATCAGGGTATCACATAAAGCCATACATTCAAATGAAACGAACACCGAGCCTATCGCATCTCCTTCGGCGGGATCCACTCCGGTATCTTCCCAAACTCGAAGTGTTCACTCTTAAACGCCTCCAGCGCACTGGCGGGCACCAGCTTGATGTAGTCGGCGGGCAACATATCGTCGTACTTGCTCGTCCCGGGCATCCAGCGCACGCGCAGCCGTGCCGCAGCGAAGTCCGGCTTTCCTGGCTGCGTGCGCGGCGCAGCGGCAGGTGGCAGGGCGGGCGGTGCAGGTGCGGTATTGAACGCGGAGACGACGGGCGCACCGGAGGACGCGAACGCGGATACCGGCAGCGTCTGGCTTTGTGACATGCCGAATGCCGACTGTACCGGTTGCGCTTGGTTCTGCTGCGTCCCGAACGCAGATTGCGCTGCTTGTGGCGGGTTCTGTGAGGCACTAAAGGCAGATTGTACAGGCTGCGTCTGGTTCTGCGGTGCGCCGAACGCGGATTGTACAGGCTGGTTCTGATGTGCACCGAATGGAGATTGCACGGGCTGGTTCTGTGATGTGCCGAACGCAGATTGCACGGGCTGCTGCGAAACATTGCCGAACGCGGACGTCGCTGCTGGCACCGGGTTACCGAATGCTGAAGTCGGAGCCGGCGCGTTCGAGGAAGAGCCGAACGTGGACGTTGGCATGTTCTGCGCGAGCACCCCGAAAGCAGACGATGCGCCGAACGCAGGTGTACCAAACGTAGATGTCGTGTTGGCGGATGTAGGTGTGGCGCCGGTGCCGCCAAATGCAGAACCGCCTGTAGAATTGCCCGCAGCGAGCCCGAATGCGGATGGCTGGCCGGCGAATGCGGAGAACGCCCCTCCCCCTCCACTCCCCGATGCACTGGCCGCGCCACTCAGTGATGATGGTGAATTAGCAAACGCGGAAAAGCCACCGCCTGTTGCGTTAGAGCCAAACGCTCCAGATGCTGGCTTAATGATCGACGACTGCCCAAAGGAAGATTGCCCAAAGGCAGGCTGGCCGAAAGCTGAAGTCGTCGAACCTTGTGCTGGCTGTCCGAACGCAGACGTCATCGACCCCTGCCCAAAAGCAGACGTTACCGGCCCCTTCGCGGGTTGGCCAAATGTTGATGTCCCTTGTGCTGACTGTCTAAAGGCTGTGGGCTGGCCAAACACAGACGCCACTGGCCCTTGCGCAGGTTGACCGAACACAGATGTCGCTGGGCCCTGTGCGGGTTGACCAAATGCGGATGTCACCGGACCCTGCGCCGGTTGTCCAAAAGCTGATGTGGATGGACTCTTCGTAGGCTGGCCAAACGAAGACTGTCCGAACGCTGGACCTTGCGCAGGTTGACTGAACGCAGACTTGACGGGTCCCTGCGCGGGCTGACCAAACGCGGAGCTAGGCTGCGCAGGCGTGCCGAATGCCGATGCGCCCGTCCCTGCAAATGCACCGAACCCTGAAGGTTTCCCGAACAAGGACGTGGTCGCGGGTGCCCCAAACGCTGAATTCGTTGAGCTAGTCACGCCGAATGGCGAGCTGCTGGGTTTCTGCGACTCTGCTTCGTTGCGCAAAGCCTGCCGATGTGCTTCATGGACGTTATTTCGCGCGTTAGTGTACAATTGCTCGGCTGCTGTGATCTTCTGCGCCTCATAGTTCAACTACGACGGCGGGTCAGACAAGGACGAAGTGGCGACATGTGAAACGCACATATTCTTGTCCGTTATTAGCCGCCGACGCCTGCAACCACTTTAAGTGCAGCTCCTCGGGAGACTCGTCGAGGGCAGAAAGTAAATTCACTTGGTGCTTGGCGGGCCCAAACGAAGACAATGGCCAGTCAGGTTTATCAGCTGTGAGATCCCTGGTGAGGATATCAACGCTATCCATAACGTGAGACCGGGATATCTTGTCAGTGGAGAAAGAGAGCGAACTTGATGAGGCCTGACGGTGCAGATGAAGTCTGAGACCAAGACTGGTCTTTGAACGCGGCTGATTGAGTAGATCTAGAGGCGAGATTATAGAACAAAAGACGCACTCCCGAAGCCACTCTGCCTCTGTCCCTCTTTCGGATGTTCGTTCCTGCATTGATCGCCGAATTTGCACTGGCCACGCAGGAAATATTGACAAACGACCTACGAAACACGAAACTTCTCAGTGTTAGGAACGCGGAATAGTAGTATTTTGTACCCACCATCTCAGGTGTCAGTCAGGGGAGGCTGAGAGAGGCATGCCCAATAATCTGCAGGCACAGGCTCAGCGCCAGGGAAGGAACTCAGGGTCTCCGGGGCCACACCATACCCCGATCACCTCGCCTTGCGCCAGCGGCTCTAAAGCTGCATTTCTTATGTCCTCTCTCTGCTCTCATCTCACATTTTGTCTCGCCGTTTTGACTGCTCCATTGTGACACAACATTTTGTTCTCGCCGAACTGCTCGAACAACACGACCTGTGCTTCCGCCTTTAATTCTATCCACCGAATTGGTGTTTCTGCAACATGAAGACAGAACAGGATCCATCGACACCAATGACGACTTTCTCAGCTGCCCAATGGGGCCCTACCCGTATGTTGTTATGACAATTGTTATGTCCTGCTCATGAACAACTCTGAGCAGAAATTCCAATTGATCCCGCATTGCAACAACAGTCGCAGCAAGCAACGTACGCATGCGGTGCCCCTTATGATTCCTGCATCCACTCACCAGCAGTATAGATCCACTTATCCACATTACCAGACGTACCAGCATTATCCGCAGGCCTCGTATAGCCACTACCAGCAATATGCACCCCCGCAGACAGCACAACAGATACAATCCCAGGCAGTAGCGCCCACCTCACGCCAAGCCGCGCAGTCCAATGCAATGGACACGGCTGACATTGCGACACTGAACGATGCGCTTGGCAGCGCGGGGGTAGATCTCAGGGTAAGTTCATGCTGAACTTCGCTTCGAAAGAATGGCTCACGCGTCCTAGGCCGAGGAAGAGACCCTCCACCGAACATATGACCAGTTCCAACAGTCCTACCGGCCGTACGAAGACCGCACGCGCACGCAGCCCGCAGCGCCAAATTTTAACACTCAATACCTCGGCACGACGATGCGCGCAGTAGGCACACAACACAAAGTAACCAAGGTGCCGGAGGACTCTGTCAACTACATGGCGCTCGCGCTTCGCGCGCGACTGCAGGACCTCATCGTTGCAATGGTTGCCGCCTCCGAGCACCGCACCGACACGCAGTTCGACCGCCCCGCGTCACACTACGCCGACGGCAGCCCGATGTGGAGCATTGTTATCCGCAGCGACGTGGGCAAGCAGTTGGCCGCAATAGAGAAGGTCGAGCGCGACGAGGAAGTGCGCGTACGGCGTGAGCGGAAGGAGCGGGCGGAGGCGGCAGCAGCGCAGCATGCAGCCCTTGCCGCGCAGGCGGGCGCTGGCATGGGTGTGGACGGTGGATTCGACGATGAGGGTGCGCCGAAGAAGAAGAAAAAGAAGGAAGGTCCTGGGGTCACCGCCCGCAACATGTCGGAGGATGTGCGCAAGAAGATGTCGAATGCGGTCGCGAGCCAAGCTGCGGGACTGGGAACGGGTAAGTATGCGTGGATGACCGCCGCTAATGCCAATGCATCTGTGCCGGCCAAGCCCAAACCTACTGCGACAGCGAGCGCAGGCAGTTCTGGCGGCGCGAATACACCCGCATCAGCAGCAGCTCCTGCGGCGGGTTCCACCGCCACCGCTGGAGGATGGGCACGGCCGTATGTTCCTACGAGACCAAGCCAACAACAAATGCCGCAGAGGGAGGACCTGCGGCGGGCAATCACGTTGCGGGACGCGATGTTTGTAATCGAGAAAGAGAGGGGACACGGAGGAGGGCGTGGTTCTGCGACAGGATGGACATGATCTGACGTGATCAGCCTGCTTTTCGGATTTACGCTCTGGATGTATCATTAGTGCTGTCTTTCAATGCAATGCGTGATTTAGGGAGTTGTTCGATGGATAGAATCTGGAGATATGAGTTTTGAACAGTGCGACATTTCATTGTGAGGGTCGAAAGCTACATCAATAATTATGCTCGGGATAGCCGTCAGGAGTCATCGTAAATAGTCGTTACGTTCATGAATCAAACCCTCTTCAGAATCGCTGTGAGAATATAAGAAATTTTTCATGAAAGCCCCAGACTGGAGCGGATGACGTCCTGGAGCACATAGTTGTAATCCTGCAACCACAACGAGTGAGGCACGGAGTCACGAAGAGTCAGTAGCACCTACCTGGTCCAGAGACCAAGTGAAGCATCCTGCCATACCATTCTGCTTCGCGAAAGTTGCCTTGTCGCCCAGCGAGTAAGTATCGTCGTACGTCACCACCGTTGCCTGAGACACATCGAAGAGGTACTAAATGACAAAGTATCAGCGGCTCATTGATCCCAGAGGGGATGCAAGAGAAAGCAAAGTAGCGTACCGGTGTGTCGCTGCAATTATCCCAACCTACAAGACCCGGAGACAGTCAGATAAGAAGCCCCACATTGGAAGCAATGCTTATTACCCTCTGTATACCCGCCCGCTTCCTGGAACGTCTTCCACGACGTTTCCGTCAGCGCACCTAAGGCAACAATCTGGTTAAATGCGATCTGCTGGCCCCAATATGAACTCAGATTCGCATTCTCAGTGACAACCTTCGACCTCGCATGCGGGTGCGCGCCATTAAGCGGGTTTGGCTTCCCACTGGGCTTATTAGCTGCCCTCTGCGGCAGCTCGCATACGAGCCCGCCATTCGAGAGCGGGTTGCGCATCGGGAGGCCCAGCACGCGCTGGCGGTACTCCGCGAGGCGGAAGCCTGGTGGGGGCAGCGCAATCTCAGCGAGCGTCGTCGCTGTGCTTTCGGAGACGTAGCCATAGAGTGGGAGGCCGAGCACGAGCTGAGAGGCGGGAAAGCCCGCGGTCGTCCATTGCGAGAGCGCAGCCTCAGCGCTGTATTGCGGCAGCTGCGCGGTGCCACAAAGATTGCCCAAAGGTGCATTGGGGCCGGGAGTGGAAGAGGCGCCCCAGACATCGTAGTTCCTTTGGTGTGTTTGGTCAGAATGCAGGAAACAGAGATAGGACGAAGACAAACATGATGTTTGCGTAGGTGAGTTGCGCGGCATATGCGGCGACGTTTGTCAGGGGACTGCCGTTCGACCCTTGCCACGGGAGGTCCGTCACGGCCGCTGAGATGATCTTGGACCAGCCGAGTGCCGAACGCAACGAGGTCAGGAATGCGAGGAAGTTCGCAGAATCATCAGAGGAGTACGGGTTTCCAGCGCCAGATTCACCTGGGTATTCCTTCCATGCAGACATTAATACGCGGGGGGCAAATGAATGATACTATGGTCTCACCCAATCGATGTCAATTCCTGGAAGACGTTAAGAAAATTATACAATTGCCATGCGCGTAAACTCACCATCTAGATCGTACGTATTTACCGCACTTACACACGCATTCACGAATGTCGTCATGTTCGCAGAAGTGCCGACAGCCTGTGAAAAATAATAACTTCCGCCCCAACCACCTGCGTCCGGATCGAGATAGATTAGCCACTGAACCAGCCGCGAGGTGAACAAAAATCATACCAATAGAAAGGACGACTTTGGTGCCGTACCCGCTATTATGAGCGCTGCTGACCAAAGTCTCTAAAGTACTGGTACTTCCGGAGTCATAACTGATGGTAGACGAAGAGTTTGGTGTTGCAAATGCTGCATCGTCAACGATGTCATTGAAGACGTTAGTCTTGTTAGTAACTCTGTGATAATCGTACCGAACAACAGGACGTCGAATTTCGAAAAGTCCACACCCTGAGGAGGATTGGTAGCGGAGGCCCAGTCGGGGTAATAAGCAGCAGCAATCGGGGTCGTAGCCGCAGCAGACAATTTTCCCTGCAGTTCCAACGCTGTCTTCCTGGAAAGCGTGGACGGCAGCGCATCCTCTGGGTCAAACTTAGCAGGGGCCGAGGAAACGGGGGTCAGGAGTCGAACGAGTGCCGCGTGTTCACGGTACTCTGGCAAGCCCAGTATAGTAGTTAAATACGAGTTTAGGCCTTCCTTGCGCTCCGCTATGAGTTTGTCGTCCACCCATGCAGAGGGAATGAAGGATGTGACCATAATCCTCTTGGGTGGAAGCACCTCGGAGTCGGCCAGCGCACTGTGAACGTCGACGAACTGATATCGAGTGTCAGGTGTGCACGAAAAACAAGGGAAGGTATCATTGTGACATACTTCAGAGTAACGTTTCGCGACTTCGAACTTTTGGCCGTCGTCCGTGGTAACCTTGACGCAGTAGAGAACATGTGGCCGAGGAGAGGAAGCAGTCGTGTGCTTCACAATGGAGGCACTGATGACGGTCATCTCTCGCACCTGTAGAAGGGACTGATAGAGGGCGAAGGCAAGGAGTGGTCGAGCTTAGGGGGCTGTCCCGTGCGACGAAGCGACACATATATGTACGGAGTGAGCGTCTATGATCAGGAAACAGATGCTGCACTCACACACATTGTCGAGTCCCCACATGCTTTCAGAAGAGAGGGACCAAGCGATCGGCATGGCCACGACAGGAGAACTGAGAGCTACTATCTTGGCCAGAATATCGGGTGATACTCCGATTCATTCTGTCGGAATGGTTTCAGCACGACCGCAAGAATCGCAGGATAATTTCATCGGTATCTCCCTGCTATCTTCTCTCACACAGCATCTCGAATCAGCACGTGCCTCGGTCCCAGGGTGAAAACAAGTCAAAAATCTTGGGAGAATACGACCGGAGGAACATCTATCCCGAGAAAATGGAGTGAAATGCGGATGCATATATTCAACTCCGTTTTGGGGGAATGGATGACAGGAACATGATCGAGAATGTGAACGATCGGGGATGAGATGTTATCTCCCTACTCGAGAGAGCGAAACAACAGGAGGTAGGTGCACAAGAGACTGAAGAGTAGGTGGGCGTGACCGGTCGCCTGATATGACCGTGCAGGAGAGCAACAAGATGCACCGTAGACCATTTCATGCAAGACCAACAGACGCATCGCTCAGATCTGTACAGCGGAGAAGTATAGTTTGCAGGAGAAGCGCAGCATAGGCCATTCAGACACAAGTTCGCAAGCTTCCACTGAGACATAACAGCCGAGTGCAGATGATCAAAGAAAGTACTCCACATGCTGATACCACTTCGCAAGGGCGACACGGCCTACTAAGAGTTGTACCAGAACGGCACGAGAATCGAAGTAATACCTTGGCCACATGGTTATCAACCCTTGTCGTTGTCACCCTGAATCTGAGTTTATTGAAGGAAAGACTCGAGCAAGCAAACCGAGGAAACAAGTATGACTAACAGGCTCGAGGAACCCAAGGGTAGTAGTGGGATATGCAACAAGGCTAGTTGCTGTTCAACTTCATTAAATCAGGTATCGTCAGTATCCCGAAGGCAGATGGTAGACACTCTGCTTCAAAGCTTCAACGTTCGTAGATCAGGATATATGCGTCAAGCTTTTGCAAGCTGTCACGGTGAAGCTTGAGCGTTTCGGCGCTTCTTCTGCTGTGATGTGTGACAGACGCGTTCAATTTGAACGGAGGTCACAGATAATGCTGTCACGCCATCGCTCTCTGTGCTTCACAAGCTAGGTGTGAAGGCATACAGCGCTCAGCTGTCTTGGTACTTCATCTGCTTATCATATTCAAAGACCATCTGTCATTTGAGATACCGCTATAACGAGACGAACAATCCTATCAATGGCTCCGACGGGAACTGTTGAAGAGGCGGAGAACGTTGTGGAGGTTAGCCTCTAGGCTGTTCTTGACTGCAACACAAAGTTTGTTGACAGAACATTACCTCCGTTATATAGCCAATGTTTACGAACAATGTTCTGCACATCGATCTCGTGTGCGATGTTATCTTCTCCTGCTGCAATCCGATATCTCTTCTACGAGTGGCGCTAACCTGCCGCCAAGCTCGCGCCGCAATCAGTTCCTACATGCACTACGCATTTAATATCAATAGACATCTCATGCGCTTCTTCCCGGACCCATGCGCGTTCCGCTCTCTGCAAGCGCGTACGGGCACCATCATCTCTGGATCGATGGCGCTACAGTTCTTCGATAGATCCTTCTACCCTTCCTCCGACCTTGATCTCTACACCCATATGTGCCACCGCCGCGAGGTGGGGGAATGGCTGATCAAATCTGGATACAAGTTTGCACCCACCCGGCGACAGCAGCCAACGTTCGAACAAAGTATCGACGATCTAGGTCTCAGAGCGTCTAACGTATATGGCCTGCCGGGTGTCTGCTGTATCTTCGATTTCACTAAGCGCATCGCGGGTCGCCAGGAGCTCAAGGTGCAGCTGATTGTAGCGCTCCACAACCCGATAGAGGTCATACTTGGCTTCCACTCCAGTAAGTACATCGTCTCCCGTAGCGCTGCCTCTTATCTAAAAGGCACGCAGCATGTGTAATGAACGCGATAAGCTTTGAAAAGGCATACTGTCTCTTCCCGCGTGCAACTCTTGAGGAGCGTCACTCGCTCATCAGCTCCACTCAGGCAGGCGCCTCGCGCTGGCGTGCACAGGGTATTGCCAAGTACAGGAAGCGCGGCTGGAGGATGCACTACAAGCTCCCAATTTCAGAGGATCAAAGAAATAGGCTTTTTGGTTGCGGATGGCGCTGGATCGACGACGAGAAGAGCTGGGTAATACCTCTTGACACCACTGGCATCGAGCCCCCGCCTTCAGCGAACCTGAGCTCTCTACCGATGCAGCACGATCCGATCTCTCTGTCCAATTGGAAGATCTTGTATAACAAAGGGAGTGGGGCGATTATGCTGTTTACGAGCATGAAGGATGAGTTGCTGCGATATGAGTACATGCTCACCGATCGGGATCTGCAGCTCTACATCAACCAGGTTCTGTCCATGAAAAAAAGAGAGGAGCAGTGCAAGAAGCAACTGCTTCTGGACTCGGAAGACAGTACGTTGTGAGTGTCTTCCACCTTCATCGTGAAATACTCCCTTGTGAATGGTCGTTTGGGCTCCAGGTGCGACGAGCAGATGGCGGAACTGGTTCAGGTGTGGATGTTGGCACAGCGGGAGGAAGTCGCATCTTCCGGGCCCCCGGCCGCCGGAGTCTATTCCAACCATCTGCCTAGATTGGGGCTACCTACAGTGCAGTGCAGCATCGCGTGAAACTTGCACTACGGGCGGCGCTCGATGTCAGGCTGCAGGTTAGCCTCATGATGAATCCTACCTACCCTTCCTCGTGTTGTTGTAGGTGTCTCGCCCGGCCACCGAGCCACCGGGACTGCTGTCGGAGTGTAAACCTTATTTAACATAGTATACACGGACGCTTTACTGTACTTATACCCTGTGCGTTTGCAACGACTCATGATCATGCTATGATCGGGCCAAATGCTTTCCGTTCGTATGCTTCGTCCATGAGCCTTTCCCCTTGTTGATTTTCAACACAGCGATGGCGTCACATTCTGCTGCAGTAAATTTGTCGTTCTTGTCAATGTGTCGTAGATAGAAATTTATTGCCAGTGGTCAGACCACCGTCGTGAAATAGGCCATAAAGTACATGCTATTATAGTCTCCCAAAGCCAGACTACAAAATCAGTCCTATGAGAGGTTGGAGGGACGGACTGATATAGGTCTGCTTTCAAACGCGCCCCCTTAACCGTAGTACAGGATTTCACTCGTGAATGCGGATGCCGAAGAGATGCCGTTGATCCGGCTGTGATGCCGGCCGAGGGTTCCTGACCGAAAGAGTGGGTCGTCGCGTCGTGTCAAGACGCGCTCACCTTCCCCAAGATGTTCTCATTCCACAGTCCTGTCGATGATCCACCCTTGCGCCAGTTCCTCGCTACATTTCTCATAATGCTCAACTACAAAATTCAACCTGCCCTACTCAGACAGCCTCGCTTCCTCATCCACAGCTGCCAGGCTCAACATCACCTTCTCGCGATGTGCTTCAAGATGTCGTCCCGACCTGGTCTGCACCTCCTGCACAAGATCCATCTAATGCCTTGCAGACACCTTCCAGTTGATAGTCGTGTGGATCATAAGGTAGAGATCTCGCGAGTATTTGCCGGCACAGTGTGAGTCCCTCAGGTGAACTGAATCAAAATGAGTGTGGCCCAATGAATGTAGAAGTCATTCTGACATTATGAGGATGGTGGAATGTATAATTATTGGAAAATTCATGTGATGCAGAGGGTGTTGTCTTGCGGAGGCCGACGCGTCGCGTTACACCAGATCTAGTCGACGCGTTTCGGAGATCAAGTTGCTTATGTAACTCCGAAATCGTGTACTACGGTGAAGCACCCTGATTTGAAAGCAGACTAATGCTATTATAGCATCCGGGCATATTCTTGGAGATGAGCCAGCCAAAGCAAACATTAGCAGTTGAGGTGCCGGAGATGTCTATCATTTGTCATTACAGCTGTCGCAGAACTGGCACTATTTATGCAAGCAGCTGTAATATTTCTGAGACGTTGACAACCGCTCTCGAAAGAGGGAGCTCTGAAATTCCCAATATCTTTCCTCTAGCACAGTCACAACCTTTCCCAAATAACTGCGTGCAATGGATCTCATGGACGTGAATGGTGAAGCCTCCGCATCAAACCTGTCGTCGGCTATGAGTACAGAGCTCAGCTCAAACGCACTCTCAGGAACAGTTCGTGCTCCAGCTCTTCACTCGCACACCGTGATCGTACACACGGAGTACGACATCTCTGCGCCACCACCCCTTCCAGGACCCGAATGGACGCGCTTTGTATGCATCAGCGACACGCATTCGCGGCAGTTTGCAGTTCCTGAGGGAGATGTGCTTCTGCATAGCGGTGACCTGACGAACTCGGGCACGTATAACGGGTTCCGCAGCACCATAGAATGGCTTGCAGATCTGCCGCACCCGCATAAGATGTGAGTAGTTAAATGTTCATGTTTCTATTGTCATGGCGCTGCATTTTGTAGAAGCACGTTTGGTATGCTGACGCGAACACCTTGAAAAACCAGCATCATAGCAGGCAACCATGACCTCCCTTTAGACCAGAATGACGACTGGTACGAGAAGAACTGGGAACGATGGCACTGGCCTGAGAAAGAGGTTCGACTGCGCGTTAACAGTAAATTCTGTTCCGAGAGATGTAACTCTGAATACATGTACATGTTCACAGGACGTGAGCATGATCAAGGAGTTGCTCCAAGGCGAGTTGGCTACGAGCGCCAATATCCTATACCTTGAAGACCAGAAGTACGAATTCCGTGTCAAGGAAGGTGGCAGACTCTGGTCTGTCTATGGATCACCTGTAAGTGGCAGTTACGAACGTTTTGTTCTCCCACTGGTAGAGTTGGATGTTTGCAACGCGCCCTCCATTGTCCCTGGAAACCCTTCTCGGAACTCATTTCCGTTACCAGTGGTCCCCCGACTTCTATAACTGGGCATTCAACTATGAGCGTGGTCTGCAAGCAGAAAGTGCATTTCCTCCAGCCCATCGAAAACGTTTCGATTCTAACTACATTCCCAGAGATCGTGTCTTCCATCCCGAAGACGGACATCCTGTATGCCCTCTTTCCCGCGAGCGTTACTACACATCTGCTTACCGCCGTTGCACCGCAAGGCTAACACACGGCCCGCCATTCGGCATCCTCGACGAAACGATAACGCACGAGCAGGTCGGATGCGAGACTCTCGCTATGCGCCTAGCGACCACGCTCCGCCCGCGCTTGCACGTGTTCGGACATATCCACGAGGCGCATGGCGCACTCATTCAGGAGTGGGACGCGGACGGCCAGGGTCGAGCGCACGGGGAGCGCACGGTCTTCGTGAACGCGGCGAATTGGCCTATGGGTCCCCGCGCGCGCCCGGCGCCGGGTGAGAGTCGCATCCAGTTCGGCGAGAGGCCCTTTCAGCCTGTCATTGTCGACCTCCTTGACTAGGTGTGATTACCGAGCGGCGTGTGGGGCGTGCTTCGGAGTTGCTGCAGTTGTTGTAGTACGATCTGTACGATAGTGTGGTATATGGCAGTCAGATTTTGACCAGAACTACGATCTAGATGGAGGATTCCTTTTAAACTGATACACCATTTCTAATAGTATAGTACTCGTCATAGGCTTGACTCGTCCCGGGGAACCTATATCCTACTCAGCACCTGCTGAGCCTCAATAACGTTATCGCTCTCAGATGGTTACATAAAGTACCCCATCCACCGTAATCAGTCGCAGAACGTGATGGCAAGGTTGACCTTTGTTAGAAGGATTTAGCCATCAATTGTTCAATGGGTTAAGACGGCGTAGGACCACATACGTTGTCGGAGGGACAACCAACTTGGACATACGTCTGGTCTGCAGAGTAGAACGCTTCGGGACAACCGTCGTACGCGCCTTTCAAGTAAAACTCAATAAACGAAGACATTGCACGAAGCGGCGGTGAGTTGCACTTACAGTCAGCACCAATGCCGTCGCAGCCATTGTAAAATCTAGACTCGCAGAAGTTAGTGATAGGTACCTCGAGTGGTCATACCGGGAATGTATTCACCCGAAGCCGCTCGTCACCGAGAATGCATGACTGATATCTCCAGCATCAGCTTAATCATGGACGAAAGTATGAGAGGGACTGACGGAGAAATAAGCGAGATGTCAGTGCTGCTCCATCCGTTCGCCAGATTTGTTTCAATGAGGGTGCATCCCTCGCCGTTCTCTCCGCATTCACCTGAGGAGGGAAAATACATGATGAACCCCTATCAGCGGACCATACAGAGAAGCTGCATTTACCCGTCTGCAAGTAGCTGGGACGCGTAGTAGCAGGTAATTTCAATATGGGAAAAGCAACGAGCAACGAGTGCGTACGCGATGAGGCCGCCCACAGCCCCGCCGCTGGTATACGGCTCTCCCATCGAAAGGACGCTTCCATCCTGGCCTCGCAGGGTGGGCTGGAAGACGGTCACGTCAGTCAATCATGTTCGTTACCCCCACAGTCAACGTGTCCGCGCACAGTGCCGTATCCACATCTAACATATAACATGATCAGTAAGGGGAAGGAAGGATCGGACACACTGACTTGTTTGTGAAAGTGATAGTGTGTGACTCGTCGCGCGCGAGAACTAGGCCTGCTCCAGGAGCGACAACACGAGCAGCGACGAACAGGGCCGCGATGAGCTGAATAAAGAACGGCATTTATACAACGAGAGTTGACGCTCACAAGGCAGCACTATAGGCTGGTAACCCAGTACGGAGCCTATTTATACTTCATGCAGGACTGTAAGCGTGCTACTTCCCTGCCAGTGAGATTTTTGGGGACCTCCCAACCAACCTCCCAACCAAGATTGCAGAACAGACGCTACAAGGTCCCCTTGGGTAGCCGCTGAAAGTCCAGAGCCAATCCCCGCCAATTGCGTGAGGACCGCGGCACTTTTTTGAAGCGATTCGAAACCCTTAAATGCGGTTATGATTACACGCTGGTACTTAGTGAGATGTTGCAACATACCGCGAGGCTAGCGACGCGGCACTGTCCAGCACTCTTGCGGAGATTGGAGGGGTCACAACAGTGGGTGTTTCGTATGGCCTGCCTGGTGGGCAACTTGAGGGGCAGCCTATGGTGGAGAACATGAGGGGAGAGCAGGCAGTGTAAGCTCAGCGATGATGAGGAACAACGTAACGAAGTGATCAGAATATTACCGACTGCAGATGCATAGATATGAAGAGTTGACGGCGTAGAGACAACCGTTCACCTGTGATAAGCCGACCAATCCCAGTATGGCACAGCGAGATCGGCGAACGTGATCAAATTCTGTCTCAAGTACCAACAAACCTGTTTCACCGAGATCCCGCGATATTGAATTTGGTATACGGTCTTCATTCTGAGGTGCAGGCGCAAAACAGCGACAAGCGTTCAAATGCAATAACTGTCACCGCTGTCAGATGGCGCAGCAGTGTGCCATTAGATTTGTGATGATCCACAGATAGGTAGAGATCAGTGGTATGGACAGACCGTGTTCCTGGACTGCACTCACCTGAAGAAAAGCAGAGCCAAGTGCACGCCATAGAACAGGAACTGTCGATGCGATTGCAAATTGCAAAAATGTATCCGTCGTTCTAGTCAGACGCCAATGACGCCACAATCATGCACAACTCGGAAGGACCGAGTGTATATTGCGCGCAAACGACATGAAGACTGTCATACTAAGAAATAGTGAATTACATTATACAGTTTTGAAGCCCACATCGTCGCCTTAATTCGTCTTCCAGAGCCTAATCGCAGAACGTGATGGCGAGATTAACCTGCGACAAATCGAATGGGTCAAATTCACCTTGTCAGCTTGGGAAAGTAATAAAGTAGGGTGAGGACTGACGTTATCAGCAGAGCAACCAACTTGTTTATAGGTCTGGTCCGGGCTGGTAAAAGCGTCCGGACAGCCAGAATAAGTGCCTGCAGGGTACATTAGCACTTTGGAGTGCAGCATATGCTGGAAGCTCACAGTCTGCTCCAGCACCATCGCAGCCGTCGTAATATCTAGAGCGACCTTAAGTCAGTCGGAATTTATACAACCGTGCGCTTGTACACACCCAAATCCGCTAGTCACGGAGAAAGCATGGCTAGATCATCTGAGCGTCAGTTTCATCCAAGAGGAAGAGAAAAAAGGCTCAAGCTACGAACGGAGAGATAAGGGAAATATCGGCACTGCTGTATCCGTTGGAGAGCGTGGCTTCAATGAGCGTGCAGCTTTCACCATTATCTCCGCAGCCACCTGTCTGCAAGTACCTAATGATTTGCTACTCAGTGTGAGACGGACTGCGAAGAAAGTAGGACTTACGAGATGAGGCCGTCCAGAGCATTATTGGCGGTGTAAGATCCGCCAGTAGAAAGCGTATTCCCTGAACCGTCTCTCAGGATGGGCTATAGTGAATGTATCTTTAGTTCCTTCCACCTGGCTGGAATATCGAAGACTGACTGTGCCATATCCACAGCTAATGTACCATTAGATCGAGTACGAAGATAAAGAGCGCGACACACTCACTTGTTGGTAAAGCTGACGGTATGCGTCTCCGCGGCAACTCGGGTCGCGGCCAGAGCGGCGACGATGAAGGCAGCGGTGAGTTTGAAGAAAGCCATGTCGATAACGGGGATAGGCTGAGAGGCTCTTACAAGACTGGCCGGTTTGAATGTGTGGAGAATGGTGCTGGATAGTCGTTTGCTCTACAGAGCTTTTATACCGCTGCAAGCGATGAGCGGCAACATCTCCCCGTCTGGGACTGTCGACGAAAATGCCTTGTAGAGATGTTGCATTCGAAGCCCTAGAACCGATGCTGTGGTTGCAGCAAAAGCCAAAGGCCCGACCGCATGCCTGGCCACGCTTGCAAAGTTCATCACAGTCCACTGACAGATCGCAGTACGCTGACGTCGTGGACATTGACAAACGATTGCCGCAAAAATTTGTGATCAGATGTCCGTGGAATGTTAGAGGAAGTAGTGCTCGATACTGACCACAAAACAACTAAGAAACTAGACATCTTGGGTGTTCCGTGGAACAGTGGTGATGCTGCTATTGCCTGTCATTTAGATGCCAGAAATGCCCAACAACAGCTATGGATCGGTGCATTTCAATACCTAGCTATGGGCGAGCCGTCAAGGAACATGTAGCGGAGAAATGCCGTGGAGGACAAGAAGTCTCAGCTGAAGTAAGTTAGACCTTGGAACGAATAAAACAGAGAGCTTGATGCACGGTCAATGATTATCCCATGACACTACAGCGATGTGAGGCCGCCGCCGCGTCCACAGAAGTATTGGCCAGTCCATGACGTCTCAAGTGATCGAGGCGCATTAGCGTCTGACCCGACGTCGAACTACATCATCGGTACGGCACCGCGCGGATCACGGAGCTCTAGCTTCGTTCCCTAGATCTGATCAATCAGTAAAATGACAGATGGTATGAATCTCCCAGAGGTACCTATGTCTCGGATTCCATCAAATCAGATGTCTGAGCACCTCGGATCACCTGGACTGCAGCCAGAAAGGGCCCACGCAAAACTTCCAGTTACAGTGCGTACGAGGGCCAATGACTGAAGAGATTGCACGCTCTCGCCTGAGCCATGGTAGGCGTAATTCCAGGCAGTCAGAGCCGACGTCTCTTCTTGTCGCGCTGCGAACTCGTCTGTCAGATCGACCTGCAGGACAGAGATGGGAGAAAATGTTTCATATTTCGACAGGGGCTCACCCGGCTAAGTACAACGCACACGAAGTGATGCACTGCCTAGCCTATGCAGCCAAGACACATCGTCTGGGCCATCGACCTAGAGGACTACTTCGTGCCCCATGGGTGTCACGGTTCGTTCGACAACAGTGGTTATACCCTCAAGCGCTTTGTGCCCCAGTTCCTGTAGGTCGGGACTCCAGTCGTTGGGTTGAAATCTGAGCTGGAAGCGCAGCGGCATGCGGCTTTCTACCCCTGGTGACCCAAGGGTGACAATATGCCGGTATGGAAGATAGCTCTAGCCGCTCATCAATCAACGCATTAGTTCTGCTATACGTACTGTTGCGGAAATGTATGCACTACGACGTTTCTGGGGCTGCATATATGCACTTGAAATTCAACAAGTTGTGAGTGGAGTTGGCGTGGGAGTAGTGCAACAGTACACAGAAACTACGTCACCTTTCATGGTTCCGGTCAGATGCGCCACTGTGTGCTTAGCAATAAATAGTCATCTTCTGTCCGAATCCTCAAAGTGTTGCGGCCTTTGGACAGCAGGCCACTTTCTGGTCCCCTTCGCGCACGCGGCCCCCATCGGGCATCCATACCTGGGAGGTGATCAATAACTCCTAATGTATTATAGATGCTCGATTTTGGGCTGGAGAGCGAAGAAAGACGGGTACCTTGTTGAGCTTGGTTGACTGGATCATCATTCCGAAATCGCAGAGCGAAGCGCTGTGCTTGTGCCAAACGAACCCGAGCTGAGATTGGTATGCCATAAAACACTAGCAAAAAGTGGGCCTCTCTTCGTCAGAGACCTTGCTTGCAACCCTACGGTATACATTGGAGCCAAATACGCGAACATCCACGCGTACGTTAACCGGGAAAAGACGGGTCAAATAAGGGAATGGGAGAGACCAAGCAAGCACGGTGCTCGTCACGAAAGAGATGTTCCTCTTCACCGACTCAGTGACGACAAGAACAGGCACGTCTGGTAGATATTCGGCGCCAGCTTCTGTCGTCGTCATATGGAGACCACAAGACCAGTGAGAAATTGCAGTCGGGCAGCCCTGTTAAACACGAAGACGCAGAAGTGAATGCCACATCGTTTAAGTCATTCACATGTACGCCTAGCACACGATACAGAGAAGCCAATGTCAAGCAAAGAAATGACTGGCGATTCACCCTGGCTAGCAGGGTTGCGAACGAACTTGGCCGGGACTCGCCCAGAAGTTATGCATATTGATCGTCATTGAGAATCGAGACATCCACGATCGCAGAGCAAAATGACTCGATGTACATGCCTCTTGTGCCTGCGATGATTAGCATTCAGACGCGCTGAAGCGCCTCGTGCAATACACGAGCTTATATGTGGCCCTAGAGAAGACGACAATCATTCGACTTGTCGACGAAAAGTACGGCTCATGCCGAGAACACATCAGTACAAGATCGTGGGCCACGTCTTCTGAGCTCTGGACACGCGGCACAGAATGGCACAACGTGGCACACCAAGATGGGAACAAGCGAAGCTTATTACAGTGTTCTGCTATTCGTTTCTGAGAAGATTGTTGCACGTCTTATATGCAAAAGAAGTTCGCCAGATGCACGACTTCATAGTAGAGAGAAGTTCACTTGATGCACGACTTCGTGGTAGCAAAAGAAAGGTGAACATACAATTGACACAACGCCGACCTTTCAATGAGGAATTGAGTACTTGTCACGAGGGACATCACTCAAACGCCCATTGGTCCGCCGTCGTGCCGCCACCAACAGACGGAAGACCGAGAGTTCCCGCGATAGGCAGCGATATCGCGGCGAGCTTCGTCTCTTACACGTCATCGTGATGCACCCGCGCCAGCAGGAGACCAGCAGACGTTCTGCGACACGTCAAGGCGGGAATGGAGGCAAATCATGACAAGATGCAGGGGGTTTCGAGACGTACCAATTGCTTATAATAGATAACCGAAGCTCTGGCACTGGCGGGCCTCAGGCGAGTGAAGAGATTTGATTTGCAGGCACTCGTGGGTGACTTCTTTGCGAGTAGCTAACGCAAGTGGCGATAGAGATGTTGCAAGTTGTGGTCAACGTGACGGTCGGTCATGGAACCTGGATGGGCTGTCCCACGGCGACAGTTTTTAGAAAGGCTGGGCGACTCCAAGAAACGACAAAAGCTGGCATGAGGAAGACCTTCCGCAGACGCGATGCAGCAAGCATAAAGAGTCAGAAAAAATGGGACGCTCCTTCATCAAACTTTTTATGTGTACTGCATCGGGGTTTGATAGAAGGGACAAAGGAAGGAGCCTTAAGGCTTCAGAGGAGGATTGCAGTCGCCTCGGAAGACCGGGCCGGGAAGCACTCCTCCATGCGCCCGGCCGTCATGACTAGGACTCGGGTAACGCGCTATTATATATCTTAGAACCCTGTCGGTATGCCATGGAATACTGACCTATGTCCCACGATATAACAGGGTTCTTCTTCTCGTCATACTCTTGCCCTCGAGGTCCTTGATTTCTTTTTACTGCCTGTACATATAGTCGTGTGCTATCGATTTTACGCCTCATTCACCAGCAGTAACGCTGTCCCCCCGCCAATATCGCCATGGGTTCATCGGCTGGATTTCTCGTCTATTCAGGCGTCATGCCTCTCATTAAGACGTACGTTCATACAGCTCGTTCCCCTAGTTCTCCAGTTAACGACGGTTTCCAGATATATCTCAATTGCACTCGGATACATCCTGGCGAGGAAAGGTCTATTCCCACCAGAAGCATCCCGAGGAGCGTCACAAGTGACTATGAACGTTTCCCTCCCTGCACTCATCTTTGCGAACATCGTACCCGCTTTCACGCCCGCCAACGTCTCTGCCCTCGGACCCCTCTTCCTTACCGCCTTCACCTACCAGATCATCGGCTTTACCCTCGGCCTTCTAATCCGTGAGTTCTTCTATGTGCCCCGCAACTTCTACCAGGGCATCGTCGTCCTCACAGGCATGAGCAACTGGGGAAACCTACGTTAGTACCTTTGTAAGACCCCGGCGAGAGTCGTCCCCTGTATGAGCTCATCCCTCATCCTCCTGTACTAGCTAATGCCGTCGTCATGTCCGTCATGGCCCAGGCACCCTTTAACCCAAGCACGGATCCAGCGTGTATGTCCTTCCATACCTCTATTCCATCACGATTCTGAAGTACGTGCAGTGGGCGTGTCATTCGTGTCGATCTTCATCGTCTCCTACCACCTCGTTTTCTGGGTGGCTGGCGCGGCGAACTCCCTCTCCTGGGATTACCGCCCCGGTGTACCGCAAGGCGAAGCGGCTGAGCTGCGTGTGTCTTGGAAAGAAAAGCCCATTGGCGGCTTCATCGCACGACACATTCTCAAGCTCTCCGTAACCCATCCGACACCCGAGAAGCATGATAACACACTCCAGCCTGAGCATCGTCCCTCCATCGAGAAGGTGCCCGTCGACCATGACATCGAGAAGGGTACGCCAGAGGTGGCACCCCAGCCATTCGAGAACACACCCCACGAGCTTGATCCAGACGTTCAGCTTGCCCGACGAACCTCGCGCCTTTCGGCAAGCTCCTTCCGCTCGCGGCATCCATCCACCTCGCTCGGCCACGGGCCCTCTATGGCCGTCGTCCCTCCTGCGCCCCCACCATCCCCCTCACCGTCCTCAAACGCCCATGTCGCCGCGCACTCGGCAGAGGATACCGAGCCAGAGACAGCGCTGCCTAGCTTACGCGCGCGCGTTCTTCACATGTTGCGACCGCTCTCCGTCATCGTGACACCCATTACGATCACGCTCGCGATATCGCTACCCGTCGCGCTTATCACGGACCTAAAAGCGCTGTTCGTGAATGTCACTGCCGAGGGCGGGCCAAATTGGCACGGGCCCGACGGGCAGCCCCCGCTCGCATTCGTCATAGAAACCGGTGCGCATGTTCTAATCTTCTCTGCGTCCACGGTCAATCGTTCTCGGCCTACTGATTTCTGCTCTGTGCTTTGTGTTTTCTTTTTCCCCGCCGCCTATTGTGCGTCTTAAATGCCCTCATCGCTGAACGTGGACCTACTGCACCGCGCACACGTATCCTTATGTCTGATTTTCGTGCGTATGATGCTCACTCCATAGCTGAATTCCTTGGCGCAATCGCCGTTCCGCTTGCGCTGGTTCTCCTCGGCGCTTCCTTCGCACGCATTACTGTGCCGCGCCCGCTCTCGCGGCTACCGATCGCTGCGATGTTTGCCGTGAGCGCGTGCAAACTGTTTCTGCTACCCGTTTGCGGCGTATTCATGGTGCAGGCGATGGTCCGCGGCGGGCTCATACCGCGCGAGGCAATCGCGGAGCGTTTCGTCGCGATGTTCCTCAGCGGAACACCGGCGGCGGTCAAGTGAGTGTCTGCGTGCTCGTCGTGTAGCGCGGGCGCTGACGTGTGGTGGGTGACAGCCAGCTGATTGTGTCGTCGCTGTATGCGCCCGGGGGAGAGGTCGATACACTGTCTGTGAGTTACTTTTTGCCTCTATCTGGTGCGCATATATTCAATTCACTGTCGCTATGAAGGCTTTTCTCCTTGTACAATGTGAGTTTTCGTCGTGTCCTCGTTTGGGTGACGACGCTGACCTGTCGTAGACGTCCTCATGTTTATCTCCAGCGCGTGCGTCTCTATCTACATCCTGATACCCCTCCCCGTCGCTCATCTTCTCCCATTAGCGCCCTCACAGCCGTCGCTCTCCTACTCATCTGACCCGAGGGACACGATCTATAACCCGAAACGACTTACTGACCTCCATATGTTACTGACTTATCTGACGACTAGATGCCGCATACGAGAGTGAGGATAGACCTATTTTGTTACAAGACGATATAGATTTAGGACGATAGACGGCGGCAACAGCACGCGTATATCGATGTGGTAGAGGCGGTCGCGCGGGTCGGCGTTGTGATAGAGGTCCGCAAGGATCTCTCAGAGTTGATGGATTAGATAGACGGGTCCTCTACATCCTTGGGTTCTTGCATAGACTTACATACCCTTACTGTTGTTTCTTCGTTCAACTACCCTGTCAATTGGTTTGTGACGAGCTCGTGACACCAACCAATCGACAAGAGGTAGGTGTGACGAACGCGACATGTCGCGTCGGCGTGACATCGCCACCTGGGTTCACTTCGTGTCCTCCCGGCCCTGTCTCAAGTCCAAAGAGTGCGTCATAACAATGATGCAGTCAGCCATTCGAGTCGGCTAATGGGAATACAGTGAAGGTGAATTTGCTTTTGTCGGGGGATACTTGTCGACTGCGACCTTGCTAGGGTGTTCTTGAACTGGATAAACTGTCATGATGAGTGGGCATGCGTCAAGCAGTAATCAGTATGGACGTGGGCAGAGCCAGTCCTCTAGAATGAAAGGCAGATTCTTCAAATGCATACGTGAGCTCTGACAAATGTACATTCACCAGATGTCTGTTTGTTCATGCACGTCCTCGTGAGACAACAGCTTAATGGTATACAAAATGCTTAACGTAAGAGACTATCGCGCTGGCACGGCTTCAGTGGCCTGCATTCAACCACAGATCGTCCAGTAGTTCCCTAGCATTCGCTCTCTCCTCAGGCTTCCACTTCAACATTTTCCTAATGAAGTGAAGAAACAGTGCCTTATCCTCCCCTGCAAGATTCTTCTCGGCATCCTCCAAGCTCGTGTTTGGAATATCAGCTGCTCCCTTCCAATTGCCTGTGCAAATGTTAGGAGCCATGTATTTGTTCCGGTTATGAATGATACGCACCATCCCTATTGAACCATTGCCAAGGACGATCTGTTTGACTTCGCTCGAGGAAGTCTTTTGGTGGAAGGCCAAGCAATGCAATCATATGAGCAAGGTGATAGATATTGTCCTCCTTGTTCTCAGCTCCTCCTGTAGTTTTGAATAGATTGCCATTCTCAAACAAATCCCAAATCTGCAGCATGTGGTTCACATGATCTCTCGAAGGCTATGAAGACAGTATCGCTCACCAGGACTCCGATGTTCCAGATATCCACCTTCTCATCCCAAGGAATGTCTAAGATAACTTCAGGAGCTCGATATTGATATGGTTGAATGTCGTCCATTGGATCGTATTTGCCAAAATGGGCTTCGCCGAGATCACAGAGTACCGGTCGGCCATAATTATAGATACAAGGGACCAGCGGTCGGGATGTGTAGAAGATTCGGTCACCGTCGATTTTGCGCGGACTGGGAGACTCCACCTCTTGCTTCTCAAATTTCTCCAAATCATCTTCGGCAGAGTGATCATCCAAGCCTAGTAAAATGTTCTTCTCCTGAATATCTAAGCCATTCGGGCAATGCATATGACATGAACATAGAATAGAGATCGACATGACATGGCTCACCGGTGTGTATCACTCGAGCCTCGGTATGCAGGAAGTCGAGAGCAAGAAAGACATGCTTGAGAACCGACCTCAAGAGCGCGACAGGCAGGGATTTAGTGGGAAGCATCTTCCGAAATCCTCGTAGGGTGATCGCCAAAGGTGAGTAAATGATAGCTTGATACTTCTGGTTATGGCTGGTGACTTCGAACTCATCCAGCATCTCGCGAACCAGCGAGGAGCCTACGTGGTTTGTTTTGATCGTTCTCAAGTAGTTCGAGGCCGAGAGCTCCCCCGAAAGCGCATGGCAAGTGCCGATCTTGAGGGCTACATGCCGATGTTCCCTGGCGAGGTTGAGTGAAGACTAATGTTATGACCATCAAGAGAGGCTTACGCTAGGTCCCGACATAGCCATACTGTAGCATATCCTCCATACCCTAGTTTTCCAACGACTTGATACTTTGACTTGAAGACTTCACCTATTCGCACTGGATAGAATTCGTCTGGTCTGTACCGCTCCCAGGTCTCCTCTTCGACCAAGTAAGAGTTGTCGATGACCTCGAAACCACTCGTAGGGAACAATCGCGGGGGCAATGGTCTTCGTACGAGGCAGCGAGCAGCACGGAGAAGAGACGACATTCAAACTTTAGACTGAGGACATGAGTTCAGTACGGTAAGCGAGACGTCCGAGGTTCAATTGCCCCGGCGTACGGTTGCCCGCTTAGGCTAGTCCGAGGGTCGCAGCTGCAGTGTCGAGAAAGTTACTTGCGACGTTAGCCGTGTTACTCCCTATTAGTAGTGAAGAATAACAAGCTGCAGTGAGAGAGCGACACTAAGATGTGGCTTACGCACGGGAACTTTCTGGCTCGAAATGAAATATGATTGGTTTTACGAGACCGCAGTGGGGTGGAGAGATTTTTGAAGTTTCCGCATCTCAGTATGGGCCTAATTCAAACTAGATCTCTTCGACCACCTGCCCCGATATTGCGATGGGCGTCGGGGGCGCGGTGCACAACGCGATCAACCCTCCGGTGGAGGAATGAAATGGCGGATTACACGCTGGATTCGAGATCGTATCCTCAAGGATTTGTATCACCGAGTCGTAATGCAAACGGGCTATTTGTACTTATTTGTACCACTGCTACCACAGGTCCCGCCTGAATGTCGGTAGGCAGGTAAGTCATCAGAAAATCCATGACGGTGCGACAAGGCATTAGCTATGATTGTAATGTAAATAATTTCCGCAATATGCATCAGTCTTGCATTCATTCTGGTCAGGCCTTTTATAGGACAGTTGAGTTGGTGAACATCTAACTGAAGCATCGGCATGCCATGGGGTTATCGGAGTCAGCACAGCTTGCAGTTGTAAGATCATATGCATTTCCACATGGATCAGGCATTATAATTGATCCCACAGAGTGCTCAAAAAGAAAACATATCCATTTTTTGCTGTAATGTAAATCTATCTGCATTATCTATGAAAACCGTGCCCATACGGCTACACCCCAGGTTCCACTTAGCAGGCAGGCATGGGGAGCACAACCCCCCGAATCCGCAGAGTGTACCGACGCAACACCCGCACCTTATAGCTCGACCCCAGCGGCCATTCCGTAAGTGTCCCGGCGTCTTGATGGTCCAGGTCGGCCATCCAAATAGTCCTCATCGTCGGCCATCCACAGTCCTCGCAAGTCGTCGCGAGTCATCGGCGAGCCAAACCCTGCGCGCCCGCGAGCCGCGGTCCTGGTCAAACATCGGCCCTCCACGGTCTCGGTCAAACGTCGGCCCTCCACGGTCCTGGCCAAACGTCGGCCCTCCACGGTCCTGGTCAAACGTCTGCCCTCCACGGTCCTGGCCAAACGTCGTGCCCTCCACGGTTCTGGTCCGAGGTCAGCCTCCTCACCAACGGGGATGGCCTTCCAGAGCGATCTTCACGTCCGTTGTCTTCGGCCAACAGTGGGGAGCCCGAGCAGTGCGCCAGTCTCGAAGGCAGGGAGATGGAAGCAGAGCAGCAGCGGAGAGGAGAGAGGCTTCGAACCGCAGCAAGCAAAGGCAATTGTACTCCGCACCAACTCCGCTCTCGCCCTGGTCCCACGGACTATGTTATGATTCCGTCACAAATAAATGCTGTGTCTGTGTAGACTAGTTGGTTAGACTGTGAGGCTGATATGTGATGTGATTTAATCTAGAGACCTTGAGTTCGAACCCCACTCATGTATTTATTTTAGACGCTATGGTTATGAAGCTTCACTGGCAAGCCTTGCGGATTTTGTGGATTTTGTCATCGCTTTACAATAATTTTGCTGGATTTTAATATCTGGTCATGTCCTCGTCTTAATGATGTTACCTGACACTGTCACATATGAACGATAGTTCCCTACAATTTATTGAATGTCTAGATAAATGCTCAGAGAGAGGTGGCGGGCGGCCGTGTGGTTATCAACTCCGCCTGGTCATGCCTGGGTCTCCCGAATTTCCTGATGGTATCTCTTAATATCTCCTACAGGTCACTTCGCGATCCGCCTCATTCTACACAACTCAGCGCGCAACCTATGGCTTCTTCATCGATCTCTCCTCTCCCCCTCACGCGCCCGTCCGTGCAAGCTGCATATGAGGCGATCAAATCCCGCATACACCGAACCCCCATCTTCACCTCGTCCTCTCTCTCTGCCTCTCTTCCCGGGCGCAACACTCTGTACTTCAAAGCGGAGAACCTGCAGAAGGGTGGGGCCTTCAAGTTCAGAGGAGCCAGTTACAGCCTTGAATGCTTGAAAGAGGACGAGCTCGCGCGGGGCGTGTGTACGCATAGTTCAGGTTAGTGATCTCCGTTCTTATCTGACCCCGTTCTACGACCGTCAGCGGTGTACTAGGGAACCATGCCGGCGCGCTGGCGCTCGCTGCGCAAGAGCGAGGCGTAAAGTGCTACGTCGTCATGGTCTGTCCCGCCGCCCTACTTTTGATATGATGCAGACCAGACTGATCATTCCTCAGCCAAACAACTCCTCACAGCCCAAGATCGCCGCGGTACGCTCATATGGTGCCGAAATCACCTTTTGCGAGCCTAATGCACGTGCACGGGCGGACACGCTTGCGGCCGTCCAATCGCGCACGGGTGCGACCTTCGTCCCGCCATACGATGCGGCGAATACGATCCTTGGGCAGGGTACGGCTCTGCTGGAGCTGCTGGAGCGGGCACCTGAGCCGCTTGCGGCGGTTATTACGCCTGTCGGTGGTGGTGGTCTACTTGCGGGCACTGCGCTAGCCGCAGACGGCACCGGCGTCAGGGTATTCGGTGCGGAGCCTGCGGGTGCAGATGACTGTGCGCAAGGTCTGAGTGAGGGGAGGCGTAGGGAGGACGTACAAGCCAATACGATTGCGGACGGGCTCCGCACGCCCGTCGGCGTGCTCAACTTCCCCATTATACAGGATAAGGTCGAGCGAGTAATCGTGGTATCTGATGAGGTTCGTACTGTGTTTGCGTGTCTCCTGGTCCTCAGGCTGAACATCTAGTCTGGCTACGTTTCCGATCTCTGTTGTTCTCGTACAGGAGATAACAGAGGCGATGCGCTTGATGTGGGAGCGGTTGAAGCTCGTCGTAGAACCAAGCGGGGCGACGGCGTTTGCTGCAGTCCGGAGCGCAGCGTTCCAAGAACTGGGTATCACAGGCCCAGTGGGGATCATCATCAGCGGCGGCAACCTCGACCTGTCGAAGCCGCTGCCTTGGTGCTGATGCCATCCCTGGAGGTGTGTTCGTAACTTTCTTAGAACGCTTGACGCGGTTCTTGCATATGTTGTCTCCGGGACAATTGACCATGGTTGTTTTATTGGCATTGCCGCGGCGGCGGGTTTCCCGGCTGAATGTCCATGACAACTACAATGATGATGCAGCAATCCAGTTTCTGGCATTTATGATCAGTGTTATCTCATTGCCTGTGTTGGTGATCCGATTTAAACGATCTGACCAGTCTGAGAGAATGGTGCTTCGCCACTGGGGCGGCCCGATTAGAATGCACATTCCAGAGTGCAAATTGCCGTGTGATGCTACGGTAAGTAGTAGTCCGATTTGTAACCTATTATACGCGCTATGCTGATAATTATACAATGCTTGCAGTAAAGTCCAGGAGACTCCAAGCTGAGTTCGTGTGCCAGCACACATCACAAGGGCGCATCGAAATTGAGGTCACTTGCCACGCCTTCCCACCCATCAAGACACGCTGAGACCTTCTTCTGGTGCACCCGCACATCGCTGAACGTGACGCCCCCGAGCATCAGGTACAGCGGCATTTCGTGCCCCCGCGCGGCGCCCTCGCCTTTGACGACGTCGACCAGCAGCTCCATCGCCTTCGCGGGGTCTCCCGGCGCGTTCACAGCGACGTCGCGGAAGACCGCCTGCATGGCCGCGCGAGTCCCGTCGTACGCGGGTATCCGACGCTCGGCCATGATCGGTGCGCTATGGATATTTTCCGTGCGGAACGCGCCGGGCGCCACGACCATCACACGCACGCCAAGCGGGCGCAGCTCTGCCGCGTACGTCTCGCCGAGCGCGTGCACTGCCGCTTTGCTCGCGACGTACATGCCGACGGTCTGCGTAGACGGAACGTCAGGACTGCACAGAAGCGGGAGAGCATCGAGGAGGAGCTTACGGGACCAGTCTTCCAAACCGAGCGGCTGCCAATGATGACCACTGTCCCCGACCGCCGTGAGCGCATGTGCGGCAAAATCGCGTTCGTGACGTTCATGACACCGAAAACGTTCGTCTGGAATTGCGCAAGGGCGGTTGATGGACTGTGCAGACAGACCGTCATGAGAATACGCTCGCTCATTTGCATTGTAAAACTCTACCTGACTTCCTCGAGCATGCCCTTCGCGCCGGTGCCGGCATTGTTTACGAGCACGTCGATGCGGCCCCATACGGCGAGCGCAGCTTCTACCGTGCGTTGGATTTTGTCTGCGCTGCTTGCGACGTCGAGAACGAGCACGTGCAGCCGCGAGCGCTGCGAATCTAGTGGGATGGGCGCGTTTTTAAGGTTCCGGACGGTCGCGATGACGCGGTCACCCCGCGCAAGCACAGATGCAACGAGGCGCTTCCCGAAGCCAGAAGACGTTCCTGCATGATATCGGGTTAGCTTCTCGGTATGTTACGATGGCGAGGAAGAGCGATACGCACCGGTAATGAGCCATACCTTGTTGACCTGTTCCATATGCACAGAATTCGAGAGAGCGGAGTAGCTTATGGCGCAGAGAATGAGGGGAAGAAGCTCTATTACAAGAGTCCTATAAGAGCTCTGCGACCAAGTGCGACCTGAAAATGACGATGTCCCAGCACGGACAGGCCCTACTTAAGGGGAGCGCGCCCAGCGGGACGAATGCAATGCATCGCCTGCGTGTCTCACGGGCTGTCAGCTCGACGTCCCTGGAAACAACATCAGAAGACGCACGACACAGCCTCCTTGCTGCTTGGAGCATGACCACGCAGCGCAGACGCCTTCGTGAAAACTGCGTCGCCTCGGTAAGTGATCAATAGAGTCAGACTGCCGTGTACAGTACATAGACGTAGAGTTCATCTACATATACACAAGCAGCTGTGCGCGCCCTGACTCACCTTCTCTCCGACGTGAATCCGACACATGTGACAGAAGGCATAACGCTGGCGTCGGCATTTCGCAACTGACAGATTACAGCCGTTTGCAAAAGGAGAGGCCCCCGCGGGGAAAACACTCGTGGATCGGGCTGCCAAATGACGGCTCCTGATTGGCGAGGGTTCACTCTCCCACAGGCAGCGGCGAGCGGGCCCTGGCGGCTCATCCGGCATGGGGCTTCGGAAGTTGTTATTTCGAAGTCCGCCCTACGCGCAAGTTGTTTGGCAGGGTATTGCAAACAGCTGAAGATAAAACAAAGGGACAGTATGGTGGGCCACGTTGTCGGAAAGTCTGTGCAGAGAAACCACATGGTCCAAGACTACAAAGAGGTTTCAGGATGAAAGATTGTACTTGCTGTGCCACTGTGCGGCAAGCGTGAGCAACGTCTCGGAGCCGGAAGAAACCAATTCATTTCGGAGCAGGGTAAGGAATCGGTACGCGATCTCCGGTTACTAATGCGGCTTTCCGGTTTACTATCACCGTGAACCCATCTACCTTAAGCTCATTTCTGAGAGAGAGAGAGAGAGAGAGAGAGAGAGAAATCTGTGTATTTATACTGCAAGCAGGCGATCAAGTGCGCCAAGGAACAGTCTCTAACGTAGGTAAATACGCGCTGGTAAGGGGTTGTCGATAAATGGAAATGTCTTTGCTGCCATGAAAGCAGCGGTGTCTCATGAGTACTGCGTTGTTCGGGTGTGGGGAAGTGATGTCAACAGTGGGAGTCTATGATGTGAATAGCAGGGAGCATGAAAGTAACATAACGGAAAGCATAGGAGAAGGGGAAAAACCGTAACCTCATCAACGTCATTCAAGTCTGCCTGCTCCGGATCCTTCCACCTGAGGGATTCGTTCGTTCGCGCGGTGTTCTTCGTATGACCCTGCGGCTGGCCCGCCTTTTGAGGCAGCTCGTACTCTAGCGGTCTGGCGCGTAGTTAGCCGTTTTCCTCGCTGCGGCGGGAAGCTCGCTTCTGAGATGCAGCAACTGCGCAGGAATCTTAGCCATGATATCAGCTACGATATGTCCATTGCATCCATGCGTGTCTGGGGAAGGAGGTTACGCTCCCGATTTCACCGATGCTTCGGAAGACTCGCTTCGCAAGGGGATCAGAAGGGCCGACTCGGAGAGGTCACCCTCAACACCATTCACTAGCACTGACTGTACTTACTCGCATGCGGCTGCAGCGGTGCTGGGCTGTGAGACGTGCCGTGGCGCATGTCACTGGTCGTGTGGATCCTCCTTGTTCTTTCTGCGATGCCCTCGGCCAGTGTGCTCTCATGCTTCCGTTATGTGGCGCTATGTCGGGAATCATCTACTGGCACGAGTATGGCCGACTGGAATTGTCGGTACTTTCATAGTTTGTTGTGCGCCGCCTCTTCGTCATCATTTTGTCTTCTGAAGATTTGTAACCAGTCTGCGCTCGGAACTCGCTGATGGGGAGGCTGACGAATACGTCCCTGAACTTCTTCATTTGTCAGAAGCATTGTACCTTCTGTCGACATCAACCTTCTGGACTTTGACCGAACAGTGGCCACTCCTTGAACAACTTCTCTATGACGTGATAAACTGGTTGCGATCTCTCTGGCTGCGATCAATGTAGAAATGCGCAGCCAATGCCTCCCAACGGGGTGAGTGAGACCGAGACTCATCTCGGGACGCTGTTCGTAGATGACACCATTCTCAGATGTTTCATGACGATAAATAGTGCACATCTGCGGGGCGTTGGGATCCCGGCGATGCGTCTGATTGTAGAAGTCCATTTTTCTTCTTCCTGACAAGCACACAGAATCATAAGCTAGATTCTCAAGTACTCATGCACACATGTACGGCGCTCGCTAGCGTCCGCACTGATTGATTATAGATCATCATATCGTGGTCTGGAGCGACTGGAACGAGACTCAGGCTCCTGGGGGGTGGGTTATCTATAAGTATCGCAGGCGTAGACTAATACCAAGTGTTCAAGGATCCAGGTTGTTGACTTGCAAGAAAATACTTATCGACGGTATATATTATACGTACGCGGGAGCACTACTGCTGTTCATATGTACCACTAGCTAATCTACTCGCCAGGCCTATTGTACTTATTAAATATACGCACGGCCCAAGCTTTCATCGATGTTGAACGTTGAACGTTGAGCAACGTGGAAGTGAAACAGCTGAACGACAGTGTACCAATACGGCAAGTGGATAGCCGTTTTGAGCGGGTGATGTCATTGCGGAGGAGCAGTGACACGCCTCCGCCGCAGATCTGCAAATCCTGGGCTTCTCGACGCATATATAACCTTCCGAGCCCCATTTCAATGAGACATCTTCCTTCCCAACAAACCACCATGTTGTCTGCAGCTCGTCTTCCGCGCCGTCTCGCGGCAGTGCGCGCGCTTCACAACCGCACCCGTCTGTGCGCGCAGCCTGGCAAAGACCACCAGCTCTCCCAAGACACCGCCAACAGCCCATCATCTCTCTTCACACCGCTGGATGCCGCCTCGAACGACACTTCCAAGCAGGACACGCGAGAGGCATCAGGCAAATCCGAGGGGGTAGGCTTCGTCGAGCAGGTGGGGTCCGCGAGCAAGTCGGGCCCGCAGGAGCCGGATGGCAGCAAGGGCGGGCAGGTGGAGAGCATGCCACCTGGATTCTTCAGTGCAATCAAAGGCAAGCTTGGGCTGGAAACTACGAGCGGGCAGGCGAAGCAGAATCGTGGTGCGGGCGTCGGCGTTACAGGCGCGGGTACAACGAGGCAATTCCATGCGTGCTGGGGAAATGCGGATATACAACCGATGTTCCCTCCATACCAAGTAAGTCGTAGCGCTCGCGACGTTTTGCGTACTCATGAGTCTCGGCAGATGAGTAATGATGGAGGGAAGAAGGTCAATGGGCAGCAAAATAGCTCGTTCTCGACGTCTGCGCGCACGGGTGTCGAGAAGACGAATCACACAGCAGAGTCTTATTTCAAAGACGTCGACGAGACACCTGCTACAGGTAAGACTCACCAAGTCGACCCATCGGGCACTGGTGCAAAGATTAATTCGAACGCGGTCCAATCATCTGGAGAGTACGACACGGTGAGTCCACACGACGCATTGTCTTTTTCATCCTATCAACAGAAGTCGACGTAGGTTAGCAAGAAGGAACCGTACGACACCCCTCCCTCGAGCGGAGAAGACAAGGATAAGAAATTGCGTTACGGGAATGTTCCTGGGCTAGGATCCAAAGATCAAGTGAGTGAGCCTGAAGAAGGTCCTGCGGGTGCGTCTGCGGAGGGGCGGAAGCCTGAGGGTAGAAAGTAATAACAGGAATATTGCCGGTGATGTGGTAGACGGCGTGAGGAGTATACTGCACGGAGGTGCATATCATCATATTTTTGAGAACAGTTTAGCGCTGAGCGCAACTGAACTTCGGAAGCGCCCATGTGTGGTACGAATTACAAACGTTGAGCATTGAGTCCCAGTGAAAAACGCATATTCTAAGAACGAACCAAGACGCACCAGATCGCGGCTTGACTTGGACTATCGCAGGAGGTCGAACCAAATCCCACCTAGTCAAACACGTGTGAGAGATCCTGTGATTTGGCGCCTCGATCCTGTACGAGATCCTGTCTGCGTAGCACTTTGCTCGATGTCCCTGCCAGGCCTGCCATCGGTTGAAACTTGTCTACACATGTGACTTGGCTTTGGTGCATCTCTAACTATACACGATATTTGCTCTTACTAGTGTACTTGTCTCCCGCACACGAATATCATCGCTTTGCCTGCCACACCGAACTCTTCTGCGCGATCATGCCTGCAAGCAAACGTCAGTATCAGTGCGACTGCGAGAAACACTGTGGTGGCCGACAGAAGGTGGTTAGTCGGGCTACGTACTATGGGCATGCTGAGTTTCGCGCGAAGACATCCCAAACATTCGCGGACTTTGTAGCAGACCTCTCTGGTACACGCATCTTCTCGCATGCCGCTTCATGGCCTTCCGAGGGGAACACAAGTCAATTGCGAGGGAGAAAACGTGCTCGTGTGGAGAATGAAATCTACGAGATGTCGGAACAGGTATGTCTCCATGCTCCTACATTTCAGCAAGCTGCCTGACATATTTTCGGCTGCACACAGATGGAGAGCTCGACAATCGCACCTTCGTTTGATGAACTTCCCGGGCCTGATATGGATTGCGAATCTCCTGGTCTTGGACCAAGTACAGAAACCTCCGAATTTACACCTACATGCACTCTCCACCTCGCACATGATCACATCACCCTATCCGATGTTGATGAGCATGAGGATGAAGACATGGATCCTGGGAGCATAGCAGCCACCCGAGGGTCAGAGGATGCCGCGTCTAGTTCTCAGACGCGAGACGACACACGTTCGGGACTTGGACCAGAGACGGAATTGGAAGCAGACCGCACGGCAACGATAGAGGAGATCAAGATAGCAGAGGAGTTTATTCGTTTACTGAAGCAGGCTTCACTAGAGACTAGCGGGCTTGATGCTAATACCATACATCGCCTCCACCATCCCATCGAGGCCCCCCTTGATATCGACGATCCCGATCTGCTGCTATCGATTGAAATATTCCTCTCCGTGACTAACACATCACAAGCGACATACACAGCCGTGCGCGGTGCAATCCTCCACCGTTACCCCGAGAATACCATCCTCACTTTTGACCAGGTGAAGAGCAAGATTGCCGAGCTGAGCGGCGTAGTCCCCATTATCCAAGACATGTGTGTCAACACATGTCTAGCCTACACTGGTCCATTCGCCGAGCTAGACCAGTGCCCGACATGTGGAGAACCGCGCTATGATACTACGAGCAATGGCAAGAAGCGCATTGCTCGCCAAGAATTTCACACCATTCCAGTCGGTCCTCAGTTACAGGCTCTGTGGAGATCTCGTGAAGGTGCTACGGCCATGCGTCATCGTAGTCGTCGCACACATGAGATTCTGGAGCGGCTTCGCGAGCATAATAACCAGCTGTACGAATACGACGACGTATACCACGGATCTGCCTATCTCAAAGCTGTTCTCGAGAATCAGATCAGCACCGACGACATGGTCCTTCTTATGTCGATTGACGGTGCGCAGCTTTATGAAAGCAAGGCCTCGGATTGCTGGATCTACATCTGGGTAGTTCTAGATCTAGCACCGGAGCTTCGTTACAAGAAGAAGCACGTCCTCCCTGGTGGTTTCATACCCGGTCCGCATAAACCCAAGAATCTCGACTCCTTTCTGTTTCCTGGCCTTGGGCATCTAATGGCACTACAGATAGCAGACACACTTCAAGATCAAATACACCTTTTCCATCCACGCAAGGACAGAACACACCCAGTTGGGAGTTTTCTTCGCGCAGAGTATGTGTATTTATATATTAAGCTGGAAATTACTGACCATACAAAATAAGCCATCATTATCTATGCCAGGTAATGCGGTCCCACAAACAATCGCCAACGCAAACCATGAAACTCTGTTGAAATTTCAAAATCAAGCATATCTTGGCCTGCGTGACGCTTATATGCGCCAAAAGATGGAAATACACGCGCTGAATGCACGGGAACAAATTCTAAAGTAAGTTCGAAGTTTTATCTCTCACTTTTTGCGCATATATGCTGCTTATTACCTTGTTCCGCAGGGAGATATATTCGAAACTTGTTGAAGCCGTGCCGCAAGCAGTCCTCCTCATGAACAGCGAACCCTCTCAGCCATCAAACTTTCCCGGTTCTTCTGACATCTCAGGACCACGCGCTCTGTCTTTTTCGACTAGCGGTGGAGCACCCCTTTGCAAGAGCGACTATCCGGGTGTTCGTTTCTGGACGTTTGATGAGTGGAACGCATATAGGAAGATTCTAATCATGGAGGGAGGAATTCTACAGATCCCTGAAAGTATCAATGCCGACCACAGCACAGATGAACAGCAAGAAAGCGAAGATCGGCGGAGCAAGAAATCCAATGCTACCAAGAAGAAAAAGACCATACGCCGGGCACTGTACCTGGAGGATGAACACGGTGAAACCGTCAGCGACAATCGGGCCGGCGAGATTCGGCGCGTTGCCAGAGAAATTTGGGCACAACTATGGAACGAGGGCCATGCGCCGGAGACTTGGGGTGCAAAAACTGCGAACGTCGCAGCTTTCTATTATAAGCAGATGAGTCTTTGCTGTCCTGAACTGAGACTTTGCCATGGAGACTGGAAAGCTGAACGCCTTGCGATCGACTCCTACTCTCAGTGGCGCACTACTCGGTCTAAAGGCGACGAGATGAAATCTGCCTCTCGGTCTCGTTCTCGTGCTCATTCCCGTGCTCATTCGAAACGTAAGGCCCGCTCTGCATCAGACATGGACTCTTCCGAAGACGACTCTCAACCAACCAAGCGCGTCAAAGCAACCATGTCTTCTTCCACCCCATCTTCGAACTCAATATCGATATCTAATCCTACTCCTGATACTGTACACTCTCGAGAGTCTGCAAATCCTGCCGTGAATGTTCAATCGTCTTCCAGTAGCGCCGTCGCTCTTATCTCTGCTATCGCTATCACTCCTGCCGAATCCGGATCACCTGTTGCCAACGAGAATGACGAAGAGCTTGAATATATTGATGCTAGTCTTGGACTTGCCGGCTCTGCTTGTGACCCCACTACGGCTTCAGGACAGCGAGATGATACGGATCCTGGCACCCACGAACGACAGCAGACGCCTATCGCAAGCACTTCAGTCCCGACCACAGCTCGAAACCCGACAAACTCAATGGTGCGTCCTTGAAATATATTATTGTCCGGTTGTTCTCATTGTAATGGGTGCCGTCGCATCTCAACTCAGCCTCTTGATCCTCTGTATGTACATTCCATCTTTACAGCAAACTCATGCTGAACTTTAGATTCAAGTGCCGACATGTTCGATATGACTCCTGCTACAGCACAAACAGCAACAACCTCAACATCTGCTGCTACTGTAATCCCTCCGGCATCCGAACTTCCAGCACTTACTTCCGGCGATATCGTGACGGACTCGGTTCGTACAGCGGTACCTACAATGCAACTGAAGAAGAAGAAAAAATCACCCAAGATGTTCGCCAACAGCTCAAGCACCGCATCGTGAGTCTCATCCCCTCTATCATTTATGCTTATTGTCGGCTTCCAGGAATTTGTTTGCAAAAGACTGGCTCAAGACTCATGAAGGAGAATCCCGAGAACAATTCCAATCCGCGTGGGAGGCCCTCGAATCAGCGGAACGGAAGGTGAGTTATCTATATCAACGCTTGAATCTGCGCTGATCGCAGTTTTATTACAGATGTATGAGGACAGGAGTGCAGCCACCATCGCTGCGCTGAAGGCAGAGAAAGCTGCTGCAAAGAGAGCTGAGAAGGCTGCGAAGGTATCGGGAAAGAAGAAGGCAGGGCAAGTGACGCTCCCCGCCAGCGCGGGCACGAAAAAGGTACCTTATCTCACTCTTTATCTATGCTATGACACATATTCACTAACTCTACTTATATTACAGGTGTTGGGCAGCATCCAGGTGTGAAAACGGGGACGACGGCGAACGCAGGGAGTGCGGATGTGTGCGGTTGCGTGCCAGTGCGCGGGTGCGTACGCGGGCAGGGGGATGGGCGCGCGCGTGCGTGCGGGGGTGTGTAGGTGCGAGGGCGGGGGTACGGGCAGGAGCGGGAGCAGGGGCAGGAGCGGCAGCGGCAGCGGCGGCGGGGGTGGAAGCGGGGGTGAGAGCGGGGGCGGGGGCGGGGGCGCGGGCGTGAGTGGAGCACGCCGAAGTAGATCGCGCGATGTCGCAGGAGCTCACACGACGGCGAGGGTGCTCACACGACGTCGAGTGTAGTCACAGTGTATTAAATCACGACAATACAATGTTTTACAGCGGCTTAATATTCGACTAGATGCGAAATGCCTCGATTCTCCCGCTTGGCACTGTGCTAGCCTGCGACCACGTTTGATTGGGCTCGCGCAAGATCGCATATAGTCCAAATTTTCGCAGCTGGTCGCAGCTGGTCACAGCCACGACCTCGTGCGACTTGCTGCGATCTCACAATACGCGTTTTCCACTGGGATTGAGTATTGACTAGGTCCTAAAACCAGCCGTCGCTATAGCGTTCTCGCTCCTTTATCCTACGTTCATGTTTTAGGAGATCATGTGATAAATGTTTTATGAGACTTACCTGATTGAGCGAAAATTACTGTAAAAGGATAGCCGAACAAGAGGAGGAGAACGCTATAGGACGGCTGGCCAAACTGGTCGTCCGAGGATACGCCGAGCGCGCATACCCAGCATTTCTCGCAGGAAATCTCGAATAAACCCTAGCATAGGTCTTGTTTTCTGCGACGCCGTCAACCCAAATTCGGCGTTCGCGTAGGGCACCGTCGCGCGCTCCCCGCCGCAGCGTTGCAGAGTGTCTTTCTCTCTTTACCACTTGTTAGAAATTGACCGGAATGCTGTGGTTGTTAGGTTGTATGTAAGTGCACATCAGAAAATTAAGTACTATGTAGTGCAACAGCTTAATCTTAGGATTGTTAGTTGAGGGTGACCTGAATAATCAGTTCCTGTGGATTAGACAACACAGTGATCTATCAATTTTGGGTAGTGCTCGCCCCAAATCAACATTGCACCTTGCATTCTGCGACACTGCGCGACGGTGCCCTACGCGAACGCCGAATTTGGGTTGACGGCGTCGCAGAAAACAAGACCTATGCTAGGGTTTATTCGAGATTTCCTGCGAGAAATGCTGGGTATGCGCTCGGCGTATCCTCGGACGACCAGTTTGGCCAGCCGTCCTATAGCGTTCTCCTCCTCTGAGAGTCTTGTTCGGCTATCCTTTTACAGTAATTTTCGCTCAATCAGGTAAGTCTCATAAAACATTTATCACATGATCTCCTAAAACATGAACGTAGGATAAAGGAGCGAGAACGCTATAGCGACGGCTGGTTTTAGGAGCCTGAGGACTGCCAAGATACTCAGCTGAATCGTTATATTTCTGAATCCCTGAGCATACGATGTCATATGGCTGTATCAGGTGCGCTCATCGCACGAGCTCAGAACGTTACATTTTTGAACTTGGACAGCAAATTCGAAGAAGGATAATGAAAGCCCGAGCAAAGGATTGAAGGGCCCCCAGCAGATCTATCATATCTAGATTCCAGACAATATGTTATTGCGGTTTGGACCCTCTGGAGATTTATCGCAGGGCGCGACTGGGCTATTCATCGGCACTATCGTATGGAAACGATGGAATCGTTATCATTCATCTGTGGGCAGTTTGCAAGGAGACTAGAAGTGATATCTTGCGGTGTGAGTTGCTGCCTTTGTTGTTCGAAACGCAAGCCTCAATACTCAGACTACGTTGAACAGATGATGAGCTGTCAGCGTAATTTCTCGAAGTTGTCTCTTCGACTGGCTCTGAATCCGCTGCGTTGCGTTGACACAGACGTTCCCCCCAAGTACACTCTGGAACTTACTATTGCAGACGTTACCTTGAGATGCTACGGAGAAAGAGGTCTCCAACTTGTACGCCATCTTCCGTTATCACTCGCATTAGTGCACTCAACATTAGGTAGCATGTGGTATTACGTTGAGAGGGGGGATGCTCGCAGTGGGGGTGGGAGCAACATGTATGGTCCCAGGTTGGAGGTAAGGAATTCCTTTCTGAAGCTACGCACACTAGAAGAACTGATCCCCGCAATGTCATATAACCGGCAATTTTCCCAATGTGTTGTATTCATCGGGACGTCCTCTATTTGCCGAACACAACTTCGCCTACGTCGATATGTGGGAAATCTTGATTGCGTTGCGGGGCACATCCATCCGATACGTTAAAGGAAGCGTGGGGTAAGTCCCGTTAGAAACTAAGCATATACTCCCAGTGGAGCGGAGGTGGTGATGCTTATTCGTACGTTATCCAGAGACTGCCCATGATTGCCATGATATCGATGACAAGAGATTTCCAGCCTGACTTGCGCTCGGTACCAAGACTTACTCCTCCCACGAGTGAGCGAACGTGAGAGGTTTGTTTCTCCCCACGTCATTAGGCGTTGAATATGCGTTGAATCATTGATGCTCAGACAAAGGACTTCGTACACGTTCGACACAAGCAGTGGGGATGTTCCCAGCCTAGTGGCCAGTCAGCAAGAGGCATGATGCCCTTTCTCACTGGGAGGTGGAGAGTCGGTAACACATTTATTGCGGCTCGACGATTGCCGCATCCCGGAATTGCAACCTCGTCTCTCCTCTGTTTGGAGGCTGCGCGGCATACTTCGCCCTGTCTGGCACTTTGCCATGCATTCCGTTACACAGTACGTTAGAAATGGGACGGACAGATGCGACGCTGATGATGAACCCAGTGCCCGCTCTTCACGACTTCCTCCCGAAATCCTGGAACACATCTTCCTTTGCAACTTCAGTTACGAAGTTCCCGGTGCAGACATTCACGCTCACGAGAATCCACACAGTTGGAGGGCGAATGTCAAGTCCATCTTGCCCTGTTGTGGGGTTTCCAGGGATTGGTATTGCGTCGCCAGTGGATTGCTGTATAGACAGAGAATTGACATTCGTTGGTCACATCACCCAGTCAACATTCTACTACTGACAAGATGGACTGTAGGTTCCGTAAAGGCAATGAAATTGCTTCTCCGGACTGTCAAAGAATTTAAGACGAGGAGAGAATCCTGTCCAATTCGACATCTGTCGGTCTGCAACTACGCGATATTGCACTCCAGCACATTTCGGCAGGAATTGAATGAACTCACGACGGTCCTTCTCGCACATTGCACCGAGCTGCAGTGCCTGGAATGCCGCTTTATATCTCTCCTACAGTCTCCGAATACCCCATCGCCGTTTCCGATATTTTCGTCCCTTCGAGAACTCAGCATCGGAGATGTGCACCTTGGAGATATCGCACCGCTCCTGATTTGCGCACCTGCTCTCAAGCGTCTTGATGCCAGCATGCTTGGCAATCCACTATTCCCCAGTCCTAGCGACGCGCTGGACGCACTGCTTAGTGTCCCTCCTCCCGCGTTCAGCCTGCGAGATCTCAGAGTCGCCAATTGCAGGCTCTCGCAGGCTCAGGCGCGGTGGCTGCTTGCAAACTCACGCGACATCGCGCAAGTAGACCTACTGGCAGGCCAGTATGGCATGCTCGCTCCTCTGTCGTGCACCATCGGCCGCACTGTCCATTCGTTGTATATCCGCGACTTTCCGCAGGATAGCGTGGGTGTCGCGCATGATATATCCCGCTTCACGCGATTGACGGCCCTCCGACTGGGCCATTACGACTGGTCATGGTCCGAGCTGTTGTCTGCTATAACGGCGCCGCTGGAGTGGTTGGAGTTGCCGTATTCCAAAGTGGCCTTGACGTACCTTACGACTGCGCTGAGTGACAGGACATGGCTTCAAAGCTTGGGCAAGGTCGTCATCTACCATCTGGGAAACACAGATCGACTCCACCAGGTGAATTCGGCGGATGTGAAGGCTAATAGAAAGATGTTGAAAGAAGTGTGTTATATTCGTGGGATAGAATGTTCTTGGGTTGAGGAGAAAGTTTCTGGTCGCGATGTCGGAGTGGTATGTCTCTCAAAATGCGGGATCGTCAGGGCTTAGGTGGGCGTCATTCTCGGCAGGCGTGACAAGTCTCTCTCTATTCGCCAGTGGACGTATAACCACTGGCATTTACGGAGATCGTGAGTTCATCCTCCCTCCACTGTCGGTCCTTAGGATTCCAGCCCAGTCTTTATCGGGTTTAGAAGAGGCGATTCGTCGGAATGTACCGTTCCTTGGTAAGTAGTAACTGTTAGTGAATGCAGCTATTACTACAGTACTTATATACCTTCACGAATCACTGGCGACCGGCTTCAGCGGCGGCTCGTGGTCTAGCTTCGTGCTGTGGTCTTTTTCTCACTTCATTCGATTGTGAAGTTGAACGTTGAACGATCATCTTGCCGCTTCTCAGTCGGAGATCGTCGGAAGCAAAGCCATCTACATGATCTGTCAGGTACCAAGTTCAAGTTGACTCAACTCATCACGCTCGAGTCGTCAGCATCGTTTCATGGTTATTGATCATGATATTGACAATCAGTTCAAGTTGAACACTTTGAATCATCCTTCGCCACGCCACCACCACTATTCCTAGACACCGCAAGTGGTACTTCTCCAGTGGTCTTCTTCACTAAAATCCTGGTCTGTGCTAGTGAACTAGCGACCGACTTGATTTCGTTCACTGAAGAAAACAATCATGGACGAGTCGGCGAAACCGGGGATGTGGAGCCATACGCTCGTCGCTATCGCTCAGTCTTGTACAAGCGCTCGGGGACCGACCCATCAGGTATGATGTGACGTACTGTAATGCGAGAATCCCTATGTCTGACATTTCATCGGACAGGATGTGTCCAGGCGCACGACTATGTTCCTGAGTGACATGGAAGAATTCGACATGGAGGGCCGATGTCATGTGGCTTGCGGTATGCCTCTCAACTTCATGTGTCGTTATATCATGAAATACAGCTCAGATTATCTGAATATAGAATTCGAGCATTCTTCCTGCTCTAAACAGCGTCGCAGCGGCAAATGATATTGTCCGCGACGATGAATTTCATTTCACAGCCTGTGCTTCAACACTTGCGGTGGAATGGCAACGTTTTCTGGACGAAAACATTGTACCTGGGCGCCCTCTTCAGAGCAAGAAGCTGAAGAGTGCAAAGCAGGATGTAGGTGTTGGCGACGTGGTCGTCTCTCGACCGATCCCCCTGGAAATCATTGAGCACATATTCCGCTCCAATTTGAAGCGCATCACCACTTGAATCGACAGAGGCGAACATGAAGACTCCCGGGATGGGCGAGTTGACCTCAATCCTCTCCTCTCCTATTGTGGCGTCTCGAGGGACTGGTACCGTGTAGCTAAGGGATTGATATACAGAGGCCGAATTCATCTCAGTTGGTCCTTTCACTCATTATCTTGCAAATGTGAGTATTGATGAAGGCAAAAGTTCGACGATAAAGCTACTCCTTCGAACCGTCCAAGAGGACAAGGCTTCGGAAGCCCTGTCCAATTCGACATTTGCCTTTTGACCACTACCTAGCTCTCAACGAGCATGATATTAGAAAGTTCAATGAGCTGGCTGCGTTTTTAATCTCCTTCTGCATCGAGCTGCAGTCTCTGGAAATGTCGTTCGTGGCTCTCCCCAAGACTCTGCCTATCACATTGCCAGACTTCTCGTCTCTACACGAAGTGAGCTTCAGTAATGGGGCCCTCAACGACTATGCACCTCTTCTCACACACCTACCCAATCTTGAGAAACTTGACAGTGTTGGACTCAATACCCATCCTCCTGATGTCGAATTGATATCCCAAACACCTCCACCTACTTTCAATCTACCGCATCTGCGCCTCTGTCAGTGCTCTCTCACCCGAGAAGAGCAAGTGGCTTCTAGGAAGCTCTCGTAACATCGCCTACGCAGAACTACTGGAACTAGGAAGTGATGCTTTTACTACTAGACGCGCCGTGGCTGTTTCCTTCGCTTCTGTTCCGTGGCCTATCCCCATTGTAAAAGCTATCTGTGACACCGTTCGATCGCTCCATCTCAAGGGAATGTTGGACGCACCACAACAAGGAGATCCGCGTTTTGTAACTGAGATCCGCCGGTTTGTACGCTTGAAAGCGCTCAAGGTCAGCGGTCGTGACTGGCCTTGGGAGTCGATATTGCTGCTACTTGAGTACTAGTTCGCGTTGTCGTACTCCACGCTGGGGCAGACGCACGTCTCAAACGATACTGCGCGACCATACTTGGATGCTTGGGTTACTCGACATTACTATATACCACTGGTTCGACACGGACTACTTCTATGGCGTGGAACAAGCCGACGTCAAGGCCGATAGAGCTGTGTTGGAGGATGCATACTCCGCCCGACAAGTTGCATTGAGGTGGGTCACGGAGGGTAACGCTCGTGAAGTGGATCAGTGAGCACTTTTCTGAAGTCTATACATCAATGTATGGATTCATCTATGTTTGTAGGAGTTATCCTGGCATTGCCGAAGATGACTTCATTAGATTTCCTCCCTTCTGGTCGCCACAATCTCATTTGAGTCAAAATGCGCATTAGTCTAACGGTGAAGCTTTGAAGGCCAGTGTATCTACATGGAGAACGTGGAAGTCAGGTTCGTTGAAATAACCTCGTCAACTCGCTGTTCTAGAAGTCGCGAAGACGTCCAGTCAGTCGGCTTACACTGCAAAATCCTTAATCAACGCAACTTTCTCATTTTCCAGTATCTTGGCTCGGAAATGAGATACATCTTGAGAAAATGACATTGACTACAGACAAGAAAAGCACTGGCGACCACTAGTTGTCTATCTAGGCTTCGTCGAAATCGAGATCTTTTGCTAGGTCTTCCCATTCGTTCAAATCTCGCAAGAGCTTTTGACAATGGTCCCTGAGTTTGTCTATGGTGATGCGCCCGAGAGGCAGATACAGTGGGAGTTCCTTCCCCTGTGCCCTCCCCTCGCCTCTGACAGCATCGACCAATAACTCCATTGCCTTCTTGGGATCTCCGACAGCCCTCGCCATGTTCTTGATTAAGACTCCCCGTTCCTCGCGAAGCTCGTCGTAGTCCGAGATGTGCTGGTCGCGAGTAGTATACATATTGACGACGTTGTTAGTACGAAACGCTCCTGGAGCGACGATGCAGACGCGGATACCAAACTGGCGGAGTTCAATGAAGTAGGTCTCGCCGAGTGCTGTTGAATCACATTAGCTACACAAGCGCAACGACAACATGATGCAAAGACGCACAATGCACTGCCGCTTTGCTTGCAGCATAGGCTCCCGCGAGCTGGAGCCCAGCTCGACAATCAGAAAAACAGAGGATACGAAAGCCGTTCAAGACCCACGGGCATATTAACCCCCTGCCACGCGGATCTGCTACCAATCATTATAATGGTTCCCGAATGCCGTGCTCGCATATGAGGCAGGGCTGCATTGGTGACGTTAATCGACCCGAATACATTCGTCTGGAATTGTTTCTGCAGTGTGAGTGGCCTGAAAAAAGGGTCAACCTTTTGAGTCTCAGCATTCCTGAGATTTCATCGATTTCGTCACTCACGCAGCCTCTTCCAACGTGGACATAACACCAAAACCGGCATTGTTTACGAGCACGTCGATTTGTCCCCAAATGGCTGCTGCCTCGTTTACCACTCTCTGCACGTTCTCTGGCTGGTCAGTAACGTCCAGTTTGACAACGTGCAGGCGCTGGCGTGCAGCATCCGATACGATGGGGGCATCTTTGAGGTTGCGCACCGTCCCAATGACACGGTCGCCTCGTGCAAGTACAGACGATACGAGCTCCTTGCCTAAGCCAGAAGATGTACCTGTAGGGCGTAATACACGTGTGCTTTAGCCCAACGCAACGACCATGTGAACTCACCTGTAACGAGCCAAACCTTCTGTGCGAGAGACATTGTTTACGGTGGATCTATAGTTGGGAGTGGGCGGAGATTATATACGTATGTATACCACGTCGCAAAATGAGATGCTACCAACCGGCCGGATCATTTCTGTACAAGAACTCCGTAAGTACTAGTCTGATGATAAGTCGAACTCTTCCGATGATGGCTTCCAAATGTGACAACGCCTGGTCATCCCGGCATCGGACCGACAGAAACATCCTTACGTGAGGAAAACACTCTCAGAGAGGCCTGAGTATGAGAGAACTAGTAGTACAGAAGCTGAGTCAGTTTCAGAGTCACGGTCATCATCGTATTTGCCTGCCCAGGCGCTACACAAAAACGTCAGATAAGATGAGAGTGGATTGTGATCGAACCGGTCAAAGTTTCGGGCACGTTCGAGCCCTGTAGCTTGAAGACCTGAAGTTACAGAGTTCTTAGAGGAAGATGGGGCGCTCCAGCTAAGCACAGAAGGACAAGCCGGCCGGCCATTGAATGTATCGGATGAGTAAACTACTATGAGTCCTCTTCAAGATAAGTTGCGATAAGATTAGATCCAGGTAGAATAAAATAGTGAGTCTGCCACTGCCAGTTGCCAGTGGGTCGCACCTCAGGCCTCAGGCCCCAGATCTTTCGAGTTTTAAAGCAACGTTCACAAGACAAGCATACAATAGACCAGGAAAAGGCGGCAAGTATGGCGGATAACTGGACTCCGAGCTCATGGAAGGAGAAGCCTGCAGCTCAAGTGAGTGGCAATCAACTTCGAGTTCGATCATGATGGATGTCGTATCGTTTTATTACGCAGGACGTTGTCTACCCCGACAGGGACAAGCTGGAAATGTCTCTTTCTTTTCATGCTCAATCATAAGGAGCTGACCTATCGTTCAATGCAGCGTCCTAAGCAAAATTCGCATGTTGCCTCCATTGGTGACCCCGTCGGAAGTGCGTACTTACCTTCTCTCGGCCTGTGTGTATCGACACCGTGCATACAGATTGAACGTCTCAGACATCAGCTCAGTCAGGTGCAACATAATGAAGCATTCCTGCTCCACGCAGGAGATTGCGCAGAGAGCTTCGATGCGTGCACACATGTTTGCACCATTTATTGTTTTCCCTTCTTCATTTGTGAATATGACCTTCTAGGAAAACATCTCCGCGAAGATCGGGTTAATCCTGTCATTCTCCTTGATTCTCATCTGGGGCGCTCGAATGCCTGTGGTACGTTGTGTGTTCCCGTCTCGTGCTCATGACGTCGCCCATTCTCTGCGTAGGTACGAATCGGACGCATTGCCGGTCAGTATGCTAAACCAAGAAGCAACGCAACCGAGAAAATCGGGGACCGGGAAGTTCTGAGTTTCCGGTACGCAAAATACGTGTATTTTCGGGCGCTCTCATCCAACAGACGGCGATGAAGGGGAGACAATGTAAATGGGTATGTTTATCAATCATATTTTGCACACTATAACCAGTCTCTCATTCTCTTAGGCTCGATCCAGATGATCGTACTCCCGATCCGGAGAGACTACTTCGGTACTCGATTTCTCCCCTCATTTCTAGACAGGCAGTCCTTGACAGTGTTTTGTTGACTAAGTGCTTACTTCCATTCTACAACCACTCTCAACTACGTGCGCGGCCTTCTCACGTCGGGCTTTGCATCTTTGCACCATCCCCGAGAGTGGTCCCTTTCCCACGTCCGGTCTCCCGCACTTCGGTGAGCGCAGCATGCATGTCAATGTATATTGGGCTAAAGCTTGCTGATCCTCGGTAGGGAAGAATTTGAGCGGATTATCGAAGGTCTGTCGGATGCACTGGAATTTACCAGAACGATCGGTTTCGGACGGGAGAACACAAGCTACGAACTTGGCGGCGGGCGTGGTGTCCTCGGGGAGGTTGATTTCTACACCAGGTAATCTAGTTTATTTGAGAATCAATTTGCTGCTGAAACGGAATTCTGCAGCCACGAAGGTCTCATGTTAGACTACGAAGAAGCCATGACACGCGAATTCTCGATCCCCTCGTCGCTCGATTCCACGGCACAACTTTCTTCGACCCACAGCGCCCCATTGAACGTTCACTACAACACTTCTGCACATTTCCTCTGGATCGGTGATCGTACAAGACAACTTGACGGTGCTCACGTAGAGTACTTTCGCGGCATTAGGAATCCCATTGGAATAAAGGTCGGTCCGAGCATGGCTGCAGACGAGCTGGTGCGGCTGCTGGGAAGTAAGTCGTACAGCCAAGCTAATTCGGTACACCTGACCTTAACCCTGTGCCATCACAGTCGTGAATCCTGCGCGGGAAGATGGCAAGGTTACCCTAATCACTCGTTATGGTGCGGGGAAAGTAAGCGGCAGGTCATCGTCTCTCTGCATTCTATCTGATCACTTCTGAGCAGATCGAGAACTATCTCGCACACCATGTCATCGCCGTACAAAATTCAGGACACCCAGTGACCTGGATATGCGACCCGATGCACGGCAAGTGCGTAATTCTCTTTTTTCATCTTACACTGGACTACAGCTCGTACTGCACTGGCTAATAGCACACTGACGTCGTCGTCCGGCTTGAAGACTCGCAACTTCGGCACCATCATCAGCGAGCTCACGTCGTGTATCCGCATCCACTCTGAGTGCAGTTCCCGCTTGGGTGGTGTTAGCCTTGAATTCACCGGTGAACTGAACGAGGAGGGATTCAGCGTGACTGAGTGTCTAGGGGGGAGCATGGGGCTAAGCGAAGAGCAGCTCGGACTGCGGTACCAAGTGCGTTGCAATGCCATTCGTCTGTCGTGCCGTAAATGAAGCTGAAACGTCCCAACCACAGTCTTTCTGCGACCCTCGCCTCAACTTCGAACAATCGCTTGGTGCGTTCTTCGTAGCGCTTCATACTACGAGCGCAGTCCTGACTTTCCTCTCAGATGTTGCGTTCCTGATTTCAAACCACTTCAAGGAGCAGCGCTTGGGAAATAAGCGCGGTGATAGCGATGTGGTGTTCTCTGAGCTTGGAGGACGAAAAACGTCGTAAGACTGACGGAAGTTAGACAAATATATGTGATGTCGGGTGTTACTTCACATTTGGCAGCTGCAGTAGTCGACCGGATCGGACGGATAGATCTCTGTTGCAGGAATCGCGCGAGTGTCCGTATAGTGTTCCCTATGCTTCGACACCGGGGGATGTACATCATGGATCAAGGCTGAGAACGGAAAAACAGACATAATCGCACGAGAACATCCAGTATACAACCCGAATGCGGACCACGCGCCGTTGCGCATGTGCTAGTGCAACCTTTAAAACACGTCAAAAAGCCGCCAGAACTTCATATAAAAGACGCACTGACAAGTGGTAGCTAAGGATACAACGCGAAATTCGGCGCACTATTCTGCTCCAACCACCCTGGCTTCCTCGCAGTACCAAATTCTCCGTCATTCTACTGTAGACATTGAGCATGTACGTCATCTCCGTAAGGGACGTATTTCGCGTGTTCCTGCTGGTTACGCAGGCGATACTACTGTGGTTTATCCCATCATTTGGATCAATAGGGTACGCCGTTACTGAGGGTTGACAGCACAGCATCGACAACCATGCAAGCTCCAGCCTCATACTTGGCTGATCAAGAAATATGACAAAGAATGAACAGAAAAGGCTCACATCCATGCTGATGTGGGCATCATCTTGCAACATGACCGTACAGGCACTTCATCTCAGGCGTTTCCACTCTATCCGTGATTAAAGCACGAAGACCATCATCCTCAAAATTCAACACTTGAGTGGTCACCGTAATGTTTATGAAATCTGCACGAGTGACGGGGAAGAAGCTAAGCTTCTGGTTTAACTCCTACGCCATCAGATGGGTGTGAGAGGAACATACCGGAGACAAGAAAAATACCACAGCTTTGGCAGATCAGCCGAGAATCATCTCTACGGTGTCAAAGTCTGCTCCATCTCACGTTGAGTCTCCTTGATATCTCTTTCGAGTGTGCGAAGAAGGTCTTGAACCTTCGCGAGCTCGCTCACGTCCAAGGGCATGTTGAAGACACGGCTTTGGATCATGATGACTTTGAGACGTACAACATCGATATATCAGACTGAGACTTTGAAACGATGGAGCCTTGGATGAACCACTCTTCATGTGATTCATCGTCTCGTCTAGGAGAGATCATATCGGGCTTCGGCGAACTCCGAGTAGACCCTACGTAACTTACGTAAACGGTAAAACCGACCTAGTACGGACACACAGGCCTACTCCGAGCGCGTATACAGTAATCCATAAACAATGTCGGCAATTCAGGAAGGGGGAACGGCACCCCAAAACCCGGTCCAAGTCTTATATTGCGAAGGTCTGTCCTGTCTGTCTCGAACGAAACTCATTCGTAAGTCTTAGAGTTCGCAGTATGCACATTCCCCGTGGAGTACTGCGAGTTCGGCTCCAGATTCACAAAATGTAAGGAGTGGTTGAAGAACGAGCATCCAGATCTATTCGATAAATACTATTCCGAAGGTGCGTGATCCTCCCGCACTCTGAGCGGTTGACTAGAATTCGTCTCCGATGGTAGAGGCGCTGCATGCGAAGCTGGGCACCCTTAGTCTTGAGGCACAGTCCAAGCTAGAGAAGGACACGGCTAAGAAGGAGGCGAAGGCAGAGGCTAAGGCGGATGCAGCACTGAAGAAGAAGATGGTGCGCACGGAAATCTCGGTTCGCTCAGTCAGGATTACACTGACATATCTCCAATCCTTCGTGTGATCAGGCATCACAAGTGAATATTTAGTCCATTTTACGATCAGTTCCAATGGATCCTAACTGTTTTCCGAAGGTAACGATCAAGCGAATAGAACGGAATAAACGCAAATATGTAACATCTGTACATGGGCTGGATGCTTTCGGTCAGTCGAGTCTCATCTGTAAGGGTTGATGTTGACGTAGTTCCTTATCTTACATGGACTGTCCCGGCAATATTTCTATCCCAAATCACTATTCTAAATTCTCTCAGATGTCGATTTGAAAAAGGCTGCCAAGCTCTTTGCACAGAAATTCGCCACGGGCGCATCGGTCACGAAAAACCAACAAGGTCAGGAGGAGATTGTGGTGCAAGGCGACGTCAGCGGCGACATCGTCGAGATGATCGAGGATGGAGTCGGCATATTACAGAATGTACCGAAGGATAACGTCGTCGAGATCGAGGAGAAGAAAAAGAAAGGCACGGGAGAGGGCGTTCAGTAGATCATCGACCTTGCTGGTCTCTAGTGGGGTGTTTGATGTGAGTTGCCACCTTTCCGGAACCATGATACCGTCTCGTTGGCTGACGTGCACGTCAGAATATGATTTTGGCTGAGTGCATCGATTTGTGTCAATGGATTGTATACTTTGGACGTATCGATATCATTGCTGTAATATAATATTTGTGCGTGTACTGTTAAAGAGAGGTGTTTTTCATTGGGAGGCATACGCGCAATTGTTGCGGTCTAATCAGTTGAATAGTCCAGCCGTAGGAAATTACCTGAAAATGCAGGCAAGCAGCTCTCAGAGAACACGCGAGTTAGACTAATTTAGTATTTGGCGATATCAATGAAACGAAAAGACACAGATTGTTAGGAAAGACATCTGCAATGCAACAGAGCGACACATGTATATGACAGTAAGACGTATGATCTAGAAGGACGTTGAAGACGAAGGATATGCAAAGAATGTGATGCCAGGATACCGACGCAAAAGAATGGATGAAAGAAGTAATAACGTTTCTCGAAGATGCCAAAAAATCAGTGCCCCGTCAAAACAGTAAGAGACATGCCATGCTCTTCACGCAGAGAAGGCGGAGACCTCATCTGTCGTGAGGCTGGTGCCGGTCACAGACCCCCGACGTAGACTTCGGCGTAGAAAATGTCTCAAACGTTATGCAAAGAGACCAGATACAGGTTTTCGACGCGACACGGCAACGACATGGACTGATCCTCGTGCTTTTGCAGTACAGCATGCTCGTCGGACGCGGGACGCATGCAGAGACGTCGCAGCAACACGGTCACGTGGTGGCTGAAACTGCGATCTCCCAAGCCAGTGAGTAGTTGATACGCATTTCGTAGTGGATGGCACTCTCTGGTCCGTTTATAGCACGACGATTGATCCTGTCACTGCGGTGCCACTGCTCCTTGCAGAAAGAATGGTGGCATGGCCACCCGAAACGGCGAGCGCAAGGAGGCGATTGGCTATAACATAATATTTGCAGACGACGGACGATTCCACGGCCAATGTTCAGTTACACGGCGACAGGATACATTGCGGAGATATTCGTAATGTCATGCTGAATCTACTGTTTGAAAGCATTCCATGCGTCATTGAGCGAGCCAAACACTCCGTTCGCGATCATCCGTTGCTCCAGGGTAGTATTGTTCACGCTGAGCTGTAAAACTCTTGAGCACGAAGATAAGCATGAAGAAAGGCTACATACCTTGTCAGGGTGTAACTTTGCAATGGCTTTTGTGTACCGTATCTTCACCTGCGAAGGCGTGACCAGTTCATGCATCCCGACTTTCTGCCACCCCAGGTCTGGCCAAAGGACCGTATCCAGGCTGGCAATGAGTGCACGAATGTTCAATTCCTTCCCGTTCTTCCACGCCGCCAACCGACTATCAACAACATCCTTCAGCTCGTACCGTTGCTGATCCTCCGCCTCCGCAGCCTGATTAGCCGCGCGCACCCTATTCAGAGCCTCGGAAGTAGGGGTCGGCCGACGTTGGACAGGCTGCGGCTTTGGTTTTCGCTTCGGCTGCGAGGGTGGACGTGAAGCTGGCGCAGATAAAGTGGGGGCAAGCGTATCGACATCCGCACTAAGCATCCTTCGACAGCGCCCGGCACCTCTCACTGCTTCTCCGCGCGTCTTTGCAGCCCACTCAGCCGCAGCGATGGTCTCCCAATCCTGCCGCGCAAGATCCCACTTCTCCTTGCCTTCATACGCCTCGGCGCGCCGGCGAAAGGCTTTCATAAGGCCATCGGCCAGATCAATTCCGGCTCCTTCGTCCTCCTTCGTCACCTTCTCCTCCCGTGCAGGATGATAATTCAGCCCAATTATGCTGATAACATTGGTACAATCTTCTATTGCACCAGTGTGTTCGCCGGTCTTGATGCGTGTAAGCGCACGGTTGTTATACAGCGGGATAAGCAGCAAGTGCGACTCTGGTAGAGCAGCAATAGCAGCAGAGTAAGATGTCTCTGCCTCCACGTACCTCCCAAGCTTGAACATCTCGGTTCCAGCAGCCTTGTGCTTCGCAGATGCTGCGATGGCTGTAGGCGATGCCGAGATAGCCTTCCGTTGAATAAGTTTCACAGGGGATGGTGGGCGGACGGGAGGAGTAGACGGGACTTGCGCCGGGATCCTTCGGCGGAACGGGGAGACATACATCGCAGGAGCATCTTCGGAAAGCAGATTCGTCGTCATCGCAGCCGGAGCGGCCGCAGGACGCGCGTGGTTCGTCAACTTCCTCGGACGAGTCTGACTAGAAGGCCCTGGCGGCAATACTTCAGGCTCGTCCGAGAACTCAACGCAGTCATGCCGGATCCCTTCGACGTGCGCGTGCTCGGGGACATCTTGCATCCACTTCGGCCTCGCGTTCCTCGCCTTGTCCGCGGTGGGCGCCTTGGCTGAGGCTGCGGCAGCCGCACGCTCTTCGTATGCGCGCTGTACCTTCTCCCTCCCTTCCTTCCAGAATGCGTTTGCGCGATTGAACACATTCAGCCCGATCTCGCTGGCCTGGGCTAAGAGCTTGTCTGCCTGCTCCTGCAGGTTGTGCTGACTGGCCCCAGCAGGGCTCGACGAGGGCCCGTCACGCGCCGGTGGTTCGCGCGGGGGACGCGCAGGACCGCCACGCTTAGATGGGGCCTGGCGGCGGCGAAGAGAAGAGTCCTCGTCGTGTTCATCTTCGTCTGACTCCTCGTAACGCTCTCGCCGTCGCCGCGGCGCGTTTCCTCGTGGTGCCTCTCTAGATGGTGTCTGCGTTCCATTATTCGATGCTGCTGCTAGCAATGACTCCAGTGCAGTTTGAACATCTAATCCAGTGTCGGTGGCGGCGAGCGCGATTCGAGCTTGTTCCGGCGAAAACCCCATCTCAACTATCTGTCCGACGATATGTGGAGGCGGAGATACAGCACGAGAACGTTGACCAGATGTTGATACTTGTGAAGATTGCGGCGTATCTTGCACGGAACGTGCCTAGTCATGACATGTGCACTCACATTCATAATGTGGAAAGAAAAGGCAGTACATACAGGTGGTTGTGCGCGTGCGTCAACTGGTTTGCTGAGAGCGCCCAGGATATCGTCTTCGTCGTTTGAATCATCGTCAAGTAACGCATCCTCCCGGTCGCCGAAATCAAAATCTCCTGGAGAGTTAATTCGTGACGTGGGCCGCTCGGGCGAATGTCGGAAATTCGACAGTACGGATGGTGAGGTGAACTCGTCCAAATCCAAGATCGATTGGGGCGCTTGTGAAGGAGCAGGCCTCAGCGGAGCGGGCTGCGAAAGGAACTCATCGAACAAGTCGACATCCGCCGGTGGTGGAGGTTCAGCAACGGACTGCGTCTTTGAGGGTGCTGATACGAAATCCCACTCGTCGTCCTGGATTTTAACAAGAGCAGTCGCAGAAGAAGACTTCGCACCGAAGGATGTAGTTCCAAGGGAGTCAAGCCCAGCCCATGCAGCTACCTGGTGCTTGCTAACCGTCTGCGCTCCGTGCGACTGTTCCTTCCTCTCCCTCTCGGCCTTCGCCGCCCGCTCTGCGATAGTCATATTCGCACTGGTCGAACTCGATGCGAACGGTCCTGCGAGTAAACTGCTGAAGGCATCTCCGCCAGCACTCGTTGACTTCTGCACCGGTTTTGGGATTGCCGGGCTGGACGTTCCCAGGGATCTCGTGGACTGCAGCGGTCCAGTGGCAGAGGGCGTGTTCGATCGCGAGTTCCTTGTAGAAGGGCTCGCCGACGCGAGCATAGAAAATACGTCATTCTGCGGTGGGCGGGCGGAAGATACAATAGGAGTGAGGGAACCGAGCTTGCGTGGTGGTTCTGGCGGTTTCGTCGGGGCAGTCGAGTTCCAGAGGTCGGCGAAGGAGTCTGCCATAATGGTGAGTAGTCCAGCTACACGATACGTATAAAGGTTGGGACGGCGTTTAGTGTGGTAGAGAGCCGCCAACCTGTGTGAAGGCTGTATCAACGAGTCTGATTCGTAAATAACCGATAGCCGCCGTACCTCTGTATTCAACCAAGAAATTCGAACTTCGCGTTAGCCAACGAGAGCTGAGATTTCGACAGCCGCTGCGTAAATGCCTTGACTACGCTGTAAGTACGTGCAGCAGGACGTAGCTATACACATGCAAGATCCTCCCTTACCTCTATGCGTGTAAAGTCCTCCAACGGTGCATCAAACCAAATCCCAGATAGTGCACTCCCAGCCAGATACTACGATAGCAGCGACTGAGGTGATGACCAGACGTTTCAGTGTGGAAGCTGAACATTTCAGGCTGCATTTTGCGGATAACTATAGATAAGAATTCTCGTGAAATTGAGTGAAAACTTTGACGCGCGTGAGTCTGCCAATTGAAATTGCAGTCCTTTCGTCGTGCAGCCTGCTGGGGAAGCACGGACGACGCTAATGTTTGCCTCGAACTTGGCATCGCGCGGTCTAAATGTTTTCTTTCTACGCTGCGTCTCCAGACCCTCGAGTCGCAATCTTTCGACAGTATTGGATGGAGTCAAGTCGGTGAGTAACGTCAAGCCGTATTATATCACGACTCCCATATTCTACCCCAACGCAGGTGTGTCAAATTTTGTTGCAAAGTTTGTGTTTAAGTACGGGGAAAACGTGTCATACTCGTGCATGAGAGCTTGCCATGCTCTGTATGACTAGCACTCACGCACGAACATATTCCGAACCCTGAGTGCGACTAAGATGCCATTCCTTCGTGAACTGCTACAATTTTTCCTCTATGAAGTCGTAGACTGATTTCGTTATAGTCCCTCATATAGGACACCTGCATTCGTTGGTCATCGCGGACATATTCGCGCGATTTGAACGCATATCAGGAGAGAGACCGGTTCAATTTATAACTGGCACGGACGAACACGGTCTCAAGATTCAACGAGCTGCGCAGGCGAAAGGGATGGCTCCGCTTGCATTTTGCGATGAGCTGAGTGAATCCTTTCGTGTGTGTTCTCACCTGTTTGTCTGCACGCAGCAGTGTTCATTGGCGTTGTTGTGTGATCATGCAGGACTTGGCGAAGAAAGCCGACATCAGCAGCACGATGTTCTTACGGACAACGGAGCGAAAACACTGTAATGCAGTACAACATATGTGGGTAGGTTGGCCAGCCACCATTCTGTACTGTGAACAATGTAGTCATGAACTCTTCTTGCATGCACACGCCCTAGCGTACGCTAGACGAGAAAGGCTTGATCTACAAGGGTCAACATGCCGGCTGGTACTCCGTCTCCGATGAATGTTTCTACACCGACCTGCAGGTAACGGAAGTGGATCCAGGTACCGGTAACGACAAGTACTATGTTTCAAGCGAAACGGGCTCGCGTGTGGAGTGGCAGGAAGAAAATAATTATAAGTTCCGGCTCTCATATTTTCGCTCTATCCTGGCGCAGCATTACAAGGCCTACGAGGACGCGATCTACCCACCGCAGTACCGTGCTGAAATTCTTGGGGTCTTATCTGAACCCCTGGAGGACTTGTCAATATCGCGACCAAGTTCGCGACTGACATGGGGCGTGCCAGTTCCAGGCGACCCGGAGCATACGATATACGTGTGGATCGACGCGTTAATGGTGTATCTCTCTTCTATAGGATACCCATGGACGTCTTCAGGAGACAACGGGTTGAGCTCGGGATGGCCGCCAGACATACAAGTTATTGGTAAAGATATTCTCAGGTATGTCCTCTCTACCGGTGATAGGTATCGTACTCACTAGGTCCTTTCAGATTCCATGCGATTTATCTGCCTGCCATGCTTGCAGCTCTGGATCTTCCATTCTCGAAACGCCTGCTCTCTCACTCTCACTGGACTGTTGATAAACATAAAATGTCCAAGTCTGTAGGTAATGTCGCGGACCCCATACAAGCGATAGACGAGTATGGAGTGGATATAGTGCGGTACTACCTCGCGCGTGTAGGTGGTCGGTTCAAAGACGATGTCGGTAAGTTCTTCCATGGACTCCCATTCGTGTGAAGTTCTGATCTTTGTTTGTGCATCTGAATGTGCTCAGACTGGTCGCATGAGCAGCTCCAGAAGCACTCCAAAGAGATCATGGCTGCATTCGGGAACCTGTACTCTCGGAATGTCGGGCAAAAAATACTGTCAAGGTTGAATGGCCAGATACAGCCAAAGATTGAAGACCTTCATAGACATCGCATTACGACAGCGCTGATGAGCGACTTGCAAGAACTTCCTAACTCGGTGCATGAACATATGCAGAGACTGGAAGTAGCTGATGCATTGGACCGGATCGTCACGACTCTCCAAAAAGTGGGTATTTGAGCTTCTTTACATATGTCTCAGTCTGATTCATACGGATTGTGGTAAGGCGAATCTCCTGGTAACGCAAACTTCGCCGTGGAATGACCGGGCGACGCCTGTGGAGGTCGCGTTGTCAGTGCATACTGTCGTCCTCCACGCTCTCCGCGTTTGCGGCATCCTGCTGCAACCATTCATACCGTCTAAGGCTAGCCTCGTGCTCGATCAATTGAGCATCCCGGAGAATGAACGTAACTTGAACTTTGCTAACAGCCGAAATGTGACACTGGGTGAGCTGCTGCCACGGGTGCAAATATTCTGAGAGATGCTGGATGTATGGTGGAGAATAATAGGTTTGCCCGCTGTATTCGCCTTTTGCTTGAATGCAGTGCAGGCCGATCGTCATGTTGTGCTGCGGACATCTGAGTATGTCGCGGACGATTGACCGCTCAATCTGGTTCGGTCGTGCAAAAGTGTTTTCTACACGAATAGCTGTGGACGTCGCCTTTACCCTATCTTTGCTCGGGTCCCCGATAGATGTCGCACCAGAGATGGAGGCATAGGGACGGTCGAATGGCTGCAATTAGTATTGCCTCAACTCAAAGAGATTATACGCAACCAATGCATAGACAGTACTTGACAAATGTTACATTTTAATAAGTACTGGCACTTGAGTCGAGCGGTAGAGGCGGCAGACCCATTCTACGCTCGGAAGGTTACCGAGCGCAGAGAGGTCTCTTTCCTCCCCCACAATTCCGCAGTAGTGTGTAATAGGGACCCCCTGTACTTGTGAGAATTACCATTGGCTAATGCCGAAATGGAGTAACAGACGATGACTCATTCGATTGGATTCGGCTATATTTTGTGCTTTGCACTGTTGATACGCTACTAATTCCGATTCCCTTAAAGAATCGGTTATCAGTCTGTGCACGTATGGTGGTTGCTGACATAAAGTTGTACCCGCGCCGCATATAGTAATTTTCTCTTAGAATGGTTATCCGCTTTTTTTACTTTCCGTCTTTAGGCCACCCGATTCACTTCGGGTTTCCCGCTTCCTGTTCAAGATTTCCGCAACACAAAGTCGGCCGGCATTCCTTGAAAGTTTATTTCCGATGAAAGACTGGAGGAGGACCGATGGCTAGGGGTGATTGTCTGCATCTCTGCACCCATCCTCTATCTTCTCGCAGCTGCATTCACTCTTCACATAGATTCTGTATGCTGCATAGATGTGAGTGTGCCTGATACTTCCTCCCTCCTTCTCTCCCTTGCTGATGTCGACACTTGCAGCTTTGGATTTATATCCTCTCCTCATCGTAGACAATAAACCAGCTACTGTGTGGCTCGTCGGAGAAGTCGACTCATCTTGGTTCAAACTTCGCGGTGAACCCTTGGCCGTTGTGAGCATCAAGATCGGTTCAAACACTTCAGATGTTTTGAAAGCATCACGCTTCCAGAGCACCGGGAGTGGAGAGTATGCTTCTGTATGTTGAATTTCTTCTTTTCAACAAATATTTGTTATTCATTGCTTTAAGGTGGAAGCCTTCCAAAACGTATTTGATGCCGACACCAAGTTCGGCCCCAGGAACACTATGAGACAGATGCATGCCACGGACATCCACAAAAATGATCTCGTCCTGGTCAAATGTAACGTCACTCGTTGGAGGGTCGATGCTAAAGGTAAGGCTTCATACGAGAAGGGCTGGACCAAGTGGCGGACAGGTTTTGAACTCGTCACTATAGCGCGTCTGTATGATGGGCCCCAGGAGATTAGAGCTGTTGTCCCGCGCGCGGAAGTTTCATCATTCATCTAAATAGCCTCTATCTTATATGAGCCTGTGCTACTGCTTGTAATCTGCGCTACCTACGTTTATTTTCTTCCCCACTATTCGCTTGCAGTGATTGCCACCGTAAATTTACATGGCTTGACTACGGGATTTTCTTGTATACTATTACTATGACTACCGCCTTATCACATGTCGCTCTCGCAGAAATCGATGCTGTGAATATACGTGGGGGGACTAGGGAATCGGACATGGCGTGCGAATGCAGCGCCGCTCACCCACAAGTACAACGATACCTGGTAAGCTTTGTATGATTCTTATCCACCGTGAGGAATGAGGAGGAGTACGGTCTCCTGTCAAATATTAGGTCAGGATGTGTTAGAAATCGCGCCTTAGTTCCCAAATAGGAAGGTAGTGATGGCGGGTCAAGATGTGTTGGGGCGCGTGATTACGCGTCCTAAAATAGATTTCTGTATATATACAGTTCTAGACGCTCCACTTTATATAAGCAAATTTCCTTCTTTGTCTTTCTTTGTAATCATGCCCTCGGCTTGTCTGCCCTTGGGCGCTCCCCAATTTCTGGAGCTCCAGAAATTTGGGCACTACTTTCCAACACTCCCCCTCAAGCCGATGGGCATTCCGAGCTTCTTTGTGAGCTTCTCGTGCCTCGGCTTAGGGAGTGACTTTGTTAGGATATCCGCTATCATGTCCTCCGTGGGACAGTAGTGGATATCAATATATTTATCCCTCAATTTTTCGCGCACATAATGATGCTTTACATCAAAATGTTTTGATTTCACGTGGAATTGGGGATCACGTGCGATTGAGATCGCCGCTGTATTATCCTCGAATAAAATTGTAGGATCTTGTTGCTCGAAACCTATTTCTTTGAATAGTGTTTGGAGCCACACGGCTTCTTTTGCCGCTTCGGCGGATGCCATGTATTCGGCTTCCGTGGTGGATGATGCGACCGTGGTTTGCTTCTTTGAGCTCCACGTGATCGTGCCATTTCCTAATTTAAATAAATATCCCGAGATTGATTTGCGATCTCAGATATCGTTCGCATAGTCTGCATCTGAGTAGCCCACAAATATGGATTGATCTTCGGGCTTGACATCTGCAATTGGCCCGTAGATTATTCCAAGTTCTCGCATTCCGGATAGATAGCGGAGGATGCGTTTAGCAGCAGTCCAATGAGCCATTCCGGGATTGGCAGTAAATGAGCTAAGCCATTGCACGGGGTGAGCAATGTCTGGTCTCGTGACAATTGCCGTGTACATCAGTGATCCGATGAGCGATGCATATCCATTGTCTCGGTCGCATTCGTCATCAGTTTCGGGTTCTTCTTTTTCAAGCACTGTATTTGGATCAAGAGGCATCCCGACCGTGTTGGCGTTCGTAAGCCCATTCTTGTGTAGGATAGACTCAATATATTTTGTCTGAGAGATTTTGATTGTCCGCTTTGAATGGTCTCTCTCAATTTCTATCCCCACAATTTTTTGGGGTTCGCCAAGGTCGGTAACTTCGAACATATTTTGGAGTTCCCTCTTCAATTGGTCCATCAGTGCGCAATCATTGGTGAATATTAATAGGTCGTCTACCCAAATGGTGACGATTTCTATCTTATCACCTTTGATCTGAATGTACGCACATGGATCCGAGAATAGGCGCTTGAATCCCACGTCTAGTAACTTGCGGTTCAGCACGATATTCCATTCTCGGCCAGACTGCTTTAGCCTGTAGAGGGTTTTCTTTAATTTACATATGCAGTATGTTCCATCGCTGTATCCTTCGGGTTGCCGCATATACACTTCTTCTTTGAGAGTTCCATTAAGATAGGCGCCTTTCACGTCCATCTGTCCGATCTCCCAATCTAAGATTGCGGCTAGCCCGAGGATAGCTCGAATGGTTTCGAGGCGGACTACGGGCGTGAACGTCTCGGTATAGTCCATGCCTGGAATTTGAGAATATCCCTTCGCAACCAGGCGGGCTTTGTATTTGATTATTTCACCCTCTTTGTTTGTTTTCTTAACTAGAACCCATTTATTTCCTACGGGTTTTCGATCTTCGGGAGGTTCCACTAACTCCCAAGTCTCCATACCCTGTAGTTGATTGAGTTCCGTCTGGACTGCCTGTTCCCATTTGGGCCACTCGAGTGATCTCTTGGCATCACTGAGCGTCTTTGGCTCGTCCGCATCCGCATTTCCGTGGGCGCTCATCGCAATATAGACTAATTCGGCATTTGATTTATCTGGATCATTATCCAGATCTTCGTCTGCCTCTGGGTCGTGCATTAGACGGTAATCATGCCGCACTGTCTTTCTTCTGGTTTGTCTGGGCTGGCTTGGTGTGTCCGTCCCGCTTTCCTCGCGTTGATCAGGATCATCATCCTGTCTGCGCTTTTGCGGATTTTTGGCAGGTGACTGTGGCGCGGAAGTTCCTTCGTCTGGGCTGGCTTGGTGCGTCCATCCCGCTTTCCTCGCGTTGATCAGGATCATCATCCTGTCTGCGCTTTCGCGGATTTTTGGCAGGTGACTGTGGCGCAGAAGTTCCTAACTCCCCCTCACGCTGCACATCTGCGGTCGTTGTGAGGTTTGGGACTTCGGGTCTCCTTTCCACATGCGGCACGTCTGACGCATTGCTAGGTAAAGTGCCCGGAAATATATTTTGCTCCCCCTCATGCTGTGCTATGAGGATAGGTACGTCGGATCCTATTTGCTCTTGTGGCATGTGAGGCGCATTGCCGGGCAAATGGTCTGGGGAATTCGAAGAAAATTGGAAATTACGCGAGATTTTAATCTGGTGCGTATGCGCATCATAATATTTGATGGCTTTGGGTCCATCCATGTATCCAACAAAAATATACTTGTTGGCACGGGGCGCTAGCTTTAATAGTGTTGCGTCCTCCGTGAGGACCCATATGGGGGAACCGAATTCTTGTAGGTACGAGATATTTGGTTTCGTCCCATTCCATTTTTCTTCGGGAGTTGCCCCATTTAACGCCTGGGTAGGCGATCTATTTTTAATATAGACTGCATGAGCAATCGCTTCAGCCCAAAGATAACGAGGTAGATCTCTCGCATAGATCATCGCGCGCGCTAGTCCAAGCAGTGTGCGATTCAATCTCTCAGAGACTCCATTCTGGGATGGTGAGTACGGCGCAGTCGGACCCATCTCGATCCCTTTCATTTGACACCAGTTAATTAATTCGGTGTTCATATATTCTCGACTGTTGTCGAGCCTGAGTCACAAGGGTTTATTTCCAAACTTGCGCTCGATATAGGTAATATAATTCTTTACCTTTTCTGTTACTTCATCTTTATGCCTCATAAATAGTACTGTACTTCGATGACTGTAATCATCGGTAAATGTAATAAAATATTTCCACCCTTGTAGAGCGGCTGTCTGCGCAGGTCCCCACACATCCGTGTGTGTTAATTCTCCGGGTACCTTGCTGCATTCGTCCGTCTCTTTGGGAAATGGCTTCCGCGTCGCCTTTGCTTGGATGCACGCCTCGCAATTAATTTCATCTGGGCTTGGCGAGATTTCTAGGCCATCAACAAGCCCTTCGCGATATAATCGCATAAGTGCTGGTTTCCCGATATGGCCATAGATCTTGTGCCACTCTTCCCAGGTATGCGGGCCATATTTCTTAGCAGCATAGGTTCGCGCAGGTTGCGGAACTATTGGACGCAATTTCAATGAATATAGTCGTCCATTTTTCTTGCCTATAGCAAGAGTGTGTTTATTTTTATCTATTAGTATTGCGCGACTATTACCCATAAGTACTCTTCCTGCCGCGTCATCCAAACACGTGATGGAGAGGAGGCTATTGGGTGCTGTCAGTGCATACAGTACACCGTGGAGATGGAATTTCACTTTTCGGTCTCCTACTTCACTTTTGACATCGACCGTACTGCGGCCCAATGCCTGCGTTGGTTGCAGTCCGATGCCCGTGATTGTGTGATCTTCGAGCACCTGATAGGTCGCGAAGACTTCACGACGATTTGTAATGTGCGAAGTTGTCCCGGAGTCGGCAAACCACTCATAGAAAGAAGCGATTTCGCCATCAGATCCGAGAGATACAGTGTCGCTATCATTATCGTAGGCTATTTTTGCCTCATCCTCTTTCAATTCGACCTCGCGCACTTCGTAAGCACGTTCCGTCTTTTGCCGTTTCATCGGCAGGCCCTGTCCGGCTTTGCCACCACCTTTAGCCCAACAATCCGTGGCCTTATGCCCGAATTTTCCGCAATTCATACATTTGACCTTGTCGCAGTGCCGACACTCGTTACCAAGATGTCCTGGCTTTCTGCAGATCGAACATTTTTTGTATTCCCCAAAGGGGTGCTTCTTTCCTTTGGCAACCATGGCTTAGTCCGAGGATTGACTGCGCTCGCCACGCTCGTGCCTTTGCCTATTTTTATCAAGAATGATGGCAATCAATTCTTGTGATGTAAGCTGAGGGCGCACGTTGTCAGCACCTTCGGCGCCAACATTGCCGGCCATGGCGCCAAAGTAAGAGCTGAGGAAAGAGTCCCAGCTCTCCAGTAATGAGGTAGCCAGAATGAGCCGGAAATCCTCGTCAGAAACAACCTTCCCCATTAGGTGGAGTTGTTCCTGGATCTGTCGTAGCTGTGTAATGTGACTGGAGATATTATCTTCTTCCTTGGCTTGCCTCCGGTCAAAACGCCGGCACAGCGTGAGAATTCCATGCTGTCCACGCTGTTCCTTGACTGTGCGAAGCTGCTCCCACATGGCCCGTGCCGTCTCGGCTCTAGTGATGTGCACCATCTGGGAATCTCCCAGCGATAGCACAATTACGTTCTGGGCCTTGAGGTCCTTTTCTCCCCAGGCGCTAATCTCCGCCTCTCTCGCTGCCCTATTGGCCGGGTCATTACTCAGCTGCAGCTTCGGTGTCTTTCCGGTCACATACTCCTGGAGACCCTTATCGTTAAGGATGGCCTCGACGCGGTGCTTCCACGGGAGCCAATTGTCTTCCTTCAGGAGCGGGATCCGGTAATCATTGCTATTGCTCGTATTATCAGCGCTGGTCGACATTATTTGTTCTCGTACTAGTAAGGGGGTAACAATTTTTGTAGCCACAATAGGGGCTGTTGTTATCCAAGTATTTATTGGCTAGAGCCGGGGCTCATAACCTGTTAGAAATTGCGCCTTAGTTCCCAAATAGGAAGGTAGTGATGGCGGGTCAAGATGCGTCGGGGCGTGTGATTACGCGTCCTAAAATAGATTTCTGTATATATACAGTTCTAGACGCTCCACTTTATATAAGCAAATTTCCTTCTTTGTCTTTCTTTGTAATCATGCCCTCGGCTTGTCTGCCCTTGGGCGCTCCCCAATTTCTGGAGCTCCAGAAATTTGGGCGCTACTTTCCAACAGGATGAATACTACAAAATTCGTCATATTTTGCACGCACATCGTCGTAGTCGTCAGTGAAGTGGAATGTAAAGCGGCCATTTTCTCTGTTGACGCATTCAATATTCACGTTTATGGTTATCGTGTTGAAGACATGGACTTTGGCATTTGTCGCCATTAATCAGTGTATCCGAATGTGCAATTTTTCATCCGACACTGCAACCGACACGAGCGATGACGCTGACAAAACACCAGCACATAAGATTATTCTCCTCATTCAAAATTCACACTCAGTCTAACAGAATTGGATGCTCAATATGGCATTCATACATGGAACATGTGTGAATCTTGCGAGCAACTACATGGTATCCCCTTACCCGCCTTTGATCTACGCAATGCTAAGGCTCTCCATCCGAATGAATGTGAATCAGCATTGAAAGGAGCACTCGCAAAGGTGTTGATGAACATAACGAGACAGCGTACGTGGGACAAAGACTTCGAAGGACATAATCGCGACAGGACCCCGGCATATGCTCCAATATGTCCAATCCAAAATCCCCGAATTTTGGCCCTTATGTCCGCACACCATTTGGGCCCAAATACCCGCACAACAGATCGGGTTAGCCAAATTTGGTCCATTTATACCCGCATGGCCAATATAACCTCTGAAAATGGCCAAAATTTACAAAAAAAGCGCAAAAATCACCCAGGACACGCATGCACCGGAGACGGCGAGCTATATCTGGACATCTAATATTGTGCAAATATCCCATCTAACATTGTACATATATGGTAGAATGTCAGACAGTTGTACATTTTTGTAAACATGCTTATTCTCACGATCTGATTGGCTGAGAAAGGATGTAAGGCAAAATTTTCGCAGGCAACAAGAGCCGGTCATACATGTACAATGTAAGGCAGAATTTTCCCACAATGTCCGCAGATGTGATATTGCACACTGTCTCCAGTGGCAGAACATGCTACGCATCATTGCTGAACCTATAGACACTATCCTGACCCTTTGGCCGTGGCTACATGTCTAGGACACGTTCAACGTCCAATCTGTCTAATACCGCATGTAAGAGAATGGGCTTGTCATTGTATATCAGTGCTGAGGGTGAGAGGCAAATGCTGACTTGCTTGCTCAACCTGAATGCGCGAGCGGAAAACATATTGACTCTGACTCAGCGACAGCCACGTATCGGGCATTCACTTACTCGGAGAAGGCGAAGCCTTGGAGGTTGTCCCCGGCCGTCCAAAAATGTCTGCACTATCAGATCGGACATGCTGGCGATGGTCCATTTATGTCCGCACAGTGGATCGGGTAGAGTGCCAGAATTTGGCCTGTTCTACACGGCCAGACATCTGCGGCACCAGAATGGGGCCTGAGAGCGGAGTCGCCGCAACAGCCCATGCCCGGCGCGATTACTACCCTTTTCGTGTAATGATTTTACGGTATTTAAAAAATAGCCTTATACAGTGCTTGGACATGTTGTCAATTCAGCTGCATAGATAGGCCTATGACAGCCCAAGTGCGGCCCCATTCCAGGGCTGGCGGTCAGACACCAAAACAGCCCTCAATTCACATGCAATTATGGGGCCGTGGCAGCCCAGAAACTGGCTGAGGGAAAGGTCAGTCCGATGCTTCAGTCAGGGTCACAAATGATCAATCCAGCCAAAATCCCATTTTCGTACAAAACAAAATGGTATAGCACAAATTTATTGCATTTTTGTATGCTACATGTACGCTATGGGAGAGTACAACACCCACATGCCGCTTCGCGATGATGCAGCATGCTTTAGGTTGGGCACGGTGGATGGAGGGTCTTGGGATGGGAGGACAGTAGTGGCAGAAAGGCAAGAGCAGGATGCCCACACCGACACGAGAGTACAACACCCGCATGCCGCGTTGTGATGACGCGGCGTGTGTCATTTGGCACACTGTTGATCGGGCACGGCGGGCAGAGGGGCTTAGAAAGAGAGGATGGCAGTAGCGGGAGCGCGAGAGCACGACGCCCGCACACTGCGTCGTGATAACGCGGCGTGGTGGCGTAGCTTGTTCAAGGCCCACTTGACATGCATGACGGGCAGAGGGCTTTGGAAGGGAGGACAGCAGTGGCGGGAAGCAAATATTGCTCCTCCCGCTAACCCTCCCATGCTGTGCTGCACTTGTGAATGCCCTGAGCTGTGAACCAAATCCTAAAAAATCTGCATATCAGAATTGGCACAAAAGACAAAAATGTTAACCTATCGTGCGATGCATGATCAGCACCTCTCAACGCGAATGTAGGCGGCATGTAATGTGTCGTGATGCACTGGCGCCGACAACTAGGAAGGAAATCTAAATGAATGCGGGAGACGCGGGTGGTGGTGACACGACGACAAGGATGAGAATGTTGGTGGCTGGAATTGGGTGGACATTGGAGACGAAGGATCTGGGTAGTGAGGAGCGTGAGCCAATGGAGGAGGGAACGAGACATGAATGCACGAAGCAGAGCCCGCAGATGACCTGCAGAGTTTGAATTGACTTAGAGACTTTCTGGTGTATCGCGACTTGCACATCCATGTTGCTGCCTCGGGCTCTCAATGCAATTTATTAGTAATAATAAATATCATTCATCTTGTTTGTCCAGAAAGTAGAGTTTACTCTAATATTAATTTCGAGAGTACTACTGCCAACCAGCCTGGCCTATACATATGTCTGCAGAGTCATAGTACCAGGATCAGACGGGGGTCGAATAGGCACTGGGTCATGTTGGAAATGGCCGGAAAAGAGGCAATCCGAGGGCATCCGAGGGATGCGCCACAGCGGAGATTAATTACATAATGTGGCCATTATATAAAAGGATATCTATATTTGGAGCAATGAGAGCTCCGCAGCCACATCTTCGTCCCGATCCTTTACCTCGCGTCCGGTCCGATTCTCTCAGATTAAATTCCTCGCTTCCCAAAAGGGCTACGAGGCCCCGCATTTTCTAACAGGTTATGAGCCCCGAGACGATTGCAATCCTCGGACATAGGCTCTTCTCTGAATATATAGCTGAGTCCTTGACCCCTATTCACCAAAAGGCTGATATACTGCATTGCACAACAAGTAATAGGAGATCTCAGCAGTCCTATGTATGATTTAGGACTACTGAGGAAAAATAATATTGTTTTGTGCCTAAAGACTTCGCCGGATAATGATTCGGCAGACGCGGTCAAAAGAGCCGCGCAGAGAAGCGTTGGGAGGCCAAGCGCGCCTAAATAGGAGCGTGCGAGAATGAGATGCGCTCTTGCTGTCCTAAGAGGCAGAACTGCAGTAAATGCGAGTGCTAAGACCTGGAGCTCAGAGCCTAGAGTGCAAGACCAGAGACTGAGAGTCCATAGAGAGACCACAGTCCCAAGTCAAAGACTCAGAGCCAGAGATGAGAGGCCAAACTCGAAAACCCGAGGCGCGAGATGTGTCATTGAGATAAGATTAGATGAGGATGCAAAGCGCCTTGGGAACGCAGAGCGCCTAAAGCAGATAAGCGAGATAAGATAAGATGATGCGCATGCATACTGCGCACATCAGCATGGTGAGCCTCGAGGAATATGGCGCGTGCAAAGATGCACGGAAGCTGTGACGCGATGTGCGTTAGTGGTGAGAGATGCACTTGCAATGCGTGGACCCCCGAGCCATAGCCAGAAGATGTTTTCGAGCCCCAAGCTCAGGAAGCAGACTCTGTATCACCGGAGAAAAGCCGAGGCCATAGCCGATGATTAGATCTGGCAGGCAAGGCAGAGCGGGATGCGGAGACTGGGGCCTATAAACACAAATGTAAGGCCCAACAATATATATTTCTACGGGCCAAAAACAGTGTGAAGCTGTATGCAGTACTGTACTTAACGGAGTACAGAATAAAATCAACCGGTATAATGGGTATATCACCGGAAAGAAGCCAAAGCTGATCGTGAGCAAAGGCACTAAATTTAGATGGTCGAGAGTATCGAAAGGGCAATCTACAGTAATTGCTCAGTACCCGGCCAATGAGAGTGAGATGAGTGTGACTGCGCTGCACTCGCCATTCCAGAAAGAAAGCCGTAGAATGTCTAAATTGAACACTACTCGATTGAATGTGCCTATGAGCACAATTAAAGATGCTACCCTCAAATACAATATTAGCATCCAGGGCTACAAAAATATATTGGTAAGCTACATGGATGGAGTGAAATGTAGGGCGCATGAATGCGTCAAGACCACCTAGCCGGGCTCCCTGCGAACCAATGGACAGATGTGTCACATGGTAAGGAGAAGCCCGATGTCCCCAAACTAGGCGGAACTGCAGATGTGCAGCGCCAGGGGGAGAGAAAATGAAAAATTCCAGACCCCTCACCAATTAGCATGGCAGACGTGCATGCATGGGAAGGAGATCTGAAGTCCCATAAAACTCAAAGCGACTGCAGACGTGCAGTGCGAGGGGAAATCAGGGGGAGCATATTAGCACCGGGTCCACTACCAAGCAACGTGACAGACGTGCCGCGTGCGGAGATGAGTCCCGAAGTCTCCAAACTAGGCTGAACTGCAGACGTGCAGTGTCAGGGGGAAGAAAAGGAAATTGCCGGATCCCATACCAACCAATACTGCAGACGTGCAATATGGAGATGAGAGATCCGAAGCCCTAAAACCTCGGCAGCCATAGACGTGTAGCGCGAGGGGGAGCTAGGGAATTCCGCACCACAGTCAACTGCCACATCAAATCCGCGCAGCGCAGATGGGATGATGATCCCGAAGAACGCGAAGAAGGTGGGACTGATGCACACAAAAAAGGAAAGGCCCACAGACAGAAAAGTCGGTAAAATCTACCGAATGATCTGGATGCCAAGAAGGACGATCCGGAGAACGCGCGCCAACAGAAGCGCACATATGAGCTAAAAATGCTCAGAATTGAAAAAATGAAAAATCGCACTCTGGCTAGTAGCGAGTGTTATTTGGTGTTGGGGGAACCCTCACCAGATTCCGACAGCGGGCTTTTCCCACTGGGTTTTTTCCTGCGAGGTTTTAACTGCTGGTCTACCCCTACCAGAAGGTAGGATGGTCGGGAGTGTGTATCTGAGGACCATCAGACGGCGATATTAATCGCATGCGATCCTCAAAATATTTATTGTCCTATCCCGGAAAGAAAAACAATCCCTAAGCCAAGGCATCAGAAGCAAATAAATATGCTCGAATGCCCGTCGGCTTGAGGGGGAGTGTTGGAAATGGCCGGAAAAGAGGCAATCCGAGGGCATCCGAGGGATGCGCCACAGCGGAGATTAATTACATAATGTGGCCATTATATAAAAGGATATCTATATTTGGAGCAATGAGAGCTCCGCAGCCACATCTTCGTCCCGATCCTTTACCTCGCGTCCGGTCCGATTCTCTCAGATTAAATTCCTCGCTTCCCAAAAGGGCTACGAGGCCCCGCATTTTCTAACAGGTCAGTATCCCACAACCCAGTGCCTAGCTGGTGCCGCTGTCGAAGCACCAATGCCTGGTTGGGGGAAAACACCGCAGCCACCCTCTTACAGCCCAGGAATCGACCCGTTCACGGCACCAAGACAGCCCTGCAAGTCCGGGGCCGTTCGGACAACTCAAACCGGGTCAAATTCCTCTGCGCTTGAAAATCCCCGAAACGGTAACAGGCGGGGGCTGGATTTGGGCCGATATTCGGGCCGCTACGACCCTTTTCGTGTAATGATTTTCTGGGGTCTGCCTATTCTGGCCGTGTACCCGGACTTAGTCTCGGACGTTGGCCGGATTTGGGGGTCACTTCTACCCGCATCCGGATCGGACATGTTGCAGCGTATGCCGGGGTCCTATCGCGACGCGGATGCCTTCTACGCTGATATCTCCCAAATCACTGTTCTTCTTTCACCCGGCTATGAAGACGTCATCACTTCCTCTGCAAAACAACGAGGAATGAACTTACCTGACGTCATAGCTGCGAAAAAGAAGATTAAAAAGTAACATTATCAAATACATTTCCTGCACTCATACTCTTACTTTCTACTGTACGCGTACGATACATAATTCTCGATTTTCACACTCTTATTTCCTACTTTACGCTTTGTATCTACTTCTATATCGAAAACCACACTAAAAATATATATAATACAAAAATTCGGCGAAATTTCGCCCCAAAAAATTGACCTACCTACCTCGCGAGGTTAGTGCATGCTGAAAAGCATGCGCTTCTCGAGTGTTTCTCACGCACCACGAACGGAGTCCGTTCGTGCTCGACTCCAACACGACCCCCTCCAAGTTCCAAGTCCTGTTCCAAGTTCCGCACCCACTCGTCAATCTTTCTCATCTGCCGGATCTTGTACACACCCGCGCGCGCGGCTTAAATTACTGCTGCTTTTCAGTCAGGCTGTTTCGTAATTGCTTCATTTGATATCTCAAAACTGGAGCTTGTGCTTCTTGCGCACCTGACATACCCCCTCGAGTGTCTTGCGGAGGCTTCCATGAGAGCTCGTGCGTTCAGTATTCTTCGTGGCAGTTCACGGCACAGGCCCCACGCGATATCCCTCACCCTACGAAGAACCAGTCATCGAAGTGTTGACCTTTCCGAGACCACTTCCGATGTCGCAAACGACTTTGGTTCTTACGATGTCATTCTTCCACCAGAGCCTTTCGTATGGGGCGTCGCCCATATCAAGCCGCGCTGTGTGCCTGAAGACATTCGCAGACCGCGTTATGCGCTCTCATTTGACTCTGCTTCTACCCTTGGCTTCGGCGAGGACACGTCTACGGGGCCTCAGCACGTTCGGGACAAGCTAATTGCACTTCAAGACGAGGAAACTGTGAGGCGCGTCGGTAGGCTGGCGAAGGAAGTGCTACTCTACGCAGGAAGCCTGGTGCAGGTGAGTTGGGTAATCTGTCGACGAGCTTATGCATCTGCGGCGCGGGTTGATGCGTCACAGATTCATTAGCCCATCGCCTGGTCTGGGACAACGCGCTGCATTTTCTTACATGTGTAGGTGGGCGTAACGACGGAAGCCGTTGACGCAGCTGTGCACGAATTCATTCTGTCTCACTCCGCATACCCATCTCCCCTCCTGTATAATGGCTTCCCGAAGTCATGCTGCACCAGCGTCAACAATATCATCACTCACGGTATTCCCGATGAGTAAGTTTGTTACCTTTTTCACTCGTCGCACTGCTCATCGTCCTTAGCCGCTCACTCATGGACGGAGATATCGTGAATGTTGACATCACAATATATAAGGATGGCTTTCACGGGGACACGTCGCAGACATTCCTCGTCGGCGACGTGGTGAGTCCACTGTCTTCTCTTTAAACTATGTTATTTATCTGACCCGCTCGTATGAGGACGAACAAGGCCGTGCACTTGTTCAGACCACCCGTGAGGCATTGGAGGCAAGCATCGCCGCGTGTGCGCCCGGCCGACCATTCAAGGGTATTGGCAAAGCAATCTACGAGCTCGTTCGAAACACCGAATTTTCTGTGAACACGCAGTTCACCGGGCATGGCATCGGCGAGGACTTCCATAGGAGACCTTGGATTTTGCACCACCGTGGGTCTGCGCATACCATTCCGTCTGATGTCAGCTCAGAATGACTGTTGCAGTGAACGATGAGCCAGGTGTAATGCTGCCCGGTCATTGTTTCACGATTGAGGTGCGTATTGCAAATTCCTGTCTTCGTCGGGCTGTACTCATGTCGTCCATTAGCCGTGCATTGTCCAAGGCGCCGACCCCAACGGCTGGATGTTCCCAGACGGCTGGACAGTTTCAACCGAAGTACGCGTTAGAGTTTTGACAAATTACGATACTCACAGACCACGTTCTGTAGAACTGTGCACGTAGTGCACAAGCAGAACATATGGTCTTAATCACCGAAACCGGGGCGGAGGTACTGACACGATAGCCAGACGCAGATAGTGCTGTTTGTACGCGTATACCACGAGTAGTCACGAACATTCGTTGTTTGGGTGGTGGAGATTGGCGAGCAGGCTGGCGAAGGATAGAGACGAGCAACGATATATCCAGATACCTTGGCGCTTGTAAGCTTCCTTTACCGCGCCCTGGCATGCGGCCTGGCCGGAAGCGCCAGGCCTCATGCCACTGCAAAACCGCTTTCAAACGAGACTTACGCGTCCACCCCTAAGCCCTGAGCTCAACTTGCGATACACCTCAAACTCCTCTCGATATCTCACCTTTGATCAATCTTCGATAAAGTGATGCCTCAATCTTGTAGGCTCTATGCCTCCGGAGGAGGCTGCAGGTTTGGAGATCAATGCAGATTCTCCCATGGTATCGCCCCACCTTTGTCGCCCAACCGTACGCAGTCGCCATCCGTGCAGAGCCCTGGAAGGCGAACTGGGGCTCAGGCTGGCGGCGGTAGTGCGCCGAGGCAGGTTTGCAACATGTACTGGGCTTCTGGGAGTTGCGGTCGTGGGTTTGAGTGCCAGTACAAGCACGAACGAGCACCCAACGCCGCAGCTTCCTCTGGCCCTCCTACTGTCGCGGAGGAAGAAGTCGAACCCGACTTTTTCTCCGCGGAAGGGCTTGCTGCGAATGTGGGCTCGGTGCGCGAGCAGCGCCATATGCTGAACCCCAGTGAAGCCCACAACCATGTCAGGCCTTTTTTGAGCGTCAACTATCATTTCGAGAGCGCTGCAAAAGTTCAAGGCTTCGTGAGGATACTAGCGAGTGTGAATGACAGAAACAAAAGCTGGGTATGTCATCTTCCGATTTTGCCTGATGTTGGGCATGCGTTGATGATGACCTCTGGGATCGTAGGACTCGGCGAAGGCCCAAGTAAGTTGAATCTGCCACCGTGCTAGGTGGGATCACTCAATACGCACTTGAACAGGCGTTTCTTGACATGGTCGTTAATGTGATGTGTTCGCGATAGTTCGATTTGAGATTAGTGATTGACGTTGAATCCGATACAGGGAAACGCGATCTTGCGCGTCGGTGAAGTTTTGCGTTTTGAACCTGTAAACCATAGGATAGGCATGGCAGGGGGCGTCCTGTCCTTTCAGAAAGGATATTTTCCCATCTTCGAAGTACACAAACTTTCGTCTTCTATAGTCAGCATGTTTAACCAACTACGCAGTATTTCGCATCCAACCTGGTTTTGAAGAGTACCTTGCACAAGAACATCAAGTAAGTAGTTCTTTAGCTACGTGTGGCGTTGTTGTGCGATTTTGACCATCTCGTAGTCACTTATACACTGTGATTGAAAACAACTACGAGACCGTCCATAACGTGATTCACACCTGCGTTGGAGGTCTGATCCGAGAGAAATCTTGGAAGGACTCGACACCAAATTTGACATCAGGTCTTCAAAGTAGCCTAGACGGCGTAGTGGTGTTTAAGACATTGTCGACAGTCCTTCTTCAGTAAGTGCCTCTCCGAGTGTAGTTCGGGGCTCTGCTAAACTCTTTCGAGGTATTTCAACCGATTCAAAGATGCGATCCGCAACCACCCTGGAATAGTCGATTTGGTTCTCGATCTCGCCACCTGGTTCAACACCTGGGCAGATGACGTGTGTGCCAGCCCTCCTCGCTTTGACGACGTTATCACATCGGCCAACACTAACATCCGCAACCTGACCATAGCTCAGTTGCGCGAAGAGATCACGCGTCTGCAGACGATTGTCGAAAGAGAGGCTGCCGTTGCTAACCGACTCCGTCGGCCTGCTGTGCAAACATCGATCAGTTCCGTGCAGCGACAGCAGGCGCTCGTCGCACAGCTGGTGCAGACCTACGACCCGCCGGGGCAGCTCCGTCCTGAGGGCCCCCGGCACGACAATGATTTTGAAGATATTAGTTCTATCCGTATTGCGCCGACTCATGAAGAACTTTTATGTCCTGTCCCACCATATTTGCCCGTCTTCGTGCACGACGCGCCTCATCATCACGCTGCCCACTCTATGGAGAGGCATCTCGACATTCAGTTTCGGCTATTACGCGAGGAGATGATGTGAGTGTGCCTATCGCAAGCGTAGATGAGTCACTAATGGCAGTGCAGAGCTACAATTCGCTCATCGATAACGTCCATAAATGGTGATCTCGCCTCCATGTGGAGTCGCACAGGACGCAAGAAGGAGAAGACCAAGCTCGAAGAGCTCCTGAATAAAAAGGGTGGCGCGTACCGCTCAAGCGGCTACGACTCCGTCTTCTTCCAGCTGTATACCAATGTTGAGTTCTTACCCGTCAAAGCCGAGCGGCGGGATCTCACCGTCGGATTGCTTGTTGACACGCCTCCGGGTACTGCCCGTGATACGGACGTAAGGCGGCGGTATGATTATTGGTCACATACAAAACGGCTGCAGGGTGGTAGCCTCGTTGCACTTATCATTGTATCTCATCGACAGATGCGTATCTTCCTTGGAGAGATCAAGTCTTTCAACAAGGATATCGCAGAGTCATCGAAGGCGAACAACGAGAAAATACAAGTGAGACTCAAGTTCTTCGATGCTGAGGTAGAGTTGATGGCACTCCGCCGGGAGAGCATGCATGCCGAGTATGGGTCGAAATACGCCGTGTTGCTGGATAATAGCGTCATGTTTGAGGCTGTCCGCCCCTTCCTCGAAAGGCTCCAGACGATTGAGCCCACAGAGATCCCCTTCTCTCGCTACATCTCCCGGAATGGCGCTCTGAACAACGATGTCCCTGTTCTCCATGCACGATACGCGACGGCTCCTAGATTCCGCTTCAATCTCCAGTGTCTCGCGAAGCACGGGCAGACGATCCCAGCGCTTGACATTTCGCAACCGGACGCCGTTACGAACGCCCGTCAGCAATTGCGTCAAGCAAGTCATCTAGATCCTAGCCAAGTCGACGCCGTGGTCGACACACTTACGAGAGAAGTCTCGCTCATCCAGGGGTAAATGATGATGATTTGTGTCCAGCAATGGTCTTTACTTATTCCCTTCGTCTCAAATAGCCCACCCGGAACTGGGAAGGTATGTAGATGTTCTCTCTACCTTGCCTCGTAGGTTTGATCAGTTCGTCACTAGAGTTATACCGGCAAGGAGATTCTGCGAATCTTGTTCGCCAGTGGGATCAAGCCTATTGGTGAGCTAGGAGTTGTTAATGTGTGACTATTTCGCTCAAGGACTGCCTCGCAGTGTTGATCGCTTACACTAACCATGCCCTTGACCATATGCTTAGTTCTGTGCTCGATGCTGGTATCACACAAAACCTTGTCCGACTCGGATCGCGGTCATCTGATGAACGCATCGCTGAGTATACCCTGGACAAGCTGGAGAAAGTTGCGGGCGCTACGGAGGTGGAACGCACGAATCGGCGTCAATATGCAAAAATGAAGAAGTTAGAAGAAGATATGATCAAAGTCATGGAATCAATTCAGCTGCCGATTCTCACCTGGGAGAAGATCCAGGAATATCTCGAAATTCATTACCCTGAGCATGCGGACTCCATTGAGACCCCACCATACTGGGTCCAAATGCTGACAGCACGCGTTTGGGAGGATGAAGAAGAAAATGGTGAGTTTGCTACAGTGGAGCGAAAGAAGAAACAGCACAAAGTCGACACGGGGTCTCGTACACTGTACGGTTTCTGGAGGAATGGCCAGGACTTGCAGTACATCTCGCCTCCAAGTCCCCAACAACCGAAGCACAAGAAGAAGAGGAAGCAGGCAGAGACCGAGTCTGTTACTCCGGCTACAGACTCCTCAGTCATCGAGTTCTTTACATCGTTGGGTTTCAATGCAGAAATCCCTCCAGTGCCGACTTCAGCCCGACCGACCGATATTCTTCTCAATCTGCAGGAACCTAGAGTCTGGTCAATGTCTCTGGACGAAAGGAGGAGACTCGCCGGAGACTGGGAACAAGACATCCGGATAATGGCCTATCATTCAAAATTGCATGAGTACGAAGAGTTACGCGAAAGCTACAAGGATGCATGTCAAGAATATAATGACATTAAGGATGAGGTATGGTTATCTATGATAATATCAAGGATTTCTTACTCAGCAAGTTTAGGCTCGCCGTCGTCTCCTGAGCAAAACCGACCTTATCGGTTGCACGACCACAGGTACGTCTTATCCCGAGACCTATAGTGTTCAGACCCTCTAATTCATCGCAAAGGCGCGGCCAAATTGACATCGTTGCTCACGGTAAAGAGGCATACGATCATTCTCGCATATCTCGCTCAACATGATGTCACAGAATATCGCTCCGAGAGTTCTGATGGTAGAAGAAGCGGGACAAGTGCTTGAGGCACACATTCTGACGTCGCTAGTATCGTCCGGTGCGTCCACCTTCGTTTTTTTACAAGAATACCAATTCATTGTTCCTAGTTCATCATCTAATATGCATCGGAGATCCTCAGCAGCTACGGCCCTCTCTGGCAACCTACTGTAAGTTGAAGTGCTCTGATCAACACATTGCAGCTCATGATCGTTCGTAGCGCTTTCTATGGACAGCGAACGAGGAAACGAGCTTTACAAATTTGACCGGTCTCTCATGGAGAGACTGTCGAATGCTGGCATGCCGATGTCCCAGATCAATGTGCAACGCCGGATGCGCCCGGAAATCTCACATTACATTCGGTAAGCACTCAATATCAAGCCCCATTTCAGCACCACTCATACTTTTGGTAGAACCATCTTGTACAAGAATTTGGAGGACAACGACGTCGTTCAACACTATCCCAGGGTCCAAGGCATGCAGAGGAATGTGTACTTCTTGAGCCATATTAAGCCAGAGAGTGGAGCGGAGGATTCGGTATCGAAATTCAACATGTATGAGGTATGCGATGCCCTCAGTCGATGCGCGAGAACTCGCTAAGAGGCGTTGTCAGGTTGAGATGATACGGGACTTGGTCCTGTACTTTTTGAAGCAAGGACCGTATAGCGGTCCCGGCGACATTGCTGTGTTATGCGCATACCTCGGTCAACTACAGAAAGTTCGAGCCGCCCTCAGAGATCTCAAGATCTCCGTTGCGCTGGACGAGCGAGACCAGGAGCAGCTTGAGCGTCAAGGCTTGGAAGAGGAGGGTACCGAATACGAGGAAGTTATCGTCGCACAACACGTTGGTATACTTGACTCTTAAAGTGCTGGGTTACTCATATATTACTATAGGTGCGACTAGGGACTGTCGACATCTTCCAAGGGCAAGAGGCAAAGATTGTGATAGTCTCGCTTGTTCGAAACTCTGGTTCGTATGAAACCGGATCTGCATCGATTGGATTCTTGAAGGTATGCTCGACAATTACAGTCACCTCGATAGATGATTGATTTATGACACACCCATTTCAGAGCTCCAACCGTATCAACGTTGCACTGTCTAGAGCGAAGCATGGACTGTACATTCTCGGCAATGCGTCCAATTTGCGCAAGAACCCAACATGGTCAACCATCGTGGACGAGATGGAAGCGCGCGACCAAATCGGTACTGGCTTCCCTACCATCTGTCCCCGCCATCCAGATCAAACGCAGGTGATATCGCAGCCTGGTGAGCTAAACCGCTTGTCTCCAGGAGGAGGATGCTTGCTCCCGTGCGGATTCCGTCTTGGATGTGGACACATATGTCCGTCGTCGGTATGTCACAATTATCGGTGCTACTTGTGCGTCTGAAACGGGGCTTTTTCCAATAGTGCCACGCTGCTCTGGATAACCACCGGTCGACAAAGTGTCATATGCCATGCAACCGGACACCGTGCCCCCGTAGTCATCCCTGTTCAAAACATTGTTCGGATGATTGCGGCGACTGCGAGTTCCCTATGTACGAGGTCGCCTTACCATGTGGACATGTGAAGGATAAAGTCCCATGGTGAGTTCGTCTTTCACCTGCTGTAAGGACGACCTGCTGATCGGTCTTAGTTACTTGTTGGAGAAGCTGGAATCTGTCAAGTGCCAAAAGCTCGTTCGCAAACAGCTGCCGCGGTGCGAACATTCGGTCACGGTGGCATGTTCCCAAGACACGACCCTCGTTCAGTGCAAAGAGCCATGCGGTGGTACACTGCAGTGCTGCTCAAAGACATGCAAATCAACTTGCAACGATTGTCAGCGAGCAACTGCTGGTGCTGCCTTCACAGTCCGCAGTACAAACCGCATCAATCGGACATCTCATGTCGCGCATCCTTGCGAACGGCTCCTCAATTGTCAACATCGATGCGGCCTTGACTGTTCCCAGGATCACCATTGCAACACGAAGTGCTCCCATGAATGTCGTCAGCGATGTATTCACCATGAATGCCCGAAGCTCTGTTCTGCTCCGTGCGCACCGTGTATGGAGCCGTGCATATGGCGCTGTGCGCACCAGACTTGTCCAGTTCTTTGCGGCTCTGTGAGTACTATATCTGAATCCACGAAAACTCGCGCTCATGATGTTTTCGCGATAGATCTGTACGCGACTGCCCTGCGACGAACCGTGTACAGAAACTCTGGAGTGCGGACACCCGTGCCCCTCTGGTACGTACGGTTCATGCATTCGATTGTATAGAACTGACGATATTTCCATCCATGCAGTCTGCGGTGAACCATGTGCGTCACAGAAGTGCCCCCTGTGCCTCCCTGAAGACCGCAAAGCGGACATCGTCGACTTCATCATGCAACGGAAGCTGGGCGACCTCGACTTATCGTCGACGGACGTTAGCGAGCGATTGATCACGCTCTACTGCGGACACTTGTTCACCGTCGAGACCCTCGACGGGCACTGTAGGATGTCCGAATACTACGAGGTCGACCCGTCTGGTCGGTACCTTGCGCCCATGGCCCCGCCGATCAACTACCAGACGCCGCCGACGTGCCCGACGTGTCGCGGTCCGATCACTGCCCTGCGCTACGGGCGTGTTACCAAGCGGGCGACACTGGACATCTTGGAGCAGAACGTCGCAGGCACGATGTCACAGGCGATCGAGGAGATCAGTCCGCAGGTGGTACAGCTGTCGGAGGCACTGGAGGCGTCCCAGAAGGCGGCGAAGGAGATGAAGAGCGTCATCCCGTCGGTGGAGGAGATCCCGGACTGCACCGCCGCTGCCGCTGGCAAAGCCAATGAGCCGCTCTCGTACGATCTCCTGAACAAGGGCGCTATGCGGATCAGACACGGTCTTGACCCGGCCGAGGCGACTGCGTGGTTCGCCATCGTCAAGGACCTGTTGAAAGCGTACCAGCGCATCGTAGCCATCGCGGTGACTCGCGGTGCACACGTGAAGGCATATGAGGCCGCGCTGGTGACGCTCTTCCGCCTCGAGATGGACGCGCTCGCGGCAGACCCGGAAAAAGCGACCGCTGCGCCGGAGCCGTTAGCGATGGCCGCGGTGAACACGAAGATCGGGCAGCCGCCGCACAAGGCGGACACGCGCTTCCAGATCGAGGCGTTCTTCTTCTCGCTCGAGCTGCGCTTCACGCTCGCGCAGATCGGCGTGGGCCGCATTGAGGGCATCGCCACTGCGTCGACCGAGCCCGACGTCGCGAAGCACCGCGGCGTGTGGTGCGCGTTCGTCGCCTTCGTGTACGAGTCGTGCACTGCGGATGCTAAAAAGGCGGTTGAGATGGCGCAGCGGTCCTCTGCCTCGCGACAGGCTGCGCGAGCTTCAGTGTACGGGTTGCGCGTCATGTTCGAGCGGTTCAGGTTCCAGATCATGATGGAGCGGGCTGAATATTGCCGGAACAATCGTTGGACTAACAAGGAGCGGGGCGAACTTGCGAGGCGGGTGAAAGACAAGAAGAAAATCATGGCACTATCTGCTGACTCCATCCAGAAAGCCTATATCTGTAGCCGTCCCTCGCAGAGCGTGAAGGAGTTGACGGAGGAGCTTCAGTGGTTTTCTAATAATTGTCGCAGCAGGATAGACCGCTGGGAGGAGGACTGCGATGGGCTAGAAAGCTCCCTGTTGCGCGACACGATCTACCAGCCCGTCTCGTTGCAGGAACAAGAGGACATCGTCAAGGCATTCAACTTCAGTGCGTCGTTCGCTGCTTCTTAATTTTAATATACTGACCAGTGCTGTGTGGTTCGTACAGCACACGGGGGCCACTTCTACAACTGTGAGAACGGCCACACGTTCGTGATTACTGAGGTAGACATTTACCATGCCATGTCTGCAGTCAAGCGATGTGCTTATCGGATTCTGAATGTAGTGCGGCGGCGCTATGCAGGCTGCCCGGTGCCCCGAGTGCCACGCGGCGATCGGCGGGACCAGCCACAACTTGCATCAGAGCAACACGCGCGCGACGGAGTTTGAGGAGATCGCGACGAGGCTTGGTTCGGAGCGGTCTCCCTGGGCGTGGGGCAGGTGAATGTGCCGAGGTGCGATCAGGCGGCGGGCGATTGGCGATGGTTTTTGAGAGTGAACTTGGTATATAGGTCGTTTGGCGAAGGCAGTATAGAGGGGGTGGGTATTTGAATAGAGGATATGCTCGATATTGGCAATGATGAGTGATGGATTTGTACTGCAAGCTAGTGCGCAAGTGCGCCACTGACCTGAACGTATGGTAAACGCGCACTGGTTCAAGCAAAGAGGGTCTGCGAGGCATGCATCCCGCTCTTACTGAGAGCTTCGAATAAACATAGGAAGCGTAATGTTCGCGATTCCGGCGTGTTCGTTATGGTACTCGACGGTGCCGCCGCCAGTCTAGCGGTGAGACCCCGCGCGCGGCATGAGATCGATTCCCCTTTTCACTCGACCAAAAGTTGGCGCTCGCCCAGGAGATGTGATTAGCCTTTCAGCCAGTTCAAGATTACCCGTCAAGGCTACACCCCGCAAAAAGGACCTCGTTAGCCCATTATTCCAGTTAACCGACTCGAACGGTTGATCTCATCACTACGTTGATGCACTCTTCCCACTGAGCTAAACAGGAGTTAAATTACGATGAACGGAACTCAATCTCGGCGTTCCATCTGGAGTCTTGGACTTGCATCGGTGAATCTGTAAGTTGAGATACTTGGCTAAGGACGAGCACCGCAGATATGTTATATACGGCTTATGTAAATGACAGGCTGCATCGCTGCTGGAGCTGACCGCTGACCGCTGAGGCCGTACGCCTCGTACGCACTGAATATGCCGCGGGTGAAGTGAGATTGCATCCTGTCCGGCCAGTGATCACGGTCAAGCAAATGGGTCACCGTGTACTTGGAGAATGATTCGCCGCTAAACCCGCACCGCACCCGCACCACAGCAAGTCAAAGTCAAAAAAAGCACAGCAGACCCATTCAACCACGCAGATATCCATAGCATCGCACCAAGGGATAAGTAATAACTCGTTGCAGGCCCCGCAGTACAGATCACATATGAGAGACGAGTCACATCGTAGACTGTCCGAGAGGGAAGCGGAGACCGCTAAGAGACGGTAAGCTGGAGTTATAAAATCAGAGAGGCCGTGCAAGTTGTATGCAGGCCATACGTGAATCCCCGACTTTTCTGTGAGGTTCGTAGTAGATGTGGAGCTTCCGCGCGTCCATGGGCACATTTTCTTCTTCTTCTTCCGTTCCCTACGTTCCATACACGTCGACAGCCATGCCCGGTCCCTCTCCGAAAGCTATTCGATAATCCAGAGTGGCGTCGCAGAGACGGAGAGGAAAAGATCAAATCAGCAACCAATGTACAGAGTACATTCCCCGAGTTAAATAACAACGTGAAAGCGACTCGACAGGCCGAAGTTCCTCGATCGGAACCGCATCGCGCGATTTGAGCTGGCCCATCAGAATTGAGAAAACCGCGCAGGTGAGCACAGCCGCGTCGTCTGCGATCAGACAGCGCTTGGAGGGGGGCCGTCCGGCGGACAGTGCTCGCTCGTGGCAGCGTTCGGAATGGGGTCAAAACATTTGGACGGACAGGAATAGCGAACAGATATCGCTGGTACTGACGCAACAGGAGTCAGCGGAACGGAGAGAAAATTAAGGGGTAGTAAGGCTTCGAGTTCGGCTGGTCGGCTGCGCCTGTGATGTGTCGAGTGAAGGGCCCCAAGAGAAGCCTGTGAAAGACGCCACTAGCTGTTCCTTCGGTATTGAACGACTGGAGGGTGTGAAGGATTGCAGGAAGCGCAGAGACATGTCTGCACCTACCGTATCTATATCATCCCCAAGACCGACGCGGATATGCCGCATCGAATCCTCGCCCTCGCCCTCGCCCGGCGTGCAAGCAACGCAATCCGCGGTTCGAGTGTCCCAAATTGAAGGAAGACGCGTTATTCGCCAATGGACCTGTTCGATGTTAAATCCTGAACGCATACGCAGCTTGATCAAATCTGTGTTGGAGAGCTTGAGCGACCGTGTCATAAATTTGGGCAACGCATTCGCTCGGTACTAATCCCGGAAGATAGGATCTCGACTCGGGCGTATACGCCATTCGTTAATCGTCTCTTCACTGTTCTGAGTCGCTGGAGTGAATCCCGAGAGCCTTGGAGCGCCTCCCTCGTACTTACCACAGCTCGGGAGAGCGTGCCGGCAGCTACAGCACATCGTCGAATTCAGAACTCGCATCAGCGGGAGTCGCACCTAGGTGCGAGATGTACCAAATGTATCTTGGTAGTCAGACCCGACACCACCAGAGATAACGCAAGAACGATATCTCAGGAGGCCCGTGTTATGGCACGGATGAGAAACACTAGACGGTGGACGCGAAGTCCCTCAGTTCAATGCCGTATAGCGAAAGGACTAAGTTAGATATCTACCTAGACGGTGGACACGAAGTCCTACAGGTAGATCAGTACGGGTAGCTACGATAAATGGGTGGAATGTGCTTACCGTCGGTCCAACGTTGTAACGGCATAGCGAAAGGACAGAGGGAAACACGTGTAGCGTACGTACGCGGAGAGACTGAAAAAGGAAGGTAACGTAGTCAATGGCATACTACATACCTCTAGTCCCTCCGCGAGATTGTATCTACAACAACGGAAACCTCCAACTGCATTCCGTACACCGAGATGAGTTCGTAACCAGCATCGCGCTTACTGAGTGGGATGAAGGGGTGAACGTTAAGGGCTACGGGCGATCCAGAACGTACGCGAGCGCGAGAGACGGCCGTCACAAACGGACACGCGCCCCTCCCGCCTCCTGTGTAAGGCGCGTGGAGCACCCTTTCCCCGCTATCCTCCACCTCGCCCTGGATCCCCGCGGAGAGCCTTGCGGCCTTCTGCGCGGAGCCTCTACGCTGGCGCCTTCTGTGCCACCGGTTCGCGGTGCGCCGAAGGTGGAGTACGACACGGCGGAGGCTGACTTGTCCTAGTGTATCTTAGTTATTTCGAAGCTGCTATTCGACTTGTTTAGGCCGCCGTCGCTCATACCACTCGGGGATATATACCTCGTGAAGAGCTCCATGATCCATAGCAAAAGAAATGTTTACAGCAGACATGAAGGCCCGCCCAGCTTCTCGGACCAACCCATCCGCATCAATGGGTGGTGGCAATAGTCAACGTTATTCAGCGTTTAGTAAACCTTAAGGTAAGTGGACGCGTGATACTTCCAATGTGGGTAGTCTCATTATTTCTATGCAAGTAAAATTACGCAACACACTGTCGCTCGCAAATTTACCGTCAGAAGCGCATCGTTCGGGCGATCATATCTCTCTACGCTTGATCCCAACCACACACTCATGCGGCTTGCGAACGAAATTGTCGTGCACTCCGAACTGCACAGGATCTCTTGTCAGCACGCTTGTGCCGTAGAGGAAGTCCAAACTTACCTCTCGACCCGGTTGCAGGACAATATCGTAACGACGGAAAACGGCGGCGAGGACCAATGTCAGTTCCTGTAGGGCGACGTTGCGTCCGATGCAGGCCCTGGAACACGACAATAAGTTTACACAGCCGCCGGAGCAATGACCACTGCCCAAGATCTCACCTGGGTCCCAAGGAGAAAGGGTTGAACACCTTCATTAACTCGCCCCGTTTCTCAGCATCCAACCAGCGCTCGGGACGGTACTCCTCCACGTCCGCGCCCCACACTTCCTCGGAGTGATGCATGCTATATAAGGGCACGCTGATCTCTGTGCCTGCAGAAAAAGTGTGGCCGAGCACCGTGATGCCTCCTTCGGGAACGACACGACCGAGACCAAAACCAACCGCGGTGAGAATGCGGAGGCCCTCGTTGATGACAGCCTCGAGGTACGGCAAGGATTTGACGTCAACAAACGGCAAAATGCTCGAGTCTGAGCCGGCCACAGCGTCCAGCTCGGCCTGGAGTCTCTTCTGCACATTCTGGTTGCGGGCAACATGGAATATCACGGTCGCCAGCGAGCTGTAAAATAAGTTATCAGCAAAGCGAGCTCAACGGGACAATATAGCGGTAATAAATAGACGTACTTGGAAGTTGTGTCGGATCCTGCGACTAGCAGCGTAACGGCCTCCGTAGTCAACTCCCGCTCAGTCATTGGGTTTCCGTTCTCGTCTCGACCGTTCAATAATTTCCCAAACATATCATCAAAGATCTTCCCTTCATCTTCCGCCTGGCGGGCGGCGGCAAGGCGCCGCGAGATAGCTTCCGCCGCCAGGCCGATCAACTGGCCCTGCGCCTTCAGGCCACGACGGTGCTGCGGCATGCGCTCCACGAACTCGCGCACGTACGTGGGAAGCACACCGAGAATGGGAGAAACCTCCATGCGCGCACTAACTGCGTCGATAGCATCGATTTCTTCGACCTCATATTGAGCCGCAGGTTCCTGGGCGGTGGACTCGTCGAGTGCATAGGAGGCAATTCCAGCTGTAAGAGACTTCCTTATCCTGGCGGTGTCCTGGCCACGCAAAAGCATACCAAAAGGAGAGCCGAAGGCGAGTTCACCTGTGGGACCGTCACATCAGCCAGCGTTGAAGTATCTATGCAGCGCGAATTTCGTACCAATGACATCAAACGTGAACAAATTGCACCCTGTTAGACAACATCAGACGGTCAGATTCTCGTTTGAAAATAATTTGTCACTCACAAAACTGTGCATCAAACCAGACATAGCCGCCGCGCACCTCCCACGTGCTGGACCCCAGTGTGCCAGTCTTCACTTCATCCTTGCGCACCGCGCTGTTGCACATGATGTCCCACTGGTTCAACAGAGTTTGCAGATGAACCTTGATCGGGCCCTCGAAGGCGCGCACGCTCTGCGGGGAAAACATATGAGCCATGACGCGTCGCTTACGAGCATGTTCGGTGCGCGAGCGCGCGTTGAATATCCCGCGTATGGCACGGTAAGACGTAAAGGTGTCGTAGAAAGCTGACTTCGTTGTCCCGGTGGAGTGGCCATATACCGCTGAGACCGCTTCCGGAGAAACAATCGAAATGTGGTTCGGCGCAATCCGTACGAAAGGTCCTAGCGTCCAAGTTCGCATCAGTCATTCAAGTTACCACTTTACATGTAAGTTAGAGAGGCCTACCATATTTCTGGTGCAGCTCGTCGACAGTGTTGGTCCTCCTGAACTTGCTGGACACCCAGAAGAGCCAACCATCGGAGAATCTCGCAAAGAAAGGGCCGGGGTATTGGCGAAGACCATGCTCGTCGACCAAATACGGTACAACGTGCACTGCTAGGACAACAACGGGCAGAAGACAAAGGACGAAGGGAATCGGATGTGCCGTGAGGTTTAGAAGTACCTCGAACATAGTCTTAGTATGGTAGGCACGAGAGGCGACCAATTTCGTGACAAAACCGACTACGTGGATATCCCGGGAGAGGGGAAGTGGCCAATGGGTCTTGCCAAGGTGCAGCTTTTATACCTGATAGCGCCGAAGCCTAACGGCACGCAGGAGCCTAAATCCGTTCTCGTGGCTTAGAAGACTTCTTGGCTAAAAGGACTGTTATTCTGAGAAGGCATGAGTCATCTGGTAAATGTCAAACGACATTGACGGCAGAGGTATGAAGGCCTCCCGCCGCGTTGACAAGTTCAGAAGTTCATGCAAGCGAGATACCTGGATTTTACATCAAGACGTATCCAGCCCTCATCCGACCGTCAGATACGGGCAGCAGTATACGCGATTAAAGATGTACTGAAGACCTTACCGTAAGTTCAACATGAAAAGCGACTCTGGCAGGGGCTTACTGTGTCTGCAACAACCTTTCCAATAGACGACGGGCGATGATGTCACACCAAGGGTTATCTCCTTGGAATGCAATACCGATGAGCCGTGGCAAAAAGAAGAAAGCTTTCACACCATGAAGCTTACAGCGCGTTCCAGGGCGAGGTCATCACTATGACCGTTATGTGGGTGGCAGGCATTGAACAGCGTGCGACATTCGACATTCGTGCGTTCGTATCGGCCAATGTCGATCGTGAGTAATTCGCGGATCATCCGCGAAGCGTTATACGCTCCCGTACGGTAACCATACAAATTCCCTGGGATTACTTCGATCAGTTGTGCTGTCCAACCAACAGTCTATACTCACTGGGTCGAGCTGGATATTCCGGAAATCACAGCCATGAAAAGCCAGTGGAACACATTCTTCCAGGGTGCTGTACTCTCTCAGCGGAACCAGTCTCATCTACTACTTTAAATGTCAGAAAACTAACAGCTTCAACACCAACGGTCTTCATCAATATATTGTTAGTTGGGTGCCTTATGCCGAATAGAGCCGCAGTCATAGCATGAACTACAGAACGGTGACGACGTGGCATATATCGGGTAGTCTGTATGTTGGAAATGGCCTGAAAAGAGTGCAGGGTCACGATTGGCGACAAACTGAATGGAAAAATAAAACAAAACATGAAACACGGACGGAGCAGAAATCGGCAGGCCAAGGAACGAGAACGAGCGACCGGGCTTCCGGAGAAGAGCAGAGCGTGCGCACCAGTGTCTAATGAGCACTCATCGGACGATGTCCAAGAGGGAAAAATATGGCCAAGAGACTCCCACTGTGAGTAGATGCGAGGGGACCTGGGAACTCTCATGACAGCAAGAACCATATCGTTAGGCCCCTGGTCAAAAAATCGTGCACGGGATCTTTGGGTGGTCTGCGAAAAGAGCTCCTGATAGGCTGGATATTAGCCTTCGCATCTCGCCGGGATCAAGGACATTGCAGACGCAAGCGGCTAGGCGGCGCGACTTGGTGGTACGGTGGCGCCAATCCACCTGAATTTCTGGACCATTTGATTGCGCAGTCCGCGTTGTGAACGGAGTTTTTGGAGGGGCCTATCGACATGATCTTTGCTGGAAGATCGGTCGACGGCGAATCGTTCGCACCTATTGGTACCATTATCAGCCACGACTGATTCATGCATGCCACGTCGAATAGTCTCCTCACGCGGTTGGTCGCATTCCTATCCGGAGAGCCTGCCTGATAGTGTAAGTTCGGGCAGAACCACGCAAGTCCGGGAAGAACCACACAAGTCCGGGCAGAACCACCCAAGTCCGAGAAGAACCACGCAAGTCCGGGCAGAAACCAGCAGCCAGCGCGGATAACGCTGTAGGTCCCCCTCTGCCGTCCTCCCAGTCCACGGCGTCCCGGAGCCTCGCAGCATTCTGCGCTGGGCGTGCTACCGCGGTGTCCGTGTCACCGCCTCGCAGATCCGCTGGAAGTGGGATACAACTGTTGAAGTACATACATTGCGACATGGATGGAATAGTTAAGCGCTTACGCTGCCGGTATACTTACGTAATCACGTAGTTACTGTTGGCGGACGTTCGTATGACGCACTTCAGTCACTCGTTTGCTACCGTACCGGGACTGAGGTGATTACTCTCTTTTTACTTAGTTCTCACTTCACTGACCTACAGTAGCATACTGCTCCTTTGTCCCTGTTGGAATTAAGCGTGGCCAATGGAGGGATATTACAGTGAAAATGAAGCTTTGAGCACACTGGGAATCGAACTGCAGATCTCTTAGTTGTTGGCCTCACTGATGTGTGTTATCCTTTACACCATGCACCCTTGCTGTCATATCAACAGTCCCTGCTACAGGTTGGTACTAATATAGTCACTGGCACTGGTTTGCTACCACACACATACTGCTCCTTTGTCCCTGCTACAGATCCATCAAACATCCGTTGGACATCTTTCCACCTTGCCGTGTACTCGCAACAGGTTATGAGCCCTGGCTCTAACTGAATCTGACAGGATCACATACATTGAGAACTCAATCGTTCCCTATCACCTTTTTTTCCCAGCAACTACTTCACTCATTCACACAGCTGTCACACAATGTCCCTCTGCCCACCAGTACCTCAGGTCAAACCAAAGACCAAGTCAAACTGCCTCTATGATGTCCCATTCCTCAAAAGCAATGGCGACAACTTTCAGACATGGAAGTACCACATGACCACCATCCTCCGGCTGCGCAGTCTACTGTAGTGAAATAACCTTAGGTTCAGTCACGCATCACAGACCTCGTGAACTGAACTCGCTTAAGGGTTTGTAGCATGTCATGGGTGTCTGTGAACTGGAAGTGAAAGACGATGTCACCTGCGCTAACAGCATCAGGCATGGCGGACCATCAGTGGGCACCTGCAGTGCTTCTGAACTAAACTTGGTCACAGGTCACTCCTACCCTGTGAACTGTGAACTGAGGAAGAAAACATATCACAGGTCACAGGCCGTGAACCTAAGGTCGTTTCACTACAGTATATGCACTCATCAATGGCACTGAGACTGACCCCGAAGCAGTGGATTCTGCCAAGAAGGCAGACTGGGATTTCTGTAACAGTGAGGCACTTGTGCAGATTACATTGATGCTCAAGGACGAGCCGCTCAATAGCATGATGTACTCAACAACAGCACAGGATGCTTAAGAGAAGTTGAACAGGCACTATGAGGGCAAAGGCAAGCAGACCTCAGCTTACCTCATCAGTGACCTCTTTCACAGCACACTCAGTGATGAGTCACCACTCGAGCCACAGCTCAATGCAATGCAGCAGAAGGCTCACATACTCAAGATGCTTGGTCTTTTCCTTGACAACATGCTCATCGCTACTGCCATGACCATTTCTCTTCCTCCCTTCTATTCTACCCTTTGTACCATCCTCATGGCCTCTGACTCCAAGTGCACTGTAGATAAAGTTGTAAATGAGGTCATTAGCAAGGAGAAGTGATGCGGTGAGATGACTGCAGCATCTGCACTCATTGTGAAGCATGCCGACTTCAAGGCAAAGTCTAAGGGGAAGGACAAGGACAGGAAGAAGAAAGGCAAGTGCACTTTCTGTGGCTTTTCCAGTCATATAAAGGACAAGTGTCAGAAGTTCAAAGACAGCCAGGCTGAGGGCATCACTGTGAAGAGCGATAAGAAGGCTGAAAAGCCTGCCGAGACAAAGGAGTCTGCAAAGATCACCAGTATAAGCCAGGCAGATTGCGAGATGCTCCATCTCTTCATCGCAGAGGAGTTGGCACATGGCAATGACCTTCTTCACTGCTAGAACATCAATTCTGGAGCATTCTCCCATATGACATCCCATTGCGAGTGATTCATCAACTACTGCACTCTCACTATGCCCAAGCACATCTACCTCAGGGATGAGCACTTTATCCTTGCTGTTGGTATTGATCAGGTCACACTCCATGCAGCAGTCGACCATGGCTCAATGAACACTGACATTGTGCAAGAAGTCCTCCATGTCCCAGACCTAAATGGCAACCTTCTCTCTGTCTCACAGTTTGATCACAACAGCTATGATGTCCAGTTCATGGATGGTACATGTCACATCAGCAATGCCCAGGGCCAAATTAGCACTATCGGGTACATGCGAAGGAACCTCTACATTCTCAATGTGACCACACACCTCCCAAAATGAACATACATCTCGTGAGCAGACAACCTTCCTTCTTTCTACATTAACTCCACTAATGGTCCGATGCTTCATGCCTTTGTTGCAAAAGAGATGACCTCCAGTGTGAGCGCAGATGTTTAGCATCGCCACCTCAGCCACATCTCTGTGGGCTCCATGCTGAAGATGGTGCAAAAGGGAATGGTCAAGGGCATGTTGATCATTGGCAAGAAGGTGAGTGAGGCCATCTGCAAGCCTTGCCTCCAAGGCAAGCAGACACGCCACCTGATTTTGAAGGAGTTAGATGCCGAGAACTCACACGTTCTCCACCAGACCTATTTCGATGTCTGTGGTCTCATGCAGACCCAGAACTGATCAGGTCATTGCTATTTCATCACATTTATTAATGGTCACACACACAAACTCATTGCCAACCTCATGAAGATAAAGGATGAAGCTCACACACACTTTAAAGCCTTCATTGAGTGTGCTGAGGTTAAGACCAGGCAGCATGCAAACATCCTGTGGACTGATGGTGATGGAGAGTACAAGTCGAAGAAATTCGATGCATATCTCAAGGCAAAGGGCATCCACCATGAGAAGACAAATGCCTACACTTCACAGGAGAATAGTGTCTCAGAGCAGATGAACTGCACTGTCGAGGAGATGGCCTGGTGCATGCTGAATGATGCTGGGCTGCTGAATGTATACTGAAATGATGTCATATTACATGTGGTAAATATCCTCAACTCCATTCTGACTCTCATGCTCCCATATGGCCTCATGCCATATGAAGCCTACACTGAAAACAAGTCGAGTGTTGCACACCTTTGCATTTTTGGCTGCAAGGTCTATGTCCACATACTGAAGGAGAAGCATTAGAAACTCAACTTGAAAATGCTTGAGTGCATGCATCTGAGGTTTTCCGAAAACTGCAAGGCTTACCAGCTAGTCCACAGACCTACCAGGTGCATCATTGAATCCTGCAATGTCTACTTTGATGAAGGATCTGAAGTCGAACTGAGTCATGTTACAATTGATGTTACACCTGCGCAGCCAGCACCCAATGTGCAACCACTGCTGCAGCTGCAACTGCTGTTGGCACTGCACTCATCAAGGTCAACTGTTGAAGGCATTCCTGATAAGGATGAGGATGCACCTGCACTTCTCAACATCGACAATGACAGTGATGATAAGGATGATGATGAGGACAATGATGCACCACTGCTGAAACCCCAGGACTGGCACCGGCAGTGAGCACCACATGCCACACAGCCACCAGCACCGGTACCAGTACTGGCATCAGCACTGGCACCAGAACTGCACTGTTCTGGTTGAACACACATCACACTAGTAGTGGCTGATGATGACTGCTATTTCATGTTCTCTTACACATGAAAACCAAAGGACCAGGATAATGCCAATGGTGCTGCTGTCGGACAGGCAAAGGGCCCTACTAGAGTGAGCGATGCAAATGCAGAAAATGTGTGCAAAGCCACAAACTAGGATGAACCACAAACCTATGAGGAGGTGATGTTATGCCCTGATGCCACACACTGGAAGGCTACATGCGCAGAGGAGCTACATGCATTTGTTAAAGTGGAACTCTACAATGAAGTGGAGCGCTCGCGCAACTGCAAAATTGTTGACTGCAAGTGGGTCTTTAAGATCAAGTGTGGACCAGATGGTGAAATTGAGAAGTACAAGGCCTGACTTGTTGCCAAGGGCTTCACACAGATTGAGGGCCTCGACTTCAATAAAACTTTTGCACCTGTTGCAAAGTTCACTTCCGTCTGCTGTTACGCGACAGCGAAACACGAGCGTCAAGTCGAGTTGTCACGAGACAAGGTCTTAGTCTAAGACACAAGTCCATTCAAGTGACACTTCTGGCGATGTCCTCGCACTGAAGGTCGATCAGAGTTCGTTCTTATGACTCGTAGTAGCTGTCTGCTACTAACGGTCGATTTCAGTCAAAGGCAAGTGAAAAGCTGGTTTAATGGTAACCAGGTCGAGATGGGGATCCAGCTCGACAAGGTCGTCTACTTATACAAAAGGTATCCGCAGTACTACGCAGTAATGCGAGATCGTTCATTGGCTAGATAAGGTGAAACGATATCTGGGCAAGGTAACAGCGAGGAAGTAATATGTATGAGAAAGCTGAGTAAGGTCGTGAGAGATAATCAGTACTAATGGGGATAACGAGTCGTGTATCAGAACGAGCTAAAGATGAGGCATACATGCACGTCTTGCATGTGCGATAAGAAGAAGGTCCGGAGTTGGATCCGGTGTAACCCTAGACGAGGAGTTCTGGACATCTGGATAAAGAATCGGAGGTTGCGCTCTGATGAGTCACGTGTTGGATCACGTGGTCTGGTAACGTAAAGGGAACAAAGAAAAGAAAAAGGAAAAGATGCACCACAAGTGAGGAGCATTGTAACATCAGCTCCCATCTAACGTTTCTTGTCCCACAAGAAATATTGTGATCTTCATCATCGTTGGGGGCAGTCGCGGACATAATGATCTCCTCCACATCTGTAGCATGTCCGCCGGCTGATTCGTGATCCTTGTTCGGGGATACGTCCATCCCTGTAGGGATGACTGCGACGCGAAGAAGTGGATGCGGTCGAGAAAGATGGTTGAGATAACGGAGATCGTCCACTGGGTACGTGCGAACGAGGAGGGCGAGGTCGAACGGGAATTGGTTCTGGCGACGAGCGAGGAGTGGATGCGGGTATTCCATTAGTGGTGTATCCGAGGATGTGTCCGATGTCTTCGTCCCCATGCTCCCTCCAAATCTCCTGTGCTGTACGAGTGACCGTACTGCGCATCAGCGACCAGACTTGGTTGACTCTAGTTCGGGCTCTACTCGTCCTTTCTTCTGCTGCGATGAGCTCTTGTCTAGCCGTCTGCATCCACTCGACCATTTCTAATGCTCGTTGCATGGAAACCACCGCTTGTCGATCTTGCGGGCGATTTCGTAAGGCGACAAGGATATCTGTGAAGTCGACAGGAACACGGATAGCCGAGATCAGATGTGTGGCAAATTCTTGTTCGTCCGATGCGTGACTGAGTTCGATAGAAGGTGAGGGCGATGAGGTGCGGATAAAGGGTGTCTGTGCTCGAGAGGGTACTCCATTGACAAGCGTAGGCGATACGGGTATGCTCATAATTGTGGAGGCGACTTCAGCGAGTATATTGTGAACAAGGTCATCTATAGCGGAAGTGGGCATTGATGATATGTCGTTTTCTCCTCCTTTTATACCTTTCGGTCGTTAAGGGGATCGCGGTTATCTGTGATGTGAAATAGAATGTCGTGGATCCGGGTAATAATCAAATAGATGAAAATCCATTGGACGATAAAGAGTATTCCCACAGAGATAAGAGCTGCCTGATCAGTTCCAGGCATCGGTCTGATCACCCCAGCTGTTAGCGTGCGGGCTGTCTCGCGTGAAGAGTGTGTGTTCAACAAGTCGTCTGATAAGGATTCGATGGACAATCCAAAGAAAAGTGAGGGTTGTGCAGTGGAGGACAATTAGGAAGATGATGAGGAAAACCGTCGTGGTAGTCATTCCGGGTTTCTTCTCCTCTACTGGATTCCCCTGGTCCTTTTATATGCATCGAGGATTCGCTTGGCATTCTGTAAATTGTGGGTAGGTTCCCACGAGTTTTCCACTGAAGAATATCCCTTCCACTTGACTAAGTACCTCAGATGACCTCGGTATGTCTTGTGATTCAGGATGGCTTCAACTTCGTACTCTTCTTCATTATCAACGACATCAGGTGGTGGGTTCACATAATTCGGACCATGTATGTCATTTTCACGATAAGGAGATAGAAGGGCGGCATGGAATACGGAATGAACTCGCCAGGTCTTCGGGAGTTTGAGATGATAGTTGGCTGGTCCGATGACTTCAACAATTTCGAATGGCCCCTCACGCTTTGGTGCTATCTTGCGCGAGGCGTAATTGACCTTCAGGTTCCTTGAGTCTAGCCAGACCTTCTGTCCTAGTGTAAACTTCGGCGATCCTTGTCTGACTCGGTCCGCCATCTGTTGTCGGGCTAACTCGTGCATGGCTAGTGCTTCTAGTCTTATCTTCTGCAACATGTCAAGCCTGGATTCAACCGATGGAATGTTCGTGGTCGGAAATACGGATGGGAGTCCACGTGGTTTGTATCCCATCATGATGCAGAATGGGCTCATCTTCCGTGCCGAGTGTTCCCTTGTGTTATGACAAAACTCGAGGTCTGGCAGACGGTCGGCCCATGTTTCAGGGTTGTTTCCGCAATAGAGTCGAAGATAGATTTCCAGCTCCTGGTTGACTCGCTCTGTTTCTCCGTCCGTCTGAGGGTGATAAGCTGTGCTCATTGATGATCTGATCTGGAGTAGTCGATTTAACTCTTGGAAGACCTTGGATGCATATTGAGGTCCTCTATCCGAGATGATTCGGTCGGGTAATCCAAATCGCGAGTATACTTTGTCATGAAAAATCTTGGCCGTTCCTTCGGCTGTGATCGTTTTGAGGCAGGGCGTAAGAATCACCCCCTTCGTAAGGTCATGGTCTACTACGACCATAATTGAATCAAAACCGTTGGAAACGGGGAGGTCGGTAATAAAATCGGTGGTGCAACAGGAAAATGGTAATGCGCGTGGGTCGGCGGGGATTGGTTCCAAAGGAATACGAGTTGGATGAGTATTCGGTTTTATTTGTTGACAGGCGGCACAGCCTTCAACATAATTGTAGACAAATGTATACATGCCGGGCCACCAGAATTCACGACGTAACAGTCCAAGAGTATTGAACTTTCCAGGGTGACCCATGGCAGGGGAGTCGTGATGTAGTCGAACGAGGTCACGACGAAGAGTTTCGGATGGTGGAACGTAGATCTTTCCCTTGTAGAGGATGACACCATCGCGAACTTCCCAGTCGGAAAGCGATGATTTCATGGGGAATGGCCCTTTGTGCGTAATCGCTTCGAGGGCTTCGTGAACAATGAGGTCTTTTGCTGCGTGATTCCTGATTTCGTCGAATAGTGTCGGGGAAATGGATCACACGAATAGTGCGTTGGGTAAAAGAATGCGATCTTCGTTGTCACTTTCACTGTCATCGAGTCCATTATGACGAGATAGCACATCAGATTGGATCATCTGAGTGCCAGGGACATGGATAAGGTGAAGATCAAATTGTGATAATTTGAGACTCCATCGTGCTTGTCGGCAGTTTAACTTCTGAGCTGTACGGAAGTACGTGAGGTTCTTGTGATCACTGCGAACTTCGACGGGATGGGGAGAGCCTTCAAGATAATGGCGCCATTCAGTGAGGGCTCGAATGATTCTGAGGAGTTCGCGGTCGTAGATTTCGTAGTTCCGTTCAGCTGGATTGAGTGTCTGTGAAATGTAGGCACAAGGATGGAGGTCTCCATTGACATCGGCTTGGCGTAAAACTGCACCCGTAGCAAACTTGGAAGCGTCGGATTTAACAATAAAGGGTTTTGCCTTGTCAGGCAGTAACAGTACTGGGGCGGTACTGAATTGTTGCTTCAATGTGTCGAAAGCTGTCTGACATTCTGTTGTCCATTCAAAAGGTGGAGATCCAGCGGCAGTGCACGTAAGATTCGTCAATGGTTTGGCAATATCCGAGAAGTTGGCAATAAACTTCCGATAGAAGTTTCCAAACCCTAGGAAAGAGCGAACACCTTTTACCGTGCTTGGTTCAGGCCATTCTGCAATTCCTTTAAGTTTGATAGGGTCCATGCCAATGTAGTTTTCTCGAATGATCATGCCTAGGAATTCGACTTCTTTAACGTCAAAGAAACACTTTTCCGGTTTAAGGAATAAGTCATTGTCTTTGAGTCGTTGGAGTACGCGTCGGGTTCGAACGTGATGTTCTTCCAAATCATTTGAGAAGATGAGGATATCATCCATGTAAATGACTATCCATCCCTCGTCAATCATGTCCTTGAAGAGTGCGTTCATCATCATTTGGAAAGTCGCCGGGGAGTTGCAGAGTCCAAAGAACATGACCATAGGTTCGAAAAGTCCGCGATTTGTCTTAAATGCACCCTTCCATTGGTCACCATCTTTGATTCTGACATTGTTATATCGGGAGCGTAAATCCATTTTCGTAAAGATCGATGTGCCTTTGAATTGATCCATAAGGTCAGAAATGAGCGGGAGAGGATAGGCGTTCTTCATCGTCCCTTCATTCAGGTATCGGTAATCCTGACAGGGACGTAGTGCTCCGTCTTTCTTTCCTACGAAGAAAAATGGTGAAGCCATGGGAGATTTCGATGGTCGAATGTATCCTTTTCGCAGATTTTCTTCCAGGAAGTCATCCATCGCTCCTTGTTCTTTGAGCAATAATGGATAGACTTTACAGTCGCGTGGAATAAAATCGGGTTTCAAGTCAATGGCGTGGTCCCAAGGCCTGGTTTCTGGAAAGCGTTCAGCTGCTTTCTTTTCAAAGACGGACTTCAAATCGTGGAGGTAGTTGGGGACCAACTCCTCGACGGTTTTGGGTTTGTCTACAGCTGATGCTTCCTTGTGTGCCTGTTGTGCCAATTCTTGTGATTTACCAGATGGTTTGTAAAAGACCGTATTCTGTGCGTTACAGAATAATGGGGATCGGGTACTGTGTGTCATTCTTCCAATGGTGGGGCCTCTTCATATGGTGAAGACTGCGGTTTCAGTCTCTTCATTCGTCAAAGGTGACTCCTTCCTGATGGGTTCAAATATCCCAATAACTGGCTCTCTTGCAATATAGGATATAACTAGATCGTCATCATCGAGCTGATCCATAGGGGATTCTGATGGTGGGTCATCTGGTTCGGTATCATTCCGCACTGCGGGTAACTCACCATGCTCAGTGTTATCGGCCATGATTTCTCTGATAGATTCCGAATGCCCAAACGAGGTAGGGGAAGTTTCGGTGGTGATTAACTCTGGGAGTCCATCTTCCTTGAAAATTGAAACTTCTTCATCTGGTGCATCTTCGACGGTGGGTTTCGGTGGCCATTTGGCATCTTTACCAAACCAAAAGTCACTGATTTCCCAGTTGATCATCGGATTGAGGTGTTTAAGCCACGGCATGCCGAGAAGTATGTTTTCTTTGCCAATGCCGGTCAAGAGGAAGCGAGTAAGTGTCTTCCTTCCTCCGATTTTCATCACCTTCCAGGTACAATGAGTAATGGTACCCATTTGATTCGGTGTGCCATCTGCATTCATGACTTTAATCGGTTTCGGTAATTCCCATCTGATGAAATCGTTTTCTTCCGCAAAACGAATGTTCATGAACGTTTCAGCTGCACCGGAATCGATCAAGGCTTCTGTTGTAACGTCTTCCTTCTCTCCCAACGAAATATTCACAGTGATTGAATTTCCACTAGTGTTACAAATAACGAGGGGAGATACGGTAAGATGCGACGGTCCATGCATTACTAGTGGCCGTCATCTCAAAAACCCAATTGGGTTCGTTCTTCATCAGTCATGTTGTTGAAGACGTTTCGCACATAGGCGATCTGTTCCTCTCTGGTTTCTTCCTTCGATGTCTCCTTCTTCTGTGCGAGGTCTTCTCGCATCTTCTTGATCCATGTGATCGTGTCTGTGTCCAACCCGGGCTGTATCGTTCTAGCACGGGTGAAACTTCCAGACTGGGGGTGAAATTGTCTGTCGTTGGCTATATGGCCCTTCTTTCCGCATAGGAAACATAATCCTTCTTTCATTCTCTTCTGTCGCTCATCCGGGGATAAGTGTGAGATATTGACATGATCAACATCCATCGTGTTTGGATCCTTTGCAGAAGCCGAGTAGTAGGGGCGATGGACCGATCGGCCCTTTCCTCGCGTCATCGTAGTGGCTCCTCGCTTGAAGATCTGAGCAGATCTCCATTGGTTATCAAACCGCGAGGCGTATTCATACCACTTGTCAAGTGTCTTGGGCATGCTTTCCATCCCATATATCCTTTGTCGGAGTGGGTCGTTAAGTCCCCACTTGAAATACTCAATATTTCCGGCATTTTCTAATTTCGCCTTGGATTCAATCGATCAGAATTCGGCAATGTAGTCGTCCGCAGTACGAGTTCCTTGCTTGATGTTACGCAGCAAGGTACGAGCGGTTTCTTCAATATTTTCATCGCCAAATGCTTTGTTCACACTCGCAATGAAGTCTCTCCAACTCCCATAAGAAAGGAAGTCGTCATTGGTGAGTTCCGTTTCTATGAAGCTCTGTGCCCATGATCCTGCTGTTCCTCCTTGCATGTGCAATAGCACGAATGTGATCTTCTGATTGTCCTCCTGGTAGACATGGCTATTTTCGGCCATGTAATTCTTGCATTGGTTTATGAATTCCCTAAGCTTCGAATGGTCTGAACCGTTGAAGATCTCGGGTTTTCTAAAACCAAGTTCCTTTTGGCTGACATGGTGACGTCCTTCATCCATGGTAACTGTAGCCATCGGTGGTACATAATCGGATATGATTGGTGCAAGAATCGGTTGGGGTACGAGATCCTGGACAGGGAGGTTCCAAGGGGCGTCTGGTCTTTCTCCTGGATAGGAGATAGGTATGCCGCTGTCTGCGATGTGTGATAGTACAAGCCCTCCAACGTTATGGGGTAGGCCTGCTTCGTAGTCACCACTTGGGTGATCAATGCGTTGATCTGGTCTGATGAGTAAAGGTCGTCCGTTTAAAACGTGTACGTTCCTCTGTGCGTCCCACTCTGCCTGAGATGGGAGGAGATCGATGTATTGCTTGGGAAGAGCAGTCGGGTTGATAAAGTTCAAATCCAGCATGGATAAATTCTCCTGTGTGACCTATGTCTACACGTAGACTGCACACCGTCCTTAACTAAGTGGGTTCGTTCGTCGTCGGCTAACAAGCCCGTAGAGTGTCTTCTGTCTTCAAACTGATACACCTATTTGCTGATTGCTCGAGTGATTACCTCAGCCTCCTCGGCCTATTGGTCTCTCGGACAGACCCCTCTCCGAAGATGAGTGATCAGTCTATCCCTTCAGCTACCTCGATTACAGAGTAATCTCAGACGGTGCTTTAGCAATCGAATCGGGTGTATCATTCAGTCTTCAAGGTTCGGTCCGGTCAGTAGTTCGTTGTTAGACTCTAGGAAGTCACAGAGAGTAATATGATCTCGACCTAATGTTACGCGGCAGCGAAACACGAGCGTCAAGTCGAGTTGTCACGAGACAAGGTCTTAGTCTAAGACACAAGTCCATTCAAGTGACACTTCTGGCGATGTCCTCGCACTGAAGGTCGATCAGAGTTCGTTCTTATGACTCGTAGTAGCTGTCTGCTACTAACGGTCGATTTCAGTCAAAGGCAAGTGAAAAGCTGGTTTAATGGTAACCAGGTCGAGATGGGGATCCAGCTCGACAAGGTCGTCTACTTATACAAAAGGTATCCGCAGTACTACGCAGTAATGCGAGATCGTTCATTGGCTAGATAAGGTGAAACGATATCTGGGCAAGGTAACAGCGAGGAAGTAATATGTATGAGAAAGCTGAGTAAGGTCGTGAGAGATAATCAGTACTAATGGGGATAACGAGTCGTGTATCAGAACGAGCTAAAGATGAGGCATACATGCACGTCTTGCATGTGCGATAAGAAGAAGGTCCGGAGTTGGATCCGGTGTAACCCTAGACGAGGAGTTCTGGACATCTGGATAAAGAATCGGAGGTTGCGCTCTGATGAGTCACGTGTTGGATCACGTGGTCTGGTAACGTAAAGGGAACAAAGAAAAGAAAAAGGAAAAGACGCGCCACAAGTGAGGAGCGTTGTAACATCTGCTGCTCCCAGACCTCCTGGCCTCTGCAGGAAAATGCATTTTCTAGTGATCTCTCAGATCTCACCACTCTATTTCTTAGTCTCTGAGTTATGTCCGACTTGTTTGCAACATTCTGTGAACTTTCGTAACTTCGCTCAACTTCACTCGATTTCTCGCAACTTCTCTCCAAGATTTGACATTTTGTCACTCATACACCACTCTTGCACCTCCCCTCTGTCAGATATTACTTACCCCTTGCCCTTGGGCCTCATCCAATGTGCTCTGTCTAATTCTCGTTCAATTTTGTACACTCCCAATATCACACTGCCTCTCTGGATGTTGCGCCAACTCGCTGGTTTGTTGCACCAACTTATCAGTGTTGCTCAATGGTTGTGCCCTCTTGTTTTGCAAATCTCATGCCCTTTATCATTTTACCTTCCTCTTCAAGACCCCTACCTTCATGCTAGACCGGAGATGCCATTTGAGTGTTCTATGTGGTTCAGGACAAGTAGCATATGTTTTCTTTCTCTTTCCCCCTACTTTACCATTCTTTTCTATCTCTAACATATGACATTCACCTCACCACTCACTTTCCTTATTTTTCCATTGGTCCTAGACCATTATGACTCTTTCTGATGTCAGGATCCATCATCCAACATTTCGTGACTTCCGCATTTTCTCTCCCTTTTTCCCCTCTCTATAAATACCTGCTGTATCTATGTGGATTATTATCAAAAACCAGCTGGGAGGAGTTCCCCTTTCACTTCAGATCACTGAGAAACTGCATTTACGGTAATAGTGACTTCGAACTGCGATATACCCCACTGCGACACTGCGACATAGCGAGACTGCCACACTGCGACATAGCGAGACTGCGATATAGTGAGACTGTGTACTGCATTTAGAGACTGTGACTGCAAACTGTGACACTGTGATAGCAAACTGCGACACTATGATAGCGACATAGCGACACTGCAATATACCACCTGCATTAGTCTTACTCTGACTTTCACATTAGACTGACTGCGACTTCATTGAGATGGCAAAATATTGTGTTTCATCATAGTGTTTCCTTCACAAATACTTCCCCTCCACTTGCAATTTAGTTCATCTTCACCTACAAGTTTGGTGATCTCGACACGACCTTAGCTTCCGATCTCCGACTTTCACGACCTCATCGTAAATTGTTGCTCGACTTTGCATTCTCATCACGAGCCTTTGTTCTTTTACAGGTTGCATCCCCCCAGGTTTTGGTCGAGGTTCTGGGACCCACTTGCATTATTTTACAGTCATGTCACCCTTCCCTCTCACACAGATCCCTTCTTGTTTTAGTTGGGTTTAGGTGTTTGTGTCAGGTGTGCACTCATCACTGCACACTGCTCACTCTCGCTGTCAAGCTCAACCTTGAGATCTATCAGATGAATGTCAAGTCGGCATTCTTGCATGGTGATCTTGATGAAGAGATTTACATGAACATCCTACTGAGTTTCTGCAAGGACAACAAGCTCATCTGGAGACTTAACAAGGCCCTCTATGGTCTTAAGCAGGCTGGGCATGAGTGGTACAAGAAAATCTGTGCTGATTTTGAGGCACTCGAGTTCACCCGCTGCAACTTGGTCCACAGCATGTTCTACAAGAATGACAATGGTACCCTTCTTGTTATCGCAATCTATGTTGATGACATGCTCATCCTCTCTGACAACCCTGCTGCTGTCAACACCCTCAAGGATGATTTTAAGCCTTGCTTCGAGATGACTGACCTTGGTGAAGCATGATGGCTTCTCAGCATGGAAATTACCCATAATTTTCCTCGCCATATCCTCGAGCTCTCGCAATGCCAATATGTTGAGAATGCTCTCACGCAGCATGGCATGGCTGACTGTCACCCGGTCAGCACCCCTATGGCACAGAACCAGAAGCTCATCAAGCTCTCAGAGGCAGAGATTGACCCAAAGCCTTACCAGAGTGCACTTGGCTCCCTTATATATGCCATGCTCAGCACTCGTCCCAACCTCACTTTTGCAGTGGACACATTGAGCCACCATGCCATGATGTCTGGCAAGGAGCACTGGAATGCTCTCATGTGAGTCTATCGCTACCTGTGTGGGACAGCAGACAAAGGCTCATCTACCAACTACTTGTCAAGATTAGTTAGGCTGGCACAGTGGCTGGCATAGCTGCTGCAGGTGCTGTTGCTTTGGCCCTGGCTGCTGACATCCATGTACGTACCTCCTTCCTATTATACTCACTTGTACTTATAGCCCCTGCAGTGACTGTCATATCACTGATAGGTATGAACAGAGAGATTTGTATTCCTGGTGCATTCATTGACTGTTGCATCACTAACAGGTATCCTCTCCAGTCTGTCTGCTCCTCCGCCATGCTCACTGTGCTTACCTGGCTTTGCCATTTTGATCCTGGGTGAGTCGCCCCATTGCTCACATTTTGATAATGGTAAGCTGGAATTATAAAATCAGAGAGGCTGTGCAAGTTGTATGCAGGCCATACGTGAATCACAGACTTTTTTGTGAGGCTCATAGTAGATGTGGAGCTTCCGCACATCCATGGGCACATTTTTTTTTTCTTCTTCCATTCTCTATGTCCCATACACATCAACAGTCATGCTCAGTCCATCTTCAAAAGCTATTCAACAATCCAGAGTGGTGTCGCAAAGACAGAGAGGAAAAGATCAATGTACAGAGTACATTCTCTAAGTTAAATAAGAACATGAAAACAACTCAACAGGCCGAAGTTTCTCAATCAGATTGTGTCATGCAATTTGAGCGGGCCTATCAGAGTTGAGAAAATGGCACAGGTGAGCACAGCCACATTGTCTGCAATTTCTGCAAATATGTCGAGTTGTTTTAATGCTATATAATGGATATCGCTGGTACTGATGCAACAGGAGTTAGCGGGATGAAGGAGAAATTAAGGGGTTGTATGGCTTCAAGTTCAGCTGGTCTGCTGCACCTGTGATGCATTAAGTGAAGAGCCTAAAGAGAAGCCTGTGAAAGATGCTACTGGCTGTTCCTTTGGTATTAAACGACTGGAGAATGCGAAGGATTGCAGGAAGCACAGAGACATTTCTGCACCTATTATATCTATATCATCACCAAGACCAATGCAGATATGCCACATTGAATCCTCGCCCTCACCTGACATGTAAGTAATGCAATCTGCAATTCGAGTTTCCCAAATTGAAGCAAGACGCGTTATTTGCCAATAGACCTTTTCAATGTTAAATCCTGAACACATACGCAGCTTGATCAAATCTGTGTCAGAGAGCTTCAGTGACATATTGTAAATTCGGGCAACACATTCACTCAGTACTAATCCAAAAAGATAAGGTCTCGATGTGGGCATTTATGCCACTAGTTAATTGTTCCTTCAGTATTCTGGGCCATTGGAGTGGATCCAGAGAGCCTTGGAGCACCTCCCTCAGACTCGCCACACCTTGGGAGAAGTGTGCTGGCAGCTATAGCACATCGTCGAATTCAAAACTTGCAGCAGCAGGAGTTGCAGCTAGGTGCAAGACATACCAAATCTGTCTCAGTAGGCAGACCTGACATCACCAGAGTTAATGCACAAATGAGATCTTAGGATGCTGGTGCCATGGCACAGATTTAACAGTGGATGTGAAGTCCCTCTGAGTCAGTCTGACATTGTATAGTGAAAGGACTAAGTTAGATATCTACCTAGACGGATCAGCAACTCATTCCTCCTTGTCGATAATGCAATCAGATCCAACAGTAATAAAATTGTCTCACATTTCATTGTCTTTGTGCATGATATTGAATGTACAGGTCAACTTCAAAACCTGGGCAGCTGCAGTAACTTGAGGCAGACGATGGCAAGAGTGGACATGAAGTCCTACAGGTAGATTCATACGAGTAGCTACAATAAATGGATGAAATGTGCTTACCCTCAGTCCAACATTGTAATGGTATAGCGAAAGGACAGAGGGAAACATGTGTAGCATCAGGCTCCTAAAATCATCCATCATCACAGCTTTCTCGCTCCTACATCCCACATTTATATTTTAGAAGATCATGTGATATATGTTTTATGAGACTTACCCTTTTTATTGAGAATTACTGGATTAGGATGAGGACTAAGAGGAGGAGAACACTATGAGATGGCTAGCCCAACTCGTCACCTGATTTCTTTTGAGCTTATGAAAGTGAGCTTTTCTCAAGTGTAATTACATGTAAACCCTAGCACGGGTGTTATTTTCTGAAGCACGAAACAGGCCAAATCAGGTGCTTACTATGTGTACTCATGGCCTGACTGCACTGTGCTGGCATAGGGAAGGTGCTTGCTAGGGTAGAACATGATGATAGATAAATATTGCATGAGTTCCGGTCCATTTGCAGGGCAAATCAGCATCCTCAGCCTCATCTAAAGACTTGGGATATGTTGCACAGGTAGTAGATGGTTTGGATGTGTGTGCAGATTCTAAATATTCTCTTGCAATCAGACTGGTTTCCAACAGCTGAATTTAGAGACAACTGCAGTGCTACAGTGACTTTTCTCTGCTGCAATGCAGTGAGATAGCAGGTGCACATAGCTAGCAAGCACCCACTTTGGATTGAAAGAAAATAAGCCCCAGGCTAAGGTTTGCTGCAAATAAACCAGCGAGAAACGATGTTGCTCCGGATCGGCATAACCTCGGATGACGAGTTGGGCCAGCCATCTCACTGGCACAGTGTTCTCCTCCTCTTAGTCCTCGTTCTAATCCAGTAATTCTCAATAAAAAGGGTAAGTCTCATAAAACATATATCACATGATCTTCTAAAACATGAACGTGGGATGTAGGAGCGAGAACGCTGTGACGACGGATGGTTTTAGGAGCCTGGTGTAGCGTACGAGTATAGCGGGTACGCGGAGAGACCGAAAAAGGAAGGTAACGTAGTCAATACTACATACCTCTAGTCCCTCCGCGAGATTGTATCTACAACAACGGAAACCTCCAACTGCATTCCGTACACCGAGATGAGTTCGTAACCAGCATCGCGCTTACTGATGAAGGGGTGAACGTTAAGGGCTACGGGCGATCCGGAAGCCTGAGGTATGCGAGCGTGAGAGATGGCCATCACAAATGGACACGCGCCCCTCCCGCCTCCTGTGGAAGGCGCGTGCAGCTCCCTTGGACCAGAAGAACATTGGATCACCCACAATGTCAGGCCAGTCAGTGCCGACAACACTGTACGTCCTCCCCTCCCCCGCTGTCCTCCACTCGCCCTGGATCCCCGCGGCGAGCCTTGCGGCCTTCTGCGCGGAGCTCCTACACTGGCGGCTTCTGCGTTACCGATTCGCGGTGCGCCGAAGGTGGAGTACGACACGGCGGAGGCTGACTTGTCCTAGTGTATCTTAGTTATTTCGAAGCTGCTATTCGACTTGTTTAGGCCGCCGTCGCTCATACCACTCGGGGATATATACCTCGTGGAGAGCTCCATGATCCATAGCAAAAGAAATGTTTACAGCAGACATGAAGGCCCGCCCAGCTTCTCGGACCAACCCATCCGCATCAATGGGTGGTGGCAATAGTCAACGCTATTCAGCGTTTAGTAAACCTTAAGGTAAGCGGACGCGTGATACTTCCAATGTGGGTAGTCTCATTGTTTCTATGCAAGTAAAATTATACAAGACACCGACGCTTGCAAACTTACCGTCAGGAGCGCATCGTTCGAGCGATCATATCTCTCTACGCTTGATCCCAATTACACACTCATGCGGCTTGCGAATGAAATTGTCGTGCACTCCGAACTGCACAGGATCTCTTGTCAGCACGCTTGGGCAGTAGAGGAAGTCCAAACTCACTACTTGACCCGGTTGCAGGACAATATCATAGCGACGGAAAACAGCGGCGAGGACCAATGTCAGTTCCTGCACGGCGACGTTGCGCCCGAGGCAGGCCCTGGAACACGACAATAAGTTTACACAGCCGCCGAAGTAATGACCACTGCCCAAGATCTCACCTGGGTCCCAACGAGAACGGATTGAACACCTTCATCATCTCGCCCCGTTTCTCATCATCCAACCAGCGCTCGGGACGGTACTCCTCCACATCCGCGCCCCACATTTCCTCGGAATGATGCATACTATATAAGGGCACGCTGATCTCTGTGCCTGCAGGAAAAGTGTGGCCGAGCACCGTGATGCCTCCTTCGGGAACGACACGACCGAGACCAAAACCAACCGCGGTGAGAACGCGGAGGCCCTCGTTGATGACAGCCTCGAGGTATGGCAAGGATTTGACGTCAACAAAGGGCAGAATACTCGAGTCTGAGCCGGCCACAGCGTCCAGCTCGGCCTGGAGTCTCTTCTGCACATTCTGGTTGCGGGCAACATGGAATATCACGGTCGCCAGCGAGCTGTAAAATAAATTATCAGCAAAGCGAGCTCAACGGGAAAATATAGCGGCAACAAGTAGACGTACCTGGATGTTGTGTCGGATCCTGCGATCAGCAGCGCAACGGCCTCCACAGTCAACTCCCGCGGTGTCATTGGATTTCCGTTCTCATCTCGACCGTTCAATAATTTCCCAAACATATCATCAAAAATCTTCCCTTCATCTTCCCCCTGGCGGGTGGTAAGGCGCCGCGAGATAGCTTCCGCCGCCACGTCGATCAGCTGGGCCTGCGCCTTCAGGCCACGACGGTGCTGCGGCATGCGCTCCACGAATTCGCGCACGTACGCGGGAAGCACACCGAGAATGGGAGAAATCTCCATGCGCGCACTAACTGCGTCGATAGCATCGATTTCTTCGACCTCATATTGAGCCGCAGGTTCCTGGGCGGTGGACTCGTCGAGTGCATAGGAGGCAATTCCAGCTGTAAGAGACTTCCTTATCCTGGCGGTGTCCTGGCCACGCAAAAGCATACCAAAAGGAGAGCCGAAGGCGAGTTCACCTGTGGGACCGTCACATCAGCCTGCGTTGAAGTACCTATGCAGCACGAATTTCGTACCAATGACATCAAACGTGAACAAATTGCACCCTGTCACCCAACACACAACATCAGATGGTCAGAACCTCGTTCAGAATAATTCGTCGCTCACAAAACAGTGCATCAAACCAGACATAGCCGCCGCGCACCTCCCACGTGCTAGACCCCAGTGTGCCAGTCTTCACTTCATCCTTGCGCACCGCGCTGTTGCACATGATGTCCCACTGGTTCAACAGAGTTTGCAGATGAACCTTGATCGGGCCCTCGAAGGCGCGCACGCTCTGCGGGGAAAACATGTGGGACATGACGCGCCGCTTACGAGCATGGTCGGTGCGGGAGCGCGCGTTGAATAGCCCGCGTATGGCACGGTAAGACGTAAAGGTGTCGTAGAAAGCTGACTTCGTTGTCCCGGCGGGGTGGCCATATACCGCTGAGACCGCTTCCGGAGAAACAATCGAAATGTGGTTCGGCGCAATCCGTACGAAAGGTCCTAACGTCCAAGTTCGCATCGGTCATTCAAGTTAGCACTTTACATGTAAGTTAGAGAGGCATACCATATTTCTGGTGCAGCTCGTCGACAGCGTTGGTCCTCGTGAACGTGCGGGACACCCAGAAGAGCCAACCAACGGAAAATTTTGCAAAGAAAGGGCCGGGGTATTGGCGAAGACCATGCTCGTCGACCAAATACGGTACAACGTACACTGCCAGGACAACAACGGGCAGAAGACAAAGGACGAAGGGAATCGGATGTGCCGCGGGGTTTAGAAGTACCTCGAGCATAGTCGCAGTATTGTAGGAACGAGAGGCGACCAATTTCGTGGCAAAACAGAGTACTTGGATATCCCGGGAGAGGGGAAGTGGCCAATGGGTCTTGCCAAGGTGCAGCTTTTATACCTGATAACGCCGAAGTCTAACACACGCAGGAGTTTAAATCCGTTCACAGTCACTGGACAATCATGGCTCAGAAGACTTCGTGGCTAAAAAGACTGTCATTCAGAGAAGGCATGAGTCATCTGGTAAATGTCAAATGACATTGACGGCAGAGGTATGAAGGCCTCCCGCCGCGTTGACAAGTCCAGAAATTCATGCAAGCGAGATACCTGGATTTTACATCAAGACGTATCCAGCCCTCATCCGACCGTCAGATACGAGCAGCAGTATACGCGATTAAAGATGTACTGAAGACTTTACCGTAAGCTCAACATGAAAAGCCACTCCGGCAGGGGCTTATTGTGTCTGCAACAACCTTTCCAATAGACGACGGGCGATGATGTCACACCAAGGGTTATCTCCTTGGAATGCAATACCGATGAGCCGTGGCAAAAAGAAGAAAGCTTTCACGCCGTGAACCTTACAGCACGTCCCAGGGCGAGGTCATCACTATGACCGTTATGTGGGTGGCAGCCATTGAACAGCGTGCGACATGCGTTCGTATCGGCCAACGTCGATCGTGAGTAATTCGCGGATCATCCGCGAAGCGTTATAAGTTCCCGAACGGTAACCATTCAAATTCCCTGCGATTACTTTGATCAGCTGTGCTGTCTCCTACCAACGGTCTATACTCACCGGGTCGAGCTGGACATTCCGGAAATCACAGCCATGAAAAGCCAGTGGAACACATTCTTCCAGTGTGCTGTACTCTCTCAGTGAACCAGTATCTTCGACTACTTTAAATGTCAGAAAACCAACAGCTTCAACACCAATGGTCTTCATCAATATATTGTTAGTTGGGTGCCTGTATGCCGAATAGAACAGTAGTCGTAGTATGAACCATCGAACGGTGACGACGTGGCATATATCGGGTAGCCTGTATGTTGGAAATGGCCGGAAATGAGTGCACGGTCACGATCGGCGAGAAAACATAAACGAGCGACCGTGCCTGCGGAGAAGAGCACAACGCACGCACCAGTGTCTAATGAGCACTCATCGGACGATGTCCGAGAGTGAAAAATATAGCCGAGAGACTCCCACCGTGAGCAGATGTGAGGGGACCTGGGAACTCTCATGACAGCAAGAACCATATCGTTAGGCCCCTGGTCAAAAAATCGTGCACGGGACCTTTGGGTGGTCTGCGAAAAGAGCTCCTGATAGGCTGGATACTAGCCTTCGCATCTCGCCGGGATCAAGGACATTGCGGACGCGAGCGGCCAGGCGGCGCGACTTGATGGCACGGTGGCGCCAATCCACCTGAATTTCCGGACCGTTTGATTGCGCAGTCCGCACTGTGAACGGACTTTTTGGAGGGGCCTATCGACATGACCTTTGCTGGAAGATCGGTCGACGGCGAATCGTTCGCACCTATTGGTACCATTATCGGCCACGACTGATTCATGCATGCCACGTCGAATAGTCTCCTCACGCGGTTGATCGCATTCCTATCCGGAGAGCCTGCTTGATATTGTCAGTTCGGGCAGAACCACACAAGTCCGGGCAGAACCACGCAAGTCCGAGAAGAACCACACAAGTCCGGGTAGAACCACGCAAGTCCGGGCAGAACCACACAAGTCCGAGTAGAACCACGCAAATCCTAGCAGAACCACGCAAGTCCGGGCAGAAGCCAGCAGCCAGCGTGGATAACACTGTAGACCCCACTCTGCCGTCCTCCCAGTCCACTGCGTTCCGGAGCCTCGCAGCGTTCTTCGCTGGGCGTGCTACCGCTGTGTCCGCGTCGCCTCGCAGGGCCGCCGGAGGTGGGATACGGCGCTTTCGGGGTTGACGCTGGGTATTACTATTTCTATTCCGGGCAGGGTACGGTGGATCCTGCTGCAGAGCCGCACAGACGAACATCTGTGGGGCTGGAGTCGACGCGCAGCGGTGGTATCGACTGGTGCTCCCTCGCTGAGGCTCGTTGCCCTAAGCGTCTGGTAATTAAGAGAGGTGCTCACAGGCAGGAACACCCTCAGCCGCCGAGGTTTCCCCTGGAGCCCGCTCAAAATCCGGTACGATCTCTATTCCCGCTAGCGACTCGAAAGACTGACCTCGTCATCCCAAGGCCATGACGCACCCTTCCTCCAGAGCTACATTGGACACATCACTGCACGTTGAATCAGATATATCATCGACCTGCAGTTCTTCCCAGTGCTCGAAGATTATGGTGCCTCGCATAATTTCGTGTCTCGCCTCGCAACTACTGGCTGTACGCGGCATCACTCCCATTCACTCGCGTTCCTGCAGTGCGGACGGACGCGGACTAGTAGCGCTGGAGACAACGTGCAGTCGGAGAACGTACGGTGCCGATTTCTCGTCGAGAAAAGCTCGCACCGCACTGAGTTAACTGTAGAAACCACATGCGCGGAACAGGGAAAGGAAGGAGACGGCAGAGGGACCGTAAACCGAAGTTAAAGGACTAGACAGGCCGTCGACGCGCGCGTGTGCGTAAATTTATGAGTAGATGTGAGGCTTATGGGCCCCCCGGCGCACTGGCTTTTTCTTCCGTAGGTTCCACGCACGTTATCCGCCATACGAGACTCCTGAGTCCGGCGGCAGTGCTGGAGGGACGGACAGTAAGGGCTGAGCGTCATCCAATGCACAAGGGGACAATGCCCGAGTTTGAAAAGGTGAAAGCTGCATACTCGAATCAACAGGCCGAAATTCTCGAGTAGCGCATCCTTCCCTCATCGCGCGGTTCGAGCTCGCATCACATTAGAAGAGAGAAAACTGCACAGCTGAGCACAGCCGCCACGTCTTCTGCCGCTTTCTGCAGGTCCGTTAATGCATCCACCATCGGTCCAATGCCCGTGAGGATCAGACACAGATCGATGGTATCAACGCAGTACAATCGCATTTTTCTTGCGACCTGGGGACGCGCACACTCGCCTACACTGTTATCACCCATCACGCCTCGAGCGAGAGCGTCCCAGTAGCTACTGCACTGTCGCAGAATTTCAAATTCAGAATCGAGTTGAAGAACTAGGCCCTCGAGGCGTCGGCATAAGCTGTGAGTAGATGCGAGGCCTACGGGCCTCCACATGCACGACTTTCTCTTTTTTCTTGCATAGGCACGCACGTCGACCGTCGTACGAGGTTCCTCTGATGGCAGCATCAAAGAGACAGAGAACAAGGAAGGGGCGTCAACAAATACACAACGGCACGTTCCCCGTGTTTGAAAAAGTGAAAGGTGCGTACTCGACTCGAAAAGCACAAGTCCTTTCGGATTGAGAGTATACCCTTCCCTGCGTCGCGCATTTTGAGCTCTGTAGATTCGTCAAGTGCATCAACCGTCGGCGACGGTCAGGGATAGAACGATGGTACTAACGCAGTACAGGCGCAGTTTCCCTATGACCTGCGGACACGCATAAAGGTCGGTCGGAGAAGGCTCATGCGCACCTATCGTCCATCGCGCCTACAGAGAGCGCGGCGCACCTGTCGCAGAATTTAAATTTCAGAATTCGCAGCGGGAAGTTGGGACGAAGGGTATACAAGGACCTTCCAAATTTACGCTTCCAGTACATTATATTTTCCGGTGGAGAGACCGTGAGCCGACACCACAGCTCGAAGGAGGTTCCGGAAGTTCGCTAGTGCACATTCGTACAATTCGGAATGCGCAGCTGGGGAGTTGTGACTATATGAGAAGTACCGATCGTCTTGTTGGTATATTCTGTATTCTGACAATCAAGCCGTCCCTCCAGCACAAGCAGGCATTGGAAGGGCCCCTGGTGCGCGGCACGAAGGAGACGTTAGGAGACGCGGAGACTGAGAAACGCTCTTCACGCCGCTGAGATGGGTTCGGATGAGCACATCATCTCAAGCACGGTACTAAGAGATATCGTGCCAACCAGCATGGAGGAGTGAACACTAACCTCGACGGCCGATCCGGAAGGTGTATAACAAGCGCAAGAGACGAGCCTCGCAAACGGACGGGCGCGTACTGCGTCCGAGTCTATATCAGGGCTCCACCCGCAGAAGCACGGCGGGCTCTCTCACCAGACGAACGTCGTATCCAGCAAGTCAGCACCGGCAATGCTGTACATCCCTCTCCCCAACCATCGTTCTAGTCCACCTCACGCCGGATCTGACAGCAAGCCTCGCAGCCATCTGCGCGGAGCCCCTACGCTGGCGGCTTCTGCATCATCTGTTAGCGGGTGCGCCGAAGGTGGAGTACGCGGCAGGGGTTCACTTGCCCGGGGACACGGCGAGGTGCTATTACTTCCACCCGAGACGAGGCAGGGCGGTGGACCCGGTGGGCACGCACGACGCGGAGCAGGGGTTTGAGTGGTGCCAGTGAGGACGGGGCGCGCCCAGGCGGTGAAGTGTGCACGGTGCAGCACGGCAGCGGTTCGTCGATGCAGGCTGAAGCGAGTACTAGTATCATGGGCCGATGATGCTGTGAGCAGTATCTAGAAGGGTTACTGCGCTGACGCGTGGGTATTCCGGGAACATGGGCACTCGTGCACCTGTTCAACGTTCAAGGTGCCGGGCGAGGAGTCGTCGGGGGAGGAGGATCTGCAAGGAGATCGGGTGCCGTATGTAGTGTTCGCTGCTGCACTAGTACGCCTGGCGGTGCGGAGCGCGTCCGGGCGAAGTTAAATGTGGATGTACATGTGGGTATGCGACCGCGGGAGGCGACGCGGGAGAGGAAAACGGAGTTGGACGCGCATGGAGAGGACGATCAGCCATCTCAGATCATCGTGTTCCAATCGGTTCCAATCGGCTCCTTCAACTGCAGATCGTTACCCCCCTTTTTTTCCGATTCCGCACCGTCGCAAAAAGAGCAGTGAAAAGCTCGTCCTCGGTGAGCGACACATCACAGCGTCGGTGCTCAGCGCTCAGCGCTCAACGTGTGGTACAAAAGGCCACAGGTGTACAGAGTATTCCCATTAGGCGACTTGAACGACTAACCTCGTCAACACTTAGATGACGCGCTCTTCCATCTGAGCTAAACAGGATTCATTAGTTTCAGCAGTTCCGATACCATTATCTCGACTTTTACCAGCAGCAGACGACTACTAATCAGGTACTTATCCTGCAGATTACATATTAGATACTTCAGAACGTTGGTATTCAGTGTGGCTCGGTGATATCACTTCGACGCATCGCGCATCCCTCGCCATGAACCACAACCAATTGAGAGTGCTTGTCTGCAGAACGCCGAAGGACGAGCGAGAGTGCCTGCTCATTTCAGTGCGATCGTGGCTTACTGCTGCGGATATTGATGGTGCGCTAATGTGAGAAGGCGATAGACCGACCTCATCGCATCGACGTGACGATCCGACGCTCACATGGACAGAAATCGCGAAGTAAAACGCACCGTACGTTACAATCATCAGAGAGAGAAACGCGGGAAGGATGGAGATGGCCGAGGGGCCGTAAACTGGAGTTATAGAATCAGAGAGGCTGTGTGTAAACTGTGAGTAGATGTGAGACCCACGGTGCACTGTTTTTTTTCTTTGTAGGTTCCACGCACGGCGACCACCGGACGAGGTTGCTCCGATGGCACCGTCGGAGGGACGGACAGCAAGGGCTCAGCGTCGGAGGGACGGACAGCAAGGGCTCAGCGTCTACCTCGAAAGGCCTATGCTGCTTCGAATAGCACACCTTTCCTTGCTCGACCCCACCATTCGGTCTACAGGTCAGTTAAGTGCATCCGGTGACCGTCTGTCCTATACCCGCGAGGCTCAGACATACAGTAGATCGATTCCACCAGCGCAGCGCAGTCGCATCTTCCCTGCAAATTGGGTACGCTCACCAGATTGGTCGGGGAAGATACCTCCACACCTACAGCATCATCCATCAGCCTCGAGAGAGCGGAATTACTCTGTCGCAGAATCTAGAATTCGGAATCCGCAGCGAAAAGTTGGGACGAAGGTACACGAGGACACACCGAATCTACCTTACCGGCGTACATACTATACGTTCTGGTAGAGGCTGTGACCCATTCGTAGAGTCCGGAATTCGCAGCTGGGTGTGACTATATGAGATTCACCGACTCGTCCTGTCGGTATATTCTGTATTCTGGTTGGGAGACCAGACCCCAGCTGTCCTGCTAGAACAAGCAGGCATGGGAAGTGTCGCACGAAGGAAACGCTAGGAGGTGCGAAAACGTATTGCTTCAGGTGGGGTACTCAAGGATATCTTGCCGACTGGGAGGAAGGAGTGAACACCAATGGCGACATCTGGTCCGGAAGGTATGCAAGTGCAAGAAACGGACCACGCGAACGGATGGGCGCAGCGTCAACACCTGCAGGTCTCCACCCGCAGAAGCACGCGGAGCTCTCACCAGAAGAAGCCCGTACCACTCCGTGTCCAGCCAGCCAGCGCCAACGACGCCATACATCCCCTTCCCTAGCTACCTTCCCCCGGGTCTCACAGCGAGTCTCGCCGCCTTCTGCGCTGGGTGTGCGACCTCGGATCCGCGGCTTCTACATCACCGGAGGGAGGGTGCGCTGGAGGCAGGGCACGACGTGGCGCAGGACGCGAAGGGGAGATACACTCTAGTGAGGAGGAGCTGCGCAGGGAGACCGGGCGTCGCATGTGGTGTTCACTGCAGGGCTACACCTGGCGTTGCGGAGCGCGTCCGGGCGAAGTGAAATGCGGATGTACGTGTAGGTATGCGACCGCGGGAGGCGACACGGGAGAGGAAAACGGAGTTGGATGGGCATGTGTGGAGGAGGACGCGAGGATGTTGCATGCGCGTCGTTACCCTCCAGATCAACGCATCTCAGATCGTTCCGATCGAGCTGGTTGCCCCCGCGTCATTTATCATTTCACAAAGAGCAGCAAAAGCTGGCCCCGAAGGTGACGCGTTGACGCATCATAGCGTCGGTGCTCGACGTCTGGTACAAAAAGACCCTAAAGCGAATGAATTCCTGTTAGTCGACTTGAACGACTGACCTCGTCTACACACTCGCCGACGCGCTCTTCCATCTGAGCTAAACAGGACTCGAACATCCGCTATTTCCGATATCCTTCTTTCGACTTCTACTAGCACTACTAATGAGATGCGTATCCCGAAGATTAGACATTAGATACTTCAGAACGTCCGCCTGGCTGTTGGTATTCAGTACAGCTCGGTGTCATTACTTCGACGTGTCACACATCCCTCACTGCGAACAACTAGTAATTGCCCCTGGTGGTCTTCACCACAAGACCTGCCTGCGCCTAGTACCTCTACGTGGTCCAGGGGATTAGTACCTCCGCTGGACGGACCCGTCCGACGTGCGACGTTCAGTTCTGAACGCATACGCAATCCTGTATGCAAGTCTGGTAGCAGTGCTAGTTTGGGAGATGTATTCGGTACAAATCCCAATCCCGGAGGTACAGTATATAGGATCTCGTCTCGAGGGTATAAACCCCCATTTCACTCCTGCGTGGGAGGCGTACGCCTGGATCCATAACACCACTTCATGCCCGGTCGGCCACCTCCCTCCCTCGAGCTCTCAACTCATCACGCGCTTCCAGAGAGCGTGGATCTCCGGATCCACCAGCGCGTTTCGCCGGGATTCAGCAGAATTTAGAATTCGCAGCGGGAGGAGGGAGTCGCGGCCGGTGCGAGAACGTACCGAATCCAGCAGGGCCATTTTGATAGAAAGAATGCTCTTCGCGCGCACTGGCGGCCTCGTGGTACCCCGGCGTGTGTTCGTATGAACGTATCCTCGAAGCGGGCTGCCAAGGCATCCACATGCTGTGGCGAAACGGGCATTAAGGGCGACGAATGAGCTGGGAGGTATGCGAACGATGGGTCTCACAAACGGATATGCGAACGATGGGTCTCACAAACGGATATGCGGACGCTGCGTTGACATCATGCATATATGTGGCCACGTCAAGTCTCCTCCCGCAGAAGCACGCCGAGCTCCCACCAGAAGAACTCCGTACAGTACCACTCACCGCATCCAGCCAGCGAGCGGCGACAACGCTGTCCATCCCCCTCCCCAGCCTCACAGCGAGCCAGTTCTGCCTCGGATCTGTGGCTTCTACATCGCCCGCACGAGGGTGCGCCGGAGGCAGAGCGCGACATGGGGCAGGACGCAAAGGGGGAGCCGGATGGAGATACGCGCACACGACGCGGAGCAGGATTCTGAGTGGTGCCAGTGAGAGGAGCGCGCCCAAGACGCTGAAGGGTGCGTAGTGCAGCACGGTGCGTCCGGTTGCACGCGCGTGCTTTTCGGTGATGTGGGCTGTCGGCGCGAGTGTCGAAGCCCGATGATGCCGTAGACAGTATATCGACGGCAGCTGTCGATCGCTGTCCATCACAGGTGTGGACTTGCTACACAGCATATGCCATTGGTTGTGCTCTTACGACACGATCGGCGAACCGAGCCCATTGCACTGGTCAGCATTACGATGAATCCACAGCCACATGCCCGGAACCCACGAAATAAGACATACCGCACAGTCACTTTCGCAAGCCTGACAACGGACGGCAAGCACATTCAACGATGCCTTTTGCACATCGAATCCGGATCAAAAAAAACCAAGCAGTTAAAAGTCACAAGGCGCCGCTTTCCTGGACAAAACGAATGGCGATGTTGAGTTGATTCCCATTCGCCGATTCGAACGGCCGACCGCGTCGTTGTAGTGACACGCGCTCCCGACTGAGCCAAACAGGATTTGGTTGTCTTCACTGAATTACATTATTGTGCCAAGACTCAACCAGAGTCAAATATAATTATTCGAGATTCCACCAGCGCGGCACTAGAACTGCCGTTCTCTCAAGACACAGCGGAGGATACTCACAGAACCCGACTATCCCAAAAATCATATCCTCTAGAAAGTCCTGCACTGTCGGTATCTGCAGTATCACCTCAATGTGACACATCGTGTCCATCGCACACGCCCGCTCGACAAGGTACAGTATCAGCTGAACGAACGAACAGCAAGGGCATGCAAGCCCACGCAAGAGCCCGAGGACGCAGAGCGCCCATCTGCCTAATTCACCAAGAGATCGCGGACCTCTATCGCAGTGCTGCTGCTGCCGCCGTCGATATACGCGTGCGGCTACCGTAAAGCTATATCATCTTGCAACATGAAGGTCTATTTTCACTCTCGTATGCGGCATCTAGGCGCCAGAAAAGTCCGCAACGCATAGTCAATAAGTCATTTCACGCGATAGACCGGGTCCCACAGGTATCAGAGGAGGAGTACGACGGCTGCGAGGGCGCGGGCGAGAGAAGACGAGCATGGGGAGGAAGGCATCATCCCCGACTCCAGGAACTGGAGGAGGGCTTTGGCAAGGGGAAACGGCAGACGCCTCTGCGAATGAAGTTGTGCGAAAACAACATCAGTAAATAAGTTGAGTAATAACACTTACGATTTGAGTCTTGACTCCGTCTAGGATTCCGGTCGCGAACGTCGCTGTTGCACTGGACCTGTCGACACTGTTCGAGTGCAGGTCTATTTACGTAAGATCGCGCTCCCGAACGTTCCGCCCTTGCGCTCGACCTGCCCACGGTGTTCCAGTGCAGGTCTATTCACGTAGGATGGCGCTCGCAAACATCACGTGCGCGCTCGATTTCTCGACGATGTTGGCGCTGCTGGACGACGTTACACCTCAGTGTCGCTCCTCGACGAGTCGCTATACGACATCATTCTGTTTTGCATGTGAGTGTATTCTTCTTCTCGTATTATTACTAATCTACTGATTCACCACTAAACCATGTAGAATCTACGTGGACCTGCTCTCTTGAAGACATAGTTTTCGCATTTTTTGCGACTGTTTCGGACAAGTGTAGCTGCAAAATAGGTGCGTCTATGCTTGTTGACTTGTTCAAATGGATACTTACAGTTTAATTTGCACAATGCAGTTGCTATTTGTGATACTGTGTTCACAGTTTCGCAGTGCTGTTTTGATTAAGTTCGTGTCTAAGCACGTTAAACATTTCGTGTTCAAGCACGTTAAACATTTCGTGTTCAAGCACGTTAAATATTTTGTGTTCAAGCACATTAA